CACATTTGTAGCAATGCTTTTTAGTCATGGATCCTAAAACAAAGAAACCCCTGAGGTTTCACAGGCAGAATCAAAATAAAAAGGTGAACACACCCCAAAAGAATCACATTCTTTGATCCGAAGTAGTCGCCTGATCTGACTGCTTACAGGTGGTTCTGCTGCGTTTACTGTAGAGGAGGGGCTCATTTGATTCCATACCGACTGCCCAACTGCCCGACTGCCCGACTGCCCGACTGCCCGCATCTGAACACTGTTCTCCAGCCCTCCTGCCTCTGTTTCCCTCAGGGCCCGCTCCTCTCTGTCACACTCCTCTGGAAAGTCCCTACCCTAAAAACTAAATTAAAGAATAATGGGACATATTATAGTAACTTTTTTGTTGTCCTATTAACCTGACTTGAACCCCAGTATTGCTCTCCCCATCTTGTTCTGATTATTATATATTCTATTTTGTTTGATAGTATCAAGTTTGAGGGAATAGGCAATCACTTTGAAGGCAACAAGATATACTATGATGGCCAATATGGATTGACTATCATCCTTTTTTTTTTTGAAGTCCTGTAAGGTCCTCACTGTAGATTTTATTGGTTTTGTTCCATATTGTTTTGATCAATTCTATTATACCTGATGTGATAGACAACTCAATTTGAAAATAGCAAGAGGCACAATGGTAACCACTTTTGATCACCTGCTATTCTATTTTTGCATCCTGTGCTATGCCCACCCTTCTGTTCTAACTGACTCTGTTTTGTTTAGTCACATTTGTTTCTATTCTCTTCAAAAAAGTAATAAGAACCGTGAGAGTAATAAAGCCCTAAAAGTCTAATTGTTACTGTAAAAAGGAGAGGAAAGTAGGTGGACTAAGGGATATAACCGGAGGTATGTTCGAGAGTGTAGGACGGAAAACCATATAACTGAGCTTTTGTTGGGTCACTGAATGGAACTGTCTCCAATTCCACTGTATGAATGTTCACTTTATATTTAATTTAATTTAGTGATGTGGACAACTGTTTCTGGGAAGATAACGTGTAGCCTGTTAACTGGTGATTTCGTACTGAATATATTTTTTTTTAGAAATACTGTATTATTTGTACCCTTTTACTGCATTGTTTTTTATGCCCTTTTTTTCTTCTCTCTTTAAATAAAAACAAATAAAAAAGAAAAAAGAAGAAGAAAGTCCCTACCCTCTCGCCCTTAGCTGTGTTTCCAACTCCCTGCCTCCCTAAGGAATCCGCCTGCACCCAGTGAGAACTCTTTCATCTTCTAGCCTGTCCACCCAGCAGCTTCCAGCCCCAGGTCCAATCTCCTGCCTGCCTGCCTGCCTTCCTTCCTTCTTACCCTCCCTCCTTCCTCTCTTTCTTCCTTCCCTCCTTCCTTCTTTCTTTTTCCCTTTAAGCCTTAGCAGGAGGGTTTTACCCTTCTGTATGAAGCTAATCCCCCTCTGCCTCAGCTCTGTCTTTTTTCTCCTCAAGGTCCTTATTCTGTCAAAAATCCTCCTCTTGCATCTCTAAGGTCTCCCTCTCCGCTGCCTCTTCCCATTTAATATACAAATATGCTCTCTTTTTTTCAATAAAAGGACACCCAACGGAGCAAAGGACCTTGCAGGACTTCCCCCAGGACTCCCGAGCTCCCCGTTTCCCTCTACCTTCTGCAGCTCGCCCTCTTTCTTGTCACTACCAAGCCTCTTGCAAGGCAATTCTCTACCAAGTGACTCTACAGGTCCAGATCAGTACCCCCACTCTTCTGGTTATTTCCAAGGTCACAAAGTCATTCAGTCAGCAAATAGACGCTAAGTTCCTGCTATGCACCAGACACTGAAGGTCATATTAATGAACAAAGCAATGGTCCTTTGCACTCATCAGACTTACACTGTACTAGAGGGAACAAATTAGCAATCAATAAATATTAAAAAAATTGTAACGTATGCAGATGGTGAGAAGTGCTTCAGAGTGAAAAACAGAGGACAGAGCAAAGATAAAACTGGGAGGAAGCAGTTGGGGTTTCTAGTCAGATCTGGAAAAGCAACTCAGGAGGGGGAAACAGAGAGAGCTAGGCCCAGCTCTGCACAGCACAAAGCAGGCTAGACAGTGCCCACCCATTTGCCAAAGGCCTGTCATCACCGTGCGACTCACTGACCACTGACCACTGCTCTTCCTGAAAGCTCTCCTTGCCTTGGCCTTGCATGTCCCACTCTCATTTACCACGCGTCGCTCCTCACAGGCCGGGCCCCACTCTTTCATGTTCTGCTCTTTCTCTGTTTGCTCCCGTGACAGCTGTTGGGGTGGTGCCTCCTCACCCCCAGTACAGAGTCACTGAGCACACTTTCCTGCCTCTCTGAAGGTAAGCGTGGCCGTGCAACTTTAGGCAATGAAATGCCAGCAGATGTGACATATGTCACTTTCTAGTAGTAGCTGCATGAGCCAGTGCATGATTTCCCACCTCTTTATCTTGCTGGAAAAAATGGAAACAATAAACCAATCTCATTAGGTGATTATGACCTAATATTCACAAAGCACGCGAGAGAGCGCCTGGAGCACAGTTCTTTCACCGGAGCTGTCACAGAGTTACATAAGAGAACCCACGAGTGGCCCTTATCACACCACAAACCCAGGGCTGGGCCCAGAACCTTTCTGGAGGAGTCTCCCAAGAGAGCGCCCCCAGAGGCGGCCCTGGCATCCTGTTACTGCCTTGGAAACAGTCACAGAATCTGTGTCAAGGTGGACATTCCATCCATATGAGCAGTACGCCAGGTGCTCAATGCCACTAAATACAGTTGCACAGCAAGAAAATCTTTCCTGTGTGTGATAAGACCTGGAGTATTTGTTACTGCTCTGCAGCCCTAGCCCGTTTTGATTGGCACAATTTCCAAAACGGAGCTATTCAGGAGGTTACCCCAAGGGTTGCCACAGCCAAGTCCCTGGCTGCAACCACCACCAACATATTGATGACCAAGGTACAGCTCTCCGGCAAGCTCTCTCTTGAGGGCTCCAGTGTATACCCAGGCACGTGCAGATGGTTCTACTCGGTTACCTCCCAGGCAGACTCTGTCACTCCAAAGCAAGCTTTGCTTCCAACCCAAGCCTCCCTTGGATTTCCCTGTCTGTGAAGGCACCATGATCCATCTTTAAGGAACCAGGACTCTGAACTCCCTTCTCCACCTATCCTTAACCCCCAACCAGTCCAGAGAACATCCAGGGTCCTCCTCTGCCTTTCCTTAGACCCGTCCCCTCCTCTGTTCTCACCACCCAGCCCCAAGCCTTGGTCATCTCTGCTTTCACATATGAGCTAAACACAGTCACCCTCCTGCTTCCACGCAGGCTCATGTCAAGGTTCTTTCAAGAACGTCACTATTGCACCCGTGTTTATAGCAGCGCAATTTGTAATAGCTAAATCTTGGAAACAACCCAAATGCCCATCAACCGCAGAATGGATAAAAATGATGTGGTATATTTATACAATGGAGTATTATTTGGCTATAAAGAAAGATAAACTTGAGGCTTTTATAGGTAAATGGATGAAACTTGAGACCATACACGTTAGTGAAATAAACCAAACTCACATGTGTAAACATTGTATTGTCTCCCTAGAGTAAAATGCTGAAAGAGTAAATTAGATCCAAAATGTAAAATACATATGGTGAAAGCGACAGGTAAAGAAAGTGCTCAAAAGGAAAGAACAACTGGGATAGAGGGAGAAGAAAAGAAAGAAGGGAATACACACACACACACACACACACACACACACACACACACACAAGATATATAACTACACTACTAACTTCTGTTAGTTCACCAAAAAGAACAGTTTGTGTTTTCATTGTTCAATTGTTTGATAATTTTTATCCCTCTATCTTATAATCTGAACAACTACCTTGAAGATAACAATATACAATATATTAACCCGTGTTAATTTCCTATTATTTTGTTTTGAAATTCTGTATCATTTTCATTTTATTCATTTTTTAAAAATTGTATTCATCCATCCAAAAAAACAAGACCGTAACTATATAATTTGTCATCTCGCTTCCTTCTCTGAGTCCTTTTCCCCGGCATCCCTCAGCTCTCCAGATAAAAGCTGAATCTCTCTCTCTGACCTGTCAGACACTGTATCATCTAACACCTGCCCACATTTACAAAGTCAGCTTTTTGCCTTTTGCTGTCTTTGAAAAGCAGGTGCTAGATGTTAATGATTACTGTTTATAGCAACAGTAATAATGTTACAGACTTCATCGTGCATGTTATAATCTCTGATATATTTTCTGAACTCTTTGAACTACACACTTAAAACAACAGTAGCTATTCAGTCAGTGTTTGCTGGACAGTGTTAGGCTGGGTGACGGCCTCAGTAATGAATGAGTGAATGAAACGCATGATTAATACATACACACATACTCACATCAAATCAACAGACAAGTGGAAGACTTCTAACTCTTCAAAGAGAAGACTTACACTTTCTTCCTAAGCCAGAAAAGTGTAATTGCGAGTGGGCATCATTTATGTTCTCATTTTATTCTGTTGCCTCATTTCTTCAAGTTACACTGACAGCAGCATTCTGAAAGGGTTTATCCACTAAAAAGCAAACAGGGCACAACATTCTCCAATCATCCCCTGCATACTAGTTAAAAGAGCACGGTGGAGCTGTGAGCGAGCCTGCAGAATGATCCACAGTGCACTAATTATGGAAACGGTAGCCTTTACAGGAGGGAAGACCAAACGAAGGAAATAGCAAGAAGTTCAAATAGCCAGCAGTTTCCAGTGAGATGAAACAGGGACTGTTTCCCACCAATGCACCTGTTTCTTTTCTTCCGTTTTCCTTCTTTAGCTTATAGAGTAAACTTTTTAAAATATTTTAACCCTCGATAACTGACATGCATAGCAACAGAAGGTAGTAAATACCAAATGGATTCTTTTTGAATAAACCTGCAAAGGAGCTCTTACAAATATTTTAATTGTGGAAGATTTGGCATGAAGAAAATTCAGGTTCAATCTAAAACTGACTCAGACCTGAATGGACGAGCATTTTCAGTAAGTCTGTAGGGCCTCTTGCATCCATTACTGTGCTGGGCGGAGGAGAATCAATCTTCAGCTGCTTCCCCATGAAATTTCGGCAGGTGATCTTCAGAAAAAGATGAAAAAAAATATGATTTAGTCAGTTATTTAGAGTTAAAAGATTTGGCTTACTTAAAATATTTATCTCAATTTTTTTTTATTTGTCAAGATGAAGAGATACAAAACACTGCTACAAATAAAAGCTGAAAGGAGGCATTAGGTCATGAGAACTTTGGGGGGGAACATGGCCATATAATTTTTCATGTTCCTTGTGTATAGCACAGCTGGAAAAGCATTAGGCAAATTATGCAGAGCAATTAGAATATGGTTTCCTGGTATTCCATAAATTCGTGCATCTAAATATACCTTCCATTATGTAAGCTGAAACATAAAGTATCTCCTGCCCCTGCAATGGCAGGTTTCTCCAGCCTACTCATAATTAAGGCAATTTTAGCTTCCCAGATAAAGTTTCACAAAACTAATTTCCTCTGCAGAAGTTAATTCCTAACAGATATCTGAGCCTGCAAGTTGTAAAATACTTGAAAACAGAAAACTTTTAGACAAAAGCAAATTCATTTAAAGAGTTTGAGACTCTTCTCTCTCCATTTCTCCAATCCCGTTCCTTGATCAGACCTAGCATTCAAAATACAGCCCTTCTTCTCAAGCAGATAATTCTTCTTTATCTTCCTTTATTTTCCATAATGAGATATAAACAGACTAATAAAATCTCAATTCCTGCCTGCAGTCTAAAGAGGCTCTCGCTGACTCAGTCCTCCCTGCCTCTCCAACTTGCTAAACAAATCTTTATGGACCACCTATTATGCGCCAAATACTGAAAGGATAACACATCAGAGAAACAAACAGCAAACATTTCCACTTTTTATGGAATTTATTCTAATAGAAGAAGAAAAATAAAATAGGGAAGTATGTTGACAGTATACTAAACGTAATTGCTGTCGCAGCAAACAGAGCAAAGGCTTATATAACTTTAAGCAAGATGGTAAGGAAAGGCCTAAGCATGAAGGCAACACATGGCAAAAATGATAATGGAATTTGAAAAAGACAGAGGAAAACCAGGGTGTATGGGGGCGAGGGGTCCTCCAAACAGGGGCCACAGCAAAAGCAGAGACCTTGAGGCAGGTATACCGTAAGGAACAGGGAAGTTAAACCGTGCAGTTCACACTTGAGAGTCGCAGCATGTGAGTCCTTGGAGACCACAGGGAGCACGCACTTGTGTGACTTACACGAACGAGGTGTGTGCTACTAAGGCCACAACAAGTAAGTTCACAATACCGTGAGTCGAAGACGGGGAGAGATCATCAGGATTTAAACAGAGTCGTGACCTGATCTGGCTTGGGCTTTTAAAGAGTCATTCTGCCTGCTGCAGGACTCCAGCCTAGCTAGGGCTGCGGTGTAATTAACTCGAACACATAAAACAGTGGTTGCCTCAGAGAGATGGTAGTGGTGAGAAACACTCAGGTGCCGACTACACTTTGAGGGCAGAAGATCTGGAAACTAATCTGAAGTATGGCAAGAAATGAGAGGCGTCCGGGTGGCCTCCCAGGTGTCCAGCCTCAGCAGCTGGGAGGAGGAGGCCATCAGCAATGGAGGCGGAGAGATTCCTCGAGATAGACTTCTCTAAGAAGAGGCTTGCTAAATTTGCAAGGTGCATTCGTGTCAAAGAGATGGCACTGACCAGGCAGCACAGTGGTTTTTCACAGGTCAGTTTAGTTAGAACTAAGCTAAGACAAGGAAAGGGCAGGAAACATCCATCTGGCAGGATATCCACAATGAATCCCAGTTCTTCCAGCAAACGTTCACGTAGGCACAGCTGTGAAAGAGTTTTGTGGGTGCTAATTGAAGTTCTTAATGAACTGAGCGTGAGCTGGGGAGATCACCTTCAGTGGGCCTGACCTAACTGCACAGTGGTCTCCAGGGCTCCAAACACCAAGCAGTGATCAGACCTACAGCTGCTCTCTCTTCGTGGTCCGGCTGTGGATAACAGCTTCTGTCCATGCCCGTGGAGCTCCTTCTGACAGCCTCTCCTTGGACTTGCTTAGCCTGCACTCACAATCACCTAAGTCAATTCGTTGCAATAAATCCAGACACTGAGACAGATGGATACAGAGAGCTGTCTTGCTAATTCTGCTTCTCCAATTGAAGCGTGGCTGCTGAGGGATGTATTCGATATTCCGACACAACACTCAGGAGTGGGGTCCAGAGTGGAGATGGAATGGACAGATGTCATAAAGATGCCCTTAGAGCCACAGGCTGAATTTACTTCCTGAGGGAGAGCGCATGAGTAAACAGACAGGAAGTCCAAGAGCAGAGTCTCAGGGTACACTAACACCAAGACCCTGGGGAGAAGAGGAAGTCACAGCAAAGAAGGCCAGAAAGCACAGCGCTGCTTTGGACAGGCCCGTCTCCACCCCATTCCAGCCAGGCAGACCTTCTTGCTGTCCCATCTCAGGACGCTTGCCTTGGCTCTCCCCTGGGGCTGGGGAGCATCACCCTAAAAGGTCTCGCTAAACTCTCCACCTCCTGCCCCAGCCCATCGATAGCCCACTGATCTAGTTCATTCTCTTTGGAGAACTTAGGATGATCACAAAGCTTTCTAACTACTCCATCTCCATCCTCTGAAAGTAAACTCCATGAAGCAGGAACTCAGCTGTATTCTCCCCACATGGGACATACAGCAGGCAAGGGCCCCCCGGGACACAAGAGGCAGTCAACGGATGGAGGTGGCACCACAAGCCCACAGCAGGGACTGGATTCCAGTCCACATGTGCCAGGGACTCTAGGGCAGGACAAAGACTGTGCGGCTCTGACCAGGTGACCATTACATTTTTGTTAAAATGGTGGGAATATTAACTTGTATCTCTTCTCTGATTAAGCTAAGCACTGTCACCTTTGGGGGCCTGTGTCTCCATATAAAACTATTAAATGCTGTATTTTATAATTGTTTCAGTCTGAGTCTAATAAAACATTTTCTTTAACCTGCATGCTATTTTCTTATTTGAAAAGCAACTGAAACATTTATAGTGGGCCCCTAAAAGTATTGCGGGCTCTAGGCACTGCCCCAATTGTGCCTACTGGTAAGTCAGCCCTGACCTGACTATACACTACTGGTGGAAAAAGACTTAACTACAGTTCACCCTGTGCCTGGAAAACACCGGAAAGCAGAGAGCTCTGAGTAATGTCAGATGATTTGAATGATAAACGCCTAAGTGAAAATAACACTTTTCCAATGCCTAAGTCGTTTTTTTTAATATGCACACTAATAAGAAACGCACAGCTGCACAAATAAAAGAGCTGAACTTACCTTCATCCCATGTTCAGCCTCAAACCTTGCACAAGCTTGTTGGGGAACATCTGGGCCCTTGAACTTCTCTATTCTCAGAAGAAGCTGACGCTGGGCATAGACCAGGAGTGGCGTCACCTGTTCTGTGTATCTCTCACTAGCAGGAGCAAAGAATGCAGGAAAAAGCGAACGTTAGCTAAAAGACTTTCTGTGCAGTGAAGCCTCTGTCTTGTAATGACGGCGATACTCACTGGGAAATCATATTGAACTGAATGGCAAGTGACACTAGAGTTTCCCATTTTTCTACTTGATATAAAACTTCCAGTGATTTTAGCACAAAGTCATGGATCCATTTCAAATCAACCACATTAACATCGTCCAAAGGGTCCTCAAAAGTGAGGCTAGAGCCTCCGTTGTCATATTTGATATTCCCGTAACAGCTTGGAACACTGAATTCTCCTTTGTCTTCAACAGACTGCAAATGGTACATTAAAAAACAATTTGTGTAATTTCTGACTGTACTGCCTATTTTTCCTGAAAAATGAATATTATAACATGAAAAAGAATGGAACAGAAAAGAAAGTGTTACGCATGTTTTATTCTGCAAATCAAAGCTTGATAATTTGGGAGGTGCTATCCAGTAGACTTTTCAGTGACAATGAAAATATACAGGATTTGTGCTGTCTGATAATAGTTCGACACAGTCACTAGACACAAAAGGCCGCAAAATATTTAGAATGGTTTTAGTGCAACTGAATTTTTAATTTTCTTTAAGTATTTCAAGCTTAAGTTTCAATAATGATGCACACTAACATTTACCGCATTGGAACGCATAGGCTGGGGTCTCCACTTCATAGACAGTCACTACCCATTTATGTCATGGGATTAAACCAACATGCCAGAGTTTTTAGGAAAAACAAGCTCCAGTATCTATAAATAATGAAATTCCCTAACAACTTGATTACACTGACTAATGTACATAATTTATATCCGCTTCCTTGCTGCAAGGCAAACCCATGGAAGAAGTCTTCTAATCCCTCTTTTCACCTGGGTTACTGAAACTGGTGGCCACTGTTTCCACTATAATATTGCATTCATTTCCCCTACATCTCTGATGTGTTTATCTATTCTAAAAACTTCTGAGACAAAGCAAAGCTTGTTGGACCCATCTAAGTGAGGGTCAGTCTACAACCAAAACAGTTAAGCTATCCAAGTCCAGCTTCCCTGGACTTGCCATTAAGGGGCAGAGAAAGGATGAACAAAAGTAAATGCTAAGATTCACAATCCTTGAAGTTAAAAGACCTGTGAGATACAACTGCATAAGTGAGGCTGGGCTGCACAGGGCTGACCACCAGCTGCAGCACCTGCTCCCTAGCATAGCGCCCTGCCCACAGGATACGCTTTACAAAAGTTAGCTGACCTTGTACTGATACTACGAGCTCAGTCCCTAAGCCACCGGATCCACAGAAGACCTCCAGCAGCACAGTCTGCACAGAGGGCTCCCTCCGCGTCTTTGACCTAAGGCCTCCAAGTGGAGGTGCCCTGTCTTCCCCTCGCTGCTCTTAGTGAGTATGCAAGAGGTCACATCTATCTCAACTGACCCTTCCTGGGCGATTGCTCTGCCTGACCACAGGATCCCACAGGGACATTTCTTCACCACTCTATCCTCAAAGAAAGAGGGTTTCTGCTGTCTGTGGCTCATGCCCGAGCTGTGGAGTAAGTCCTTTTCTGAGATGAAGGATAGGGGAGTCCTCTGTGGTTACCGCTTCTTACAATACAGAATTCATTAACAGCGGAGCTGACATTTTACCCCCAACTATATACTCAGCACCCAGCTCTCAACTGATCCCAACTCAAGAGAGGAAAAAGAGAGTGTTACTCCTGGAATGAGGAGTGTTACTTCCTAATTTCACAACGTTACCTGGAAACATTGAGGGGAAATTTTTTTTTGAGTTTCAAAATAGCACATGGAAATTGAGATTTCTGGCATGGTCATGGACAGACTCTCACATTTTGAAGATTCAGTATGGGCCGTGTGTAATTCTTTAAAACTTCGTACTAGAGAAAATTTCTAACAGCTTTCAAAAGGAAGAAAAGGAATCTAATGAGCCCCAGTGCATCCACCACCGGCTTCAATAATGACCAACTCGTGGGACCCACACTCACTCCATTATTGTGAATTATAGCCCAGACATTATATTAAATCAGTCTAAAAATATTGCAACATACTTCTCCAAAAAGATATGAATTAGCTCTACAAAAATATAACCATAATATTATAATCCTACTGAAAAAGAGGTTAGCAAAAATCCTATAAAATCTTTATTGAACAGCCACTGAACAGAGTTCTCATTTCTCTTATTATCTTAGTAATTTATTTTTTAAAGTATTTTAGGTCAAAATAGGATCATAAGGCCCAAACACTGCAATTTGCTGTGCTCATAAGTCTTTTAAATCTATAGGTTCTGTCCCTTTTTTGTTGTTGTTGTTAAATAATATGTTATAGCTTTTAATGTGAAAATCCTGTGCAAGCTTCATTAGATATATTCCTAAATATATGATACTTTGGGTGGTATTTTAAATATAATTATGTTTAAGTTTTCACTTCCTAATTGTTTTCTGTAAGTAAATGGAAATTTAAGTTTTGAATATTGATCCTATATCCTGCTTTAGTAGTTCTAATAGTCGTTTACTAGAGTCCTGAGGGATGAGGATTCCCTAAGTAAAACAATCATGTTCACAAATAAAAACTGTTTTATGGATTCCTTTCTAAGCTATGTTCCTTTTGTTTCTTTAGTTGGCCTTACCATACTGACCAGGAACTCTAGCACAATGCTGGACAAAAGCAGAAAGAGCAGATACCCTCTCTGTACAAATATTAGGGGGAAGAATCTAATATCTGCCATTAATAAATGCACTGTTACCTGTAGGTACTCTTCATCAGGTTGAAAAAATCAATTTCTTTAGAATTTAATTTTTAACTGACACACAAAAACATAAAAGTTGTACATATTAGTGGGATACCATGTCTCATACAGATACACATTTCACAATGTTTAAATCACATTAAATATTTTATCTCCTCAAACATTTATAGTGGGGGACTGGGGATTTAGCTCAGCGGCATAAGCACCTGCCTTGCAAGCAGGCAGTCGTGAATTTGATCCCCGGTAACGATAAAAAAAGAAAAAGACAAAAAAAAATTTATAGTGACAAATTTCAAACCCATTTCTTGGAGCCCATTAAAATGTGTAATACACTCTGTTACCTATAATCCCCACACTGTAACGGTTCACCAGAGCTTCCTGCTTCTGTGACTTCGTACACATGGATCAACATTTCCCCATCCCTCCCAAGACAGATGTCACCTATTCCTGGCTTGCTGAGTTTCTAACAATGGACACTGAATTTTTAGAATGGTCTTATGTTGTCTCACTGGCCTTATGATTTTCCTCCCTTATCTTGTTACTACAGTGAATTACACTAATTGGTTTTTAAATCTCAACCTTACATTTCCTGGATAAGCTTCACTTGATTACCAGTAACATGTTTTTGTATTTTTGCAAATTAGATCATTATCTGTATATTTTTGGGGATTGATTTGTTAACATTTCATAAAGAAGTATTCTGTGTATGTTCCTGAGCGATACTGGCTGACAATTTTCTTGTCAATATCTCGGCTATATAAAGCAAAACTGGCCTCATTTCTGAAAAAAATTGATGTAAGACATTTTATTTCTTTTCTGTACATTTGCTAGAATTCCCCCAGGAAATATTCTGGGTTTGGAATTTTCTTTATGGGAAGGTTCCTATGAATTCACTAGTTCTTGCGTCAGATTTGTTAAACTGTACTTTCCAAAAAGAGTATCCATTTCTTCTAAGTTTTCAAAGTTGTTGGTCAAAATTGATCACAGTATTCTCTTATTTCTCTTTTACGATCTGTAGGATCTGTCGCCATATTTCCTTTTCATCATTAGTATCAGGAATTTGTTGTGTTTTGTTTTTTGGGAAGTGTGTATTTTGTTCTGTTTTGGGGGGCGGGGTTCTAAGCAGGGGTTGTTTTTTGTTTTCTTTTTGAAACACAGCCTCACTATGTAGAGCAGGCTGGCCTCAAACTTGCAGTGATCCTCTGGTCTCAGTCTCCTAAGTGCTGGGATTACAGGCCTAGGCCACCACACCCAGCAATATCAGCAATTTGTGTTTTTTATTTTTGTTTTTTATCATTATTTTTAGCAGTATTCTAGTTTTAATAGTCCTTTCTACAGGTTTTCTTGGTTTGTTTTGGTTTGGTTTTTTGGTACCAGGGATCGAACTCATGACCTCACAGTTGCCAAGCAGATGCCGTGCTGCTGAGCTAAATCCCCAGTCCTCTAAGGTTTGATTTTGGACCTGATTAATTTTTTCCTTTGAGTTTCTGTTTATTTGCTTGACATCTAACTGGTTTCTGTTAACCATTCTGTCAATTTTTTCCTTATACCCTTTCTTCTTTACACTGATATTGAAGTTAATTTTTCTAGCTCTTTAGGCAGACAGTGTCTTCTTTCCTAGTAAGCATTTAAAGCTGTGCCTTTTCTCCTCTGTACAGCTCTAATCAAATTCTACAAACACTGACCGTCTACCATCAGCTTTACGTATTTTCTAACTTCTTTTGTGTCTTGTCCTTTAACTTACAGGTTATTTAAGATCGCACAGTTTAATTTCCTGATACCTGGAGACCGTCCTCCATACCCTGTGGTAATGTGTGCATTTAGCCCTGTTGTCACTAGGAGCACATTCTTCCACGTTTCATTAAACCTCAGGTTTCGGCCTTTCCCGTGACCCGCTCTGGGGCACACACATGCACTCTCATGCTCCGTGTACATCCCCCCAAGTGTGCCGCACTCCAGTCCTGACACTGCCCAGGGTCACTGTCAGATGTCGTGGGTGCAAGGGCTACCCAAACACAGGTCTCAGGGTCACCTGCTTCTCCAAATGACCAGCTATGAGTTCAGGGGAACCATAACACAGCCAGAGCGGGTGACTCCCCAAAAGGACCTCAGAGCTCACTGGAAGCCTTCGTGTGCAGTGATCACAGGTTTATGGCAAATGACACAGCTCGGGAACAGCCACTGGCAGAGGCCTCTGGTGAGGCCTGAGAGTCCCAGACAGTTGCCCTCTCTTTTCCTTGGGGTCTCAGAACACAACACCCTGCTGATGAGTCAGTGTGCCCAACAGGTAGAAGGCTGCTCCAGCTTGCCCGGCCAGGGTATATTTTAAATTTCTCTTCTGAGGGGAGCCACCAGGTAGCTGAACATAATGGAGGCCCTGGAGAGTAGAGAGGGACTAACACTCAGCCCCCTTCCGCTGGCCCTGTGCAGCTCTTCATCTGAATGGCCATTGTGTTGTCTGGGGATCACTTCCCCGCCCAGCACTGTAAAACCAAACCTGCAGACCAAATCCTTATGGAGGCTATAGCACAGGTTGATGAAATTAAGAAAAATCTAGAGCCAAGTTAGTGTAGCTGAACATATTTGGTGTGAACCGTTTTCCATACCGCCTGAGTTAATTTGCAGTCCCACCAGCAGTGTGTAAGAGCGGCCCTCCCTGGCACGCCTGCCAGCATTTGGTACCTTTTGTCTTTCTGATCTCTATTCTAACGGAACTGAAGTGTTGTCTCAATATAGTTTTGATTTACATTTAGTGATGTATTTATCACTGATAAACAATGATATGAAGCTTTTTAAAATACCTTTTGGCCATTTAGGTTTTCTTTTGAATAATGTTTCTTTAGGTCTATTTCCCCTTTTTAAACAGGTAAGTGTTTGGATTATTTGTTCATTCCGTTACTTAATATACTCTTTCTGTCTCATGCTATTGTCCTGTATTTTCATGCAGAAATATTATAAACTTCATTGTCCATTGTGTCATATGCTTATGAATTTTTGGTATTAAGGATATGTTATATCTATATTGTCTGTTTCATTTCCATGCTTTAAACAACAGAGTAGTACATTTTAAATGTCTTTAAATTCTAGTAGAGCTCAAGTAAAAGGACAGAGAAGATAAAAGAATGGAATAAAGACTGACTAGTAATCTGTACTGATCTACCAAAGGGTGTTTCTTTATCTGTCAAGATGATTGTTATGTAGATTAAATGCACAAGGAATACTTTACTTAGGAGTTGAACTCAGGACATTTTACTTTCCTTTCTCTTTAACAAATGCAATGATCAAACTAAAATAATTTTAATATCTTAATATTTTATCAACTTATGCAAGTTATGATTTTAAACAAAATAATAATGGCAAAGATAGACGGATAGATAGATAGACGGATAGATAGATAGACGGATAGATAGATAGACGGATAGATAGATAGACGGATAGATAGATAGACGGATAGATAGATAGACGGATAGATAGATAGACGGATAGATAGATAGATAGACGGATAGATAGATAGACGGATAGATAGATAGACGGATAGATAGATAGACGGATAGATAGATAGACGGATAGATAGATAGACGGATAGATAGATAGACGGATAGATAGATAGACGGATAGATAGATAGACGGATAGATAGATAGATAGACGGATAGATAGATATCCCAAATGGGAATTCAAGGAAATTAGTAATTCTGCTTATTTCACACTGCATGGAAGATATTCTTAACTGAATACAAAAAAAAAGGAATTACCAGTATATCCTTACCTGAATAGAATTGGTATTTTGTAGTTGTACTAACATGTCAATAAGTAAATCTGCTCCCAAATAGAACGCTAAGACAGAGATACAGAGGAAACCATCATGGCTCACAGGAAATGTCTTATACAAATCCACTGTCTGGTTAAGAAGTATCTGCAACTCCTGGGTAAAGTTCCAGAAGGCCCGACAGCAGTTCTGAAGCAGAGTCCAGTAGCCCCCTCGATGGGCAAGAACCTGTGACACAACACACAAAAGGCCCCCAAATTCCAAAAGTTACAGATTTCAGAAAAACTTTAGCTTTATGCAAATCTTACATGTCAGTAATAAAAATGACACCATCTATTACATGCCAGGTGGTGATTTATACGTGGTAAGATATTAACTTGCATTGTGCCATTTGATTCTAGCAATAACTCCGGGGACGCAGTTATGCATTAACATTCTATCCGGAGAGGAAGCAGAGGCGTGTGCTGACTTGCGTGTGACCATTAATCTACCGGGTGGCAACGCAGGACGTGAGCACCAAGATCGGAGCAGGGACCCGAATGCTGAACTGAGCAAGTCATGAGTCAAGGGTGATGGAGGCGTTGGAAAGAGAAGAGCACTAGAGGCTGAGACCAGCAAGCACGAAGGAGAGCAGGTGGAGGCTGAGGAGGCCCAGCTGGGAAGGAGGTCCATACTGTTAAGAAAGCAGAGGCTGGATGAGCTGAAGAAGTATCTTCAGCAGGAAGATGAGGAATAGGAAGAGTTCAGTTCCACAAATGAACAGGACTTAGCAACTCCATGTCCCTGGGAGAGAACTGGTGGGAAGGGGACAGAATTCCATATTCAGGTCAAAGGGTGATGCTCTGGGTTTGCATCATGTTTCATCAAATCACTTTGTCCATTCCATGCAGGATATGGAAGCTTAGGCATTCTTTTCTTATCTAAAAGGATAGTGTTCTCCTCACCTCTTGAGAAGCTTGAAATATACTCCCTTCCAGATTTCATTACAACTACTGATTCCAATTCCATGTTTAACAATCCATCACATAAGATTTAAAAAGAAGAGAGAAAGGCACTGATATGCAAAGACATGAGCGGTCAATAGAAGCCAGTGACTCGGACAAGGGCAGAGCTTTCTGTAGCCTGGAATGATCTTAGCCTGTGCTAGGATGGAGAGAAGGTGATGACACCTCAGGGGACACCAAGACCCCAGAGAGGACCCTCTGGCCTCACAAGAGAATCCCGCACACTATCTGTGGAACAAAAGTAGCAGAGATGTGTGTATAGTTGCAGGACTTCATGGAGAGGACAAAGGGCACCCAGGCTCTGAGTGGATGGATGGCAGATGACCAAAGGAGCACAACCTAACTTCAGTGTGCATAGCAGGAAGCAAACATCCAAAGTGGCTGAGATTAAATTAACAAGATGAGATCAACAAAACAAGATCAAACTAAAATTATGTACACATAAAATACAACATATCTAACAGGTCTGGCTTATGGGCTGAAATTTATGTCTACTACACAAGCAAATGAAAGTTCTACATTACCATTGCTCTCCTGCAATATAAAAAGATTTTCATAAAATGCTCCTGTCCCAAATTTGGTGCTCGGTCCTTTGGAGAGTCAGAGTCATGAACTTTTGGTGCCTTGGACATATTTTCTTCTTTACTTCTGCAACTAGCAAACTCAGAAAATTCTGCAGCATCTACAGTTAAAAAAATAATAAGAAAAAGATACAGCATGATTGAAAACAGAGTTAAGTCCCTGAAAATACAACAGGTGAAAAGCATCAAATAAGTAAACCAGACAAAAAAATGTGACATACACTTGGAGAAAGGACAAAAGAATCAGAAATACAAGGAACAGGAGGAACTTTCTAGAAAAACGAAGCTGTTAGACCTTAGGGGATGGACATGATAGAGCCACTGAGAACCGTGGAGAGCACTTCAGACAAAGGGGAAGCCAAACGGAGCAATGCAGCAGGAGGCATGCACGTGCCTGGGGAGCAGCAATGGCAGCACCCTACTGCTCCTCGTTCCCCTCTAGCAGGCCGTCCCAGGACTCAGACACAGTCTGCACAAGGCATCCTGAGTCAGGTGGGCAGCAGCCCTGCTGCCCTGGGTGTGGCATCCAAGCAGGAGCCGTTCCCTCTATCCGCTTTCCTGACTCTGCACTAAACACCGTCTGGATGGCAGAAGGGCCTATAGCCAATTCCTGGGGGGTCGTGAGCCAGGAGCCCATTTAAGAAAAAAACCTCAGGAAGGTATATTCTATAATCTACATAAAACAATTAGACTCCGTATGTATGGAATGGACTTTTGAATACTTCAATATGCATAGTATGGCATGTAGGAACCAGTTAAAACTGGTCTATACCCTGGGAGAAATCAGAAACCACGCCGAGTATTGAACAGGAACTGAAGTGTTACACCCGAGAGCAAGCCTTGAGCTTACCGGAGGCTACCGATGTTTAACAGAAGAGAGGAACAGCCAAACTGGCTTAGGTTGAAACAGGAAAATAGCTATTTCCAAATATATGCTACCCTAAAATATAGACTCTTAATATCAAGTGTAAAAATTTCCTATAAAACATCAGAACTCAAAAAACTCAACTAAATTACTGATTTAGGGAGACAATATGTGTATCTTTATGAGTCTTGTGTGTGTGTGACTTTCTTTCTTGTCACTAGGACAAAATACTCATCACCCACAACTTAAAAGAGAAAAGATGTATTTGCCTCAAATTTTCAGTCTACAGTTGGCTGGCTCCAAGGCAAGAAAGGCATGGTGGAAGGTGGGAGAGGATAGCTGCTCAGCTCATGGCAAACAGGAAGCAGAGAGAAAGGACGCTTTGGGTGGGAGACAGACTCTTCCAGGTCACTCCGCAGTGACCCAGCTCTTTCAACCAGCCCCGTCTCCTACCGGGCATTCAGCTCTGAACACATCCGAGGATTAACCCACTGACAAGTACAGTCCCTCACAATCCAATCAGCTCCCCAAATCCTCACCTCTGAGCACATGAGCATTTGGGGGGACATTGCAGATCTAAACTATGACAACATCTGTGTATGTGTTACTGAAAAAAACTCCAGAGGCAATGTGATAGTGAATCATCATGCTTATTTTACCTGATGGTAAGTTGGCTTTTCTTTTCTTAGCTGTAAGGGGAAAATCAAGCACTGCTTTATAATTTTCTACAGTCATTTTTCCTGTTGGTAATACTGTTCCTGAATTGTAGAGTGAGAATAAATTAGGATCACATGATCGGAAACTGTAAAGGCAAAAAAATCACATTAAAAACACAATAAAAGCAAAATTGAATTAAATCTGTCGAATACAATCTATTTTTTATCTTTAAAACATTTGTGACTGAATGCTCTCAAATTTTAGGTCATAAAGTATTTTGGCACTTAATCAAATGAAAACACTTTCCCATTAACTTTTTAAATTATACAGTGTAACCTGGCTCTTAGGAATTTTAACATCAATATCTATTTCCCTGAAAGTGCCCTTGAAAATGGGAATGAGAGATCTATACTCACTCTTTGAGCTCTGAAAGCAATCATCTGCGTGAATTTACAATCACCTGAATTAAACACAACTCAATAAAGATGCTGACTGTCCACAATTACCGTTTTTTTTTAAGTCTAAGCTGTAAACAATTCACCACCGGAAGTTAATTCATTCATCAATTAATTACTGAACACACAGTAGGAGTTTTAGAGAAATGAAATTTAGCAACAAGTTTCATGTACTGATACAAATATGACATTGTGCTTTCAAGGAATTGTGTATACTTAATGGCACATAGTGGGGCACTCAAGAGAGACTGCTCAGCGTCCAGAAAACACCAAGGAAGCTTCATGTCACCACACCATGAATGGTCACTTTGCAAAGCTAACTACTGCTTCAGTGGAGATATGGTCCAGCACACACAGCAAAGAGAACTATCTAGAAATGTGTTTGTGAAGGCTGGACTGCCCGTGATTTTAACCACAGTTCGGAAGCAATTTAAGGATCAGAGCTCCCCCAAAGTGAACCGCAGCTCCTCTCAGCAACAGCGAGGTCCCGAGCCCCTCTGATGATGAGAACAGCCGAGTTCGTATCAGGGAAGAAGCTCCACAGCTTCCCCAGGAGAGCAACAGCTCCAAACAGCACTTAGGGAACCCACAACACTCCTTGTTCCTCCAGGTCTCTTTTATGCTGGCCACAATCCTCAGGGGGCCGTCCATGCTCAGCACCGTGCTCATTCAGTTCAGCTGGTGTTAAGTCGACCACCAGTTTTTAATCCACCACACCTCCTTTCCACCCTCTTCCTTTCCTCATTTACAAAGCTCTGTTTCCATTTACCCGCTTTTTTTATTTTAAAGAGAATAAACAACAGAGAGCAGAAGAAAGCAAATCAGAACAGAACAATCACACAGCACTTCTCCCAAGACAACCGGATATCAACAGTAGCTGCCATAAAGTCTCTTTTCTTTGAAATAGCTGAAAATCTTGTTGTGAAGTCCTGCCATGCTTTTGTTCTTCTGTTTTGATTGGTTCTGTCCTGTTGTGTCTTACTAGATTTTATTGTGTGATGGTATAATTATACAAATTTTTTTAAGGAAAATGAGATACTATAGTAGCCATTGTTCATTTCCTGTTATTGGTTTCGAAGTCCTGTAATGTTTTCATCCTCTTGAATGGTTTTATACTGTTTGTTATGTTTGATATTATTGTATGTGAAGGTATGCTCAGCTGTTCCATTTACCCCCTTAATTTATAGCACCGTCTTGAGTCTTTCATCCTTCAACCTGTTTGATATGTTGCTCCTAGAGAAATTTTGTATCACAGTCCTGCTCAAAAATGCTCAATAATGTTCTCTGTATATAAAATAAAGCTCAGGTTTAATAGAAGTTGAAGGTCCTCAGTGGCGTGGTACTGAATTACTTTTCTAACTATTTCACACCACTCCTTTTCACATGCCCTAGGTATCTGGGGGTTTTCATCCTATGTTTCCTAGCTGGGCTCTGCTTGTATTTTTCTAACTAGACAATGTCTACTTCCCTATTTGCACTTTTTTTTCTTTTTGAAATAGGTTCTCACAATGCAGTTCAGGCTGGACTTCACCTCACTTTGTAGCCCTGGCCTGTCTAGAACTTGCAACAATCTTCCTGCCTCAGCCTCTGGAGTGCTGAGATTACAGGCATGCACCACCCACCTGGCCAATCCGCACATTTCTAAACCCGGACCATCTAGCAAGACCCGGGCTGCTAGTCACTTCCCATGAAACCTTCCTGTTAAAGCCAGTCAGAGGAAAGCCTCTATTTAGTAACAAAGACAACTTTGAGTGTACTTGATCATCTACCGTTCATTATAGTTATTCATGATCATTTGTGATACACCCTACGTGTGTGTGTGTGTGTGTGTGTGTGTGTGTGTGTGTGTGTGTGTGAAAGAGACAGAGAGACAAGATAGAGAATCATCTTTGCATATCCATCGTACCTAACTCAGCGCTCTTTACCTAACAGGTGCTTGTATCTAATAGGCACCCTGTATCTAATAGGTATTTCTTTTTAGATGAATGATTCCAATTGCCTTTTTAATTATTACATAGTTTTCCATATCATGTACTGATCTATTTTATCTCCCACAGTACTTAGCCAAAGAGATTCAATGAGAACTCAAAAATGTCTGTTGAATTAGCAGTGGAAAACTTTCATTATATGAGAAAATATGATCTCTATTTACAGAGGTGTCAAATACACTTCCAAGTAAAATAGAGATTCAAAATCACCACAGTTATTACAAAATTACCCTTGCACGAAAAGCCACACCAACAAACATACTCAAGATATATGCAAACTGGCATATTATAAGCCTGTGTATCCAACACTTGTTTAGAAAAGGTTCCAAACCAAAAACTTAAGAAATGTATGGATGACCCATATAAAAATGTAGACTATAAAACATCATTAAATTGTCATGAACACTGGGCCTCAAACATACAAATATACAGCACGTATTCACGAGATTTAACAAGTATGATTTATCAGTGTTATACTGTACCTGACCGCCACATGCGAAATGCCAGATTTCGTCTTATTACGCTCCCCGAACCTTTGCAAAAACAGGTAAAAATGTGTGACTGCCAGAAACAAGTTCATCTGAGCTCTCCAGGGCATCTCCTCGAGGAATATTTGGCGAAACCTTTTTCTTCTCACATAACTTAATACTAGAGGACTCAAGCGTTCCATCAGGCATTGATAAGCTACTTTTCTAACATCGGATCTCTTGTTTCTGGCAAGAAAGAAAGTTTTGAAATTTCATAAAAACTTCTAGACATTGAATAAAAAAGAATGATTCCAATTTGTACAAAATAAATCAAGAAGTCATTTGACAGTCCTTAAGCAAATGCTTCTGGCTTGTTTATCATCTCCTCAGTGCTAAAAATGTTCATAGGGTAGAAGAGAAGACACAACAGTAAGCACCAGGGACAAAGGCACAACGCATCGCCTTTGACTCTGAGGTTTCAGCTCAGCCCAGAGCTCTTCTTTCCATGAGCACCAGGCCACTGGGACTCGACAAATGCATTACGACGCCAAGTGCACATTCATCAACCAACTTCAATATTAAACGAGAAAGTCATTTCTCTGTACTGGTCCTTAAGGAAAAAAACCAATGGAGCAAATTTTCGTCTAACACTATTAGACTCTAGAGGAAATAAAACATCAGTCAAATACAAATGACATGATTGCAATACACTCCAGAAAAAAATTAGATTTTACCTAATAACTCAGTTTTTAAGTATAATGTACATACGACTTTTTATAAATTCACTCCTATTGAAGCTCAAATAGTCCCAACTAGTTTTGTAGTTAGAGAGTCGTGCATGGGACACAGCATCATTCCTTCAAAGCCCTTCACCAATGGGTTTGGTACCATGGGCGAGGTTCTGTCCCACCGACTGGTCAACCCCATTCTACCTCACCCATGTTAGAGAAGGGAGAGAGGAAAACAGAGCCCAGCAGGAAAATCCGCACCCAGCTCACTGACACAGGAAGCCAGGGGGGGAAGCCGGGGGGAAGCCAGGGGGGAAGCCAGGAGGGAGGGAAAGGGGGGGGTTTTACAACAGAGGAGCGCAGGTGAGGAGAAACAAGGAAGCTTCCTCTTTTGATATGTACTTTGTACGTTTTCATTCAATTCAAAATACTTTAGATTTTGTGGATGACAATATCTTATTTAGATGCTTCTGAGGCTTTGGTGGTTGTTTCATTGTTTTTAACAACAGGTTAATTTGTTTCCTAATAGACATGGATATTTCAGTAAGTAGCAGTAAAAATAGACTGAAAGTACTACTTTTTAGTAAGCAGCTTATATAGTCTTGCTAAGTGACAAAAACCATATATATATGCCAGGACAGTGAAAATAGAATGAACTACTTAATAAATGATGTCATCTGAAGAAGAATATAATGCAAATAAGATGGATATAATTTAAGTATATTATAATTTACATAATCAAAAAAGGAATAATCAAAGAGATAAAGGCGAATGCAAACAGAAAAAAGTGGTCCTATTACTTTCCATGTGGTAGCAATTAAGTTCAAAATCACTAAGCAGGTAAAGACATTATATAATAATAAAGAAAAAACAATATATACACAGAGAGAGGGAGAGAGAGTACAAGAATCATAAATCTCTATGTGGCAGTGGTCTTACTCCTTGCATGTATTTTAGAATACTTTTTTCAGACACTTGTAGATTTCTGTGCAGTTATAAGTAAGTGACCTGCTATACCCAGTCAACCTTTTTGTGATGCAGCCTTTTTGTGTGTCTAAGGCAGGGTTTCACTAACCTGCCTGTGATGGGCTTAAGCCTGCCATCCTCCTACTTCAGCCTTCCATCTGCTGTGAATTATAAGCAGGCGCCACCATGCCTGGCACTCTTTACCTACTTCTGAGTTCATATCACACCATCATTATTACTTTGGCTTTAAACTAAACCTTGCTGTTTGATACAAAAAGTTTCTCTAGCATTTTTTCCTTCATGAAAGTCTGGGATAATTTTCTACAAAATAATTTAGCATAACTCATCAAGTGATACAAAATATTCTATTGTGATTTTGCTAAAGATAGAACTGAATATATATATATGCTGGCTTAGAAAGTTTTGTTATTTACAACATTTAATCTATCAATAGATAAATTACATTCTTAATTTTATCTTATAACATAGTTCCATGATTTTCTCCCTAAAAGTGTTGTGCATCCTTTGTTAGTTATAATAAAGACTATGTTTTGAAATTGGTGCACATTGGTGTAACTGGTTTATTAGGAAACAATTTGACATAACCTCAAAAACAATGAAACAGCCGCCATTCATAAAAATAGAAACTAAACATTTTGCCATAAAAATTTTTAGGATTCAGAATATTCAGATACAGCATAATCGCACATGGTTTGGAGGCTTCTCAACAAACAAAAAATACAATGACCAAATAATCCAGTAATCTCACTACTGGGTATTATCCAAAGAAAATTAAATCACTGCATCAAAGAGATCCTGGACAGCATGTTTACTGCAGCCTTCTTCATATCCACTGCGCTATGGAATCAATGGACATGCCCACTGGTGGATGAATGGATAAAGAAAACACAGCATATACACACAAGAGACTATTATTCCATCATAAAATAAACATTCAGTCTTGTCATTAGGGACAACATTGACGGCACTGAAGGAAATCATGTTAAATGAAATAAGATAAGGGTAGGAAGGCAAAACATGACTGTTTTTACTCACTTGTGAAAGCCAAAAAAAAAGAAACTTGAGAGGAGGATACAATGCAGATCATCAGAGACCAGCACGGGTACCAGAGAGGGGCTGTACTCAGAGATTTGGGAATGGATACCAAAATGCCGTGAGGTGGGAGAGATTCATTTAACAGTTCTATAACACAGTAAGATAACGATAGCCTACAAATGCTTTATGTTTCAAAGAAACTAAAGGCTCTCAACACAGAAATGATAAACATTTGAGGTGGTGGAAATGCTCTTTACACTGATTTGGTCAATACATATCATACACATGTATTGAATTCACATGCTGTCTCCCATTCATACGTACACATATTATCAATTAAAATTGTTTAAGAACATTAAATCCTATGATAAGTATAAAAATAATTCATAATTCAGTCACCAATTACACTGGAGCCAATGACTCTATAGCATATCACTTGTATATCTGCTCAGGGACTGTGCTGTTTCATTGAAATGCAAACCCAGAGGACAGTGGTTTCATCTGGTGTCTGGTTCACCAGGGAACCCTTCGTGTCAAAAATACGTAACAACCCTCAGGTACACCTTTATTGAATTAAATACTTAGTTAATACCTTTCAAATTCTGGCAATTCAAGAATGGATGGATTCCTGGTATACAAATCTTTTAAAGTTTCCTTTCTTTTACTTTTTCTTCTTGATACTGTTTCTGTACTCTTAAGAGTGGAAATAACAAAAATGTTAAACATTAAATTTAAACTTTGAACACAAATTTTATAACTTACACTCCAATGCTTGTTTCTCGATGCTGAAACAAAGTGATTTCTTTGCAGCCTTCAGTTAAAATGACTATCAAAATTAACCAAAGCACCCCCACAAAGGAATCTGATTATAAAAATATATAATTTAGGAGTTTACAATGTATTATAGCTATAAAATTGTACTTTTTTTTCATGTTGTAATAAATTAAAATATAGCCAATCATCTTTAAGTGCATGATCTCTTAAATTCACTTCCGTAATTTAAAATTAAAAATTTCTAGGAAACTCACTGCTCCAAAGTCTACTGCTGAAGTTTTGAACTTCAAAGGTACACTGGTCTTTCCAAGAGTATCCTTCATTTTTATTTTTTTTATTCCAAGTAGGGATTCATTCCTCCTAAAAAAGAGAAGGTAAATTTGATCAAAAAGATTTGCCAATATTTGCAGAACTGTCCCAAATTAATTAAACTTTAATGAATGTTGTCACTGAATTTATGAGACAATGACATTCAAAATTGCTTGTGTCCCAGGCATAAATTAGACAGTGGTCTCTGTCGGTCAAGGAATTGCTGGCCTCTCAAAAGACTGAGGTGTAAATCACACTATAAAATGCAATTGGAGCAGTGTATCTACAGTGTATAGGAAAAGAAATGGCAGAAGGTTTGATGCAGGCACAACAGAACTCCACCGCGAATACGGTAATACAGACACCTCCCTTTTGGCTGAGATGAAAACTACGTCAGAGTGACCCTACACAAACTCTCTTACCTCCAGCAAATTGCATTCTGTTTAGTTCCATGCTGTGCCAACACCCGCCAAAGCTGCCTTCTGGGTGCCAGTAGGAAGCAAGCGTGTTAGGTGCCTGTTACGCTTTCTCTCCCCTTGGTGAGCTGCAGTTCTTCACCGTCTTTTCTTAATGATAAACTCCAGTGAATTCCGCCTTTCCAAATACCGTAACCTCTCACTGTTCTATTGACACGACCATATAATTGCCCTGGCATTTGTATATTTTCTGGAATTTACATTTCTTTTACTATTTGAAATGTCAATAGGGACAACCTAAATCTTGCTATGACATGACACATGGGATCCAAAAACTTAAATGTACAGACACAAAAATGCATGGCTAATGAGATGACCGGGTGGCCAGCTCCAGGGGTCGGGATACGCTGGTCCTGGTCCCTGTGGCGTTGGCCTTTTCTGCCTTTGTGAAGATGATTATGGGTCCTGGGGCCGGCAAGGAGGCCAGCGCAGCTGCAGCAACTCTAAGGCGCTCTCGTTAGCTGGCATTCGCTGGGGCAAAGCTGGACCACTTGAACCGGTGACTGCTGGGGACTCAGGCACCCGCCTTTGTTACCTGCACCCTGGGACTGGTTCCCTGCCATTCTCCAGCAGATTGTCTCTCCCCTACGTCCCCCTCCTCCCACAGTACCCAGGGTTGGACAGCTTGCTGTGTTATTTGGGAAAGAGATGGGAAGGGGAGAAGTTTAAAATGCATACACTTGGTTACCACCACCCCACCAGTCTCCGCATTTTCCTCCATGAGCTCCAGAAGGCCCGTCCTCCTGAGTACATCAAATTCCTCCCCCTCTTCACTTCTTCATGGCCCCATGAGGCTCTAGCTTAAGGCTTCTTCTATTGTTTATGATGTTTTGATAACAACTTTAAATTTGTATGTAGTTAGCATGATTCTTTATTTCATGGCTGTTCATGACTTTGGTTACTATGCCTGTGGAGTCCCAATTAATGCCAATTAATTGAATCCCAGTTAATGCCAATTGAGTGCCAATGACTCTAGCCTGTTACTTCACAAGTACGACCCCATTATATTTTATCTGACAGGACGAATTCCTCTTGTTTTGTTCTTTGTGTTTTTCAAATAAATTTCTTCCTTCTAGCTCATTCTAGAATCCAAATGCAATTTAGACTAACAGACTAATGTGAAGTGAAAACAAATCTGTATTCTTTCTGTCTGCCCATCAAGTACTGTGCTGTCTACATCTGTTCAAAGCTTTTTTTCTCATAGTATAGACTTTCGACTTCACAAACTCAAGGCTTGTGATGTTTAATCACGTATTCCACAGAAATGGGGTCAGCTTTCCATTATATTCTTTAGCAGGTATGGAAAAGCTACCAATTTTTCATCTAACCATCCCACAAACTTCCATTGTTAGCAAATACTGAATGCTACAACAGCTTTCAGTTAAATATCTTTGAATTTAAAATAATTGTTAGCAAATATCCCCATGTTTCAGAGTACCTCACTATGGAACTGATTTCACAAATACTTGTGAACGTTCTATGACGTGAGTGTCATGAAAAGCTGCTTCTCATTTCTGCTAGTTGTCTTCCTGCACCAGCAGGAACCTTCAGAGCAGGAACCTCAAGTGACAGAAGAATACCAAGTTTCCTTGTTAAAGCACTTACTTTAATTCATTTGTATCCTGATTTTCCAGGAATGTTGCTCAACGTCATCACGACTTTTTAGGATTTCCTAAAGCCTCCTTTGACTACCAAAATAATTATATTTTCAGGTTTCCTACTCTATTTGCACTGAGAATAAAATCACAGCTAAACTTACACGCTAATATCCCATTCTAGATTTCTGCATCTACGTACTGTCAAGCAAGATTGAACCATTATTTTCTTCATTAACTTTTATATGGCTCTCATCAGAGCCTATTGTGCTCATTTTAACAGGAAACTTCATACACATGCTTTAAAATGCCTTGATAGCTAAAAAATTCACTCCCTAAAAAGATGAGCCACTCTAAAAATTGTTGAGTGACTCAAATTTTTACCGCCTTCACTAGATTACAAATTTTTTTGCTTTCATTTTCAATTAAGTTTTTAAGTTCATCCACATGAAACTTTACACACTATTATTTAATATCTGCTCACCTACTTTCAAATTTTTTTATTACTTTCTCATTAGATTGTTTTTCTCATTTTCTTATCATGCTGCCAGGAAATGTACTAAATTATCAATATTCTTAAAGAACTAGTTCTACTAGTTATTGATTAGGCTGTCTTTAATTTGTAATTGATTAATTTCAACTTTCATTTTTTATTTTTTATTTTTGCTTTCTTAGTTTTATTTCTCTAGTTTCTTGACCTTGATAAGTCAATCTAGCTTTACATTTTTTGATTTGTAGCAGAAGCTTCAAGAGCTGAGAATTTACCTGTAACTGCTTCTTTGAGTACACTTGATATACACAATTTCTCCTAACAGCTTACTTTAGGGATGCCTCAAACAATATTTGGTCACCATTGGCTAACTATATTCACTAATGTTAAATTTCACACATCTTGTATGTTCTATTTTGGAATTTTAAGTGGCAATTTAAACTTTTTCAATATTACACATCTCTTTCCCAGTTCACCTTCTTTGCAGCAATTATTTCCATATTTAATACTTGGATCTTTTGTTAAATACAATATGAAAGTTCACGAAATATCTCCATTGTAATCTATAAGCATTGTTATTAAGTGTATCCACTTTGAATATGAAAAGGTGATACTAAAAATAACTGGGGAAGAGAGTTATTCTGTAAATATTACCAGGACAAGTGATGGACTAGGAAAAAAACTAAAGTTGAAATCAAGATCCAGTACCCAAATCAACCCCATATGTATTAAAACATTAAGTACAAATTACAGAACCCTAAACTGGAAGAAGACAGATACATATTTTTCTGGTGCGCTGTAGAAAAGTCATTTCTATGTGTAAAGTATGTTAGGCATGTGAACACAACACAAGACAGACTTCAATACCAAAGCAGAAATCACAGGGCCGCATCAGCGCATCCCAAAGCATCTGCTTGACCTTGGAAATCAACAAACACTTAGGTCTTGATCTCAATTATACTACTTGGCCTCCAGCCTCAGGCCTTTCATTATTATTTATTATCATCCCCCGTTCAGTGCTTTCAAGCCACCAAGTCTGTTCCACTTGTCAGATTCTCTATTATTCTTAGCTTGAACTTCCACAGCCATCTTTCCAAATTGATATGCACGTTCTGATTTTCTTTGGTATCAAAAATATTACTTGAAATGTCTAAACATCTAATTTTGGCTTTATTTTTTAACTAAATGGAATTCTTAATTCTGACCAATACTTGATTGCTATGGCCTGCTTCATTTAATACAAGCGATTTTCTCCTGTATCTTTTGAAAATATGAAGCCCATATATTCAAAGCTTTTGCTCTTATAAATAAAGTATTTATTTTAGGAAGAATATATTTTTGTGAATTTTTAAAAGAACGCTTCTGTTTTGCTGCCATTAAAAAAAAAAAAAAAAAAAAAAACAGACCTTCAGCCAGGCATAGTGACACACACTCATAATCCCAGCACTCAGGAGGCTGAGGCAGGAGCACTGCCATGAGTCCCAGGACTACCTGGGCTCCATAATGCATTCAAGGCCAGCCTGAACTGCATATCAAAACCTTACCTCAAAAAACCAAACAAACAAACAAAAATGTTTGTTACTGATGTTTACTTTTATTAAAACAGTAAGGATAGATTTATGTGCAGTCATGGAAGAAAAGCCCACTGCTCAGTTGCCGGAAGATAAGATGGATTCATTTGGCCTCTCCCATAACTGGCATGGCACGACAGCGTTTTGTTTTTGGAAGCAAAGAATCGTTATGACTTAGAGAATGGGAATGACAGCTTCAAGCTTTCTACATCTAAATGAGGCTCTTCTGCTTCATACCCACAGTGAAAACTCAAGGAATAGTTCCAGTCATGATGACAGATGAATTAGAAGCATAGGGAAAAGACCCAAAGGAGACTCTAACCCTTGTGTGAGACACATAGACAGGCCAGGAAGACACTCTTAGTGCCCCTGACCCAGGAGGAAAGCCCTCATCTCCTTCCTCCTGAAAATCGGAAAATGTGCTCGCTCATTTCTTGGTGCCCTTGTGTAGGTGTTCTCACCCGTCATTACTTACTCACCCAGAGACATAATTCTCCACTGTTTCCCAAGGGCACACCCTGCACACTCCTGTTATCCACTTTAGGGACCTTCGGGTGACAGTGTTGCTCTTTTGGGTTTTTTTGGTCTTTTTGAGACAGGGTCTCGCTATGCAGGTCAGACTGGCCCTAAGCTCACTTTGTAGCCCAGGCTGGTCTTGAACTCGCAACGATCCTCCTGCCTCAGCCTCCTGAGTGCTAGGATTACAGGCATGAGCCACCACGCCCGGCTTGTGTTGCTCATTTTTTAAAGTTGCTAGCATGTGTAAAACCAACATATATGTACCTTTTCAAGAAGTCACAGACAGGTGTTGTTATCTCCAACAGGATGTGAAATTTTTCATCATTGATACATTTAAGCATAATGTGTGTGAAGAATTCCAGGAATCTGGGTCTTTGCTTAAACTTCATAACTGTAAAAACAAAGAAATTCATACAGTTTCACTTAGTTACTGAAGATGCTGAAAGGTTACGAATACTACTAGTCCTTGTCATCTAGCAGGCAAGTTGATGGACCTGCCTCTTAGATTTCTCACTTTTAAACATATGGAAGCAAGTGTGAACTCCTGTTGTTTCCTAAGACTGATCAATCCTTTGCAGTCTGCATTTCACTTAATTGTTTTCAAAATTGTCAGTGTTGAGGAAGATTTTATTAAGGTACCACTAATGTACAACTGAGGGAAGTATTCATAATTGCCTATAATTTTTACCATGAAACACTTTGAACCAAGCAATGAGGTCGTTGTCACGTCCTAATTAACAGTGATGCATTTTTTCAATCCCTTGATTTTTGCAGCTCCTTAATAACACTGTTTGCTACCACAGTAAACCACCACGAAGGTTGTCTGTCCAGAGTTCAAATCAGCTGCCTCCTTCATTACTGGGAAATTAAGACTCTGCATTCTTCTGAGTGGGGAGGAACCCAAAGTATTCTACTTACAATAGCAGAAATCTTTCCACAACAGAAACAAAGCCCAGCAACTGTCAGTGGTAAGCACCTGAAGAATGGGAGAATGAGGTCACTTACCTTCTTTCACAGCACCCTTCACCGACCAGTTCAAAACCACAGAGTAAAGAAATATAGGGTCTTCAGTTCCTGAGAGTTCGGGTACAGTATCTAAGGTTTAAAAAAATGAGTATGTTCCAGGTCCGTTTAACATGAGCAGCCCAAATATAAGTTCTTTTTTTATAGATAACAAAGGGGGTAACAAAGAGGAGAATGCTCCAGTATTCACTCTAAACCATGTGCCTTGCAATGCCCACTACAATAATATATTCTGGAGATAGAAAGTCCTCAATACCCTCAACTATTTCCTTCCTGACTCTTCCCTAAATGCTAAGGAATCTATCACCCAGCCCTCCCGATAAAGGCAGTGAAATACAGCCGAGCCACCAGACCAGACTGCCTGGGCTCAGACTGGCTGACATTTTTCAGTTTTGAATCCTTGTGAAGTTACTTAGCATTTCTATGTATCCGTTTAAAAGTCTAAAATGGGGATAAAAACAGTACCTTCTTCAGATGGTAGTTACATACGGGTTACATGATTTTTAATGTGTATAAAATACTTGAAATAGTGCCTGCCACCCAGAAAACACTCTATGGAACTATTGTTGTTGTTACTGAATTTACTGTCCAACTAGTAATATTACGGTATGCTTCTTAGGAGAATGTTTTTATTGATATTATAAAAATGAATAATACATTATTTGGGCACTTCATATTTTAACGAACTATACTTATATATATAATAAGAAAATTACAGCTCCCCAAACCTAGGTTTACTGATTATGAGGATAACAGAACATTGGCTTCAGTTCATAAATCCAGCTAAAATTGGGCATGGAGCATACGGAAAGCAAGGAGGGTCAAGTCAGGCAATGCTGGAAGTGTACGAGCACCAAAACACAACTAAGGCACCTGGGGAAATGATGTGGGACCATGGGATCCTCTAAACATGGTCAGTTTCCCAAACAGCATGGGCCACATGTGGAGCTTCACCCCTGGGAGAAATTTGGGCACCCTCTTTTTCTAGGTTTTTTAACGTGCTTTTTAAAAGTCCAGCCATATAATCATCAGAAACTACATCAACTTCCCAGGCTGCTTTCCAAACTGCAAACTCCAAAATAATAATCACTGCATTAACGCATTAGCTCACTATGAAATGGCTACAGTACAATGACCTAAAATTAAAGGAATCTTTCACCCCAGTTCCTCCGCTAGTGGAACCCACTTCAAACCAGTCCCGCATAAACCTGGCTCACCCTGTTCCATTAACTTCCCAGTTGTGTTTTGGCCTTTAGAGCCTAGATTCAGAGTTGAGCCACCTCCTCCCGCCTCACCATCCATACATTTGGTAATCTTGGCCTCTTGGTTGGTTGTCACAATGCAGGGATGGGGTGCCCTATGCTTCCGTGGAGAGAAACCAGGGATAGGATGCAAGTCTCCCACACAAAGAACCACAAGACTTGAGGCTCAGTAGCACCACATTGAGAACACCTCCTTAAGAGCCCAGTACACGGGCTCAAGTCCACGCCCAGCTACAGAAGCTAAAGTAAATCACTTAACCTTTGTGAGCTACATGCAGAAGAAGTTCGAATTCTTCATTAACGAGCTATCATCAGGCTTAATAACACGATGCAAAAGCACTGTGTAAATCTCAAAGGGTTTACCAAAATATCAATCTCATCTTAGTCCGTTTTTTTTGAAGATTTTCTCATTTTAAGAAACATACGCTGAATAAAGTACACAGGAAAAAGAATTTACATTGTTTTGTCATCTTGAGCAGATGTGTCTCCAGCAACGCCAGCTGTTCACTCATTTTTTCCAGCGACAATGTCTGAGGGGGCTTCTTATTTTTTAGAATTTTCTTAGAAGAAGAGAACTAGAAACATTGGTTAAATGTCAGACCGTACTTTAACATGTTATGAAAGCTGTGATTTTCAAATGACTTCGTGTTTTCATTCTTTCATATTTGGTAGACACAACTATGATTCACGCGGCTAAACAATACCCATTCGCAGTTAATACTAACAGATACAGAGTTCCAACCAAAACCACACAGGGAACCAGAATGCCTCCTTCTCCTGCCTTCTTCTGGGACCTCCAGCCACTGTCACAGCTCCTCCGACAGGGCCAGAAATCTTAAGAAGAAAATCCCCAGCCAGCCCTCAGGAACAGATTCCTTTATTGTTTTTTTTTTTTTTTCTTTTTCCACAAGGAATTTCTTTACAACTAAACTAATTGTCTTTGCTGTGTTGTAAGAGGATCAGTAATTAGCGGGGTAAGAACTGGGCAGTCTGTGCTCCGCTCCAGCAGGTTCTCCCTCGGAGCTTCAGAACTGTCCTGTCACTGTCTCTGTTGGGTGAGGAGGAGACACTAAGTCCTTGTAGACGACCAGGGTCTTTGGGTAGATCTGATGATCCTTGACTCTATCAACTGTCAGTAAAGCATCACAATTCTGCCATGTCAGAAGCTCCAAGGACAAAATCCTGAGTCAAAGCCTGCACGCTGTCTCGGGCTTCTGAGGGCAAACACTTGATGAGAAAAAAAAAATGCAAACTGCCTCCAAGTTCATCAAAACACCCTCTAGAGAAAGCAAACTCCTCCACAAAAAGAAAAAGAAGATGAAGGAGGAGGAGGAGGAGGAGAAGAAGAAAAAGCAGCTTCTCAAGAAGTCATAAAGCGGTGTAGTGGTGATTTGTGAAGCTGTCTTTTGTTTTGTTTGACAAATGCTTTCTCGGGAGCAGGTAACATAAGCAAAGCTTGCTTTCTTTCTTTCTCAACATGTACTAGGACAGAAATGGGACTGATCTAACCCCAGCAGTGCTGAGAGTGAGCAGCTCTGTCCACACTCAAGCCACCAAAAGGGCTTTGTGTAATTCCTAGTGTGCTACAGAAACCCAATAAATAAACATTTCAAAACTTGATCCAAAAATACATTTAACACAAATAGTTTAAAGGAAAGCCCATAAGGTATAAGCTCTTATAAGACCCATCCTTAGAAAGTAAAATAATTCATAAATTAAAAGCAGTCTCATAAAAGAAGAGAATGTAAGTATCACAATGAGTCTTGGAAATCTGCTTTGAACACAAAATGGGATTAATAAAAAAAAAGAATGAAGTTGTGTCACATACAGGTCCAGCTCCCCACAATGAATACAACTAGTATATACCGCAAACACGGACTAATAAAAAAATAAAATTTATACTTTACAAAAAGCTGTCGTGCTGGAGGTTTAGCTCAGTGGCATAAGCTCCTGCCTTGCAAGCAGGCAGTCATGAGTTCGATCCCCGGTACCAATAAAAAGGAAAAAGACAAAAAAAAAAAGCTGTTGTGCATTTACTACAGTCAGTGAACCAACCAAATGATAAAATCTTAGGTTCGAAAGAGGCTTTGGAAGGCTTCCAGTGCACTGTCCGCCTGGGTACAGGAAGCTATCGTCACCTCACTGATGGTCAGCCCAGGTGATGGGGAAGATTGACACACTCACACAGACACTCTGTTCACTTTCTTGGCTGCACCCACAAAACTTTAAAAAAAAAACCTGAGAAAAGCTCTTCAGCATGTATGCAACTTTTCTTGCTCCACAACTCAAGAACATATTTAAAAATGCAGAATTTCTCTGAACTATATTACTTTTCTTCTACATAAATATGACACATTAAAAACTGATTAATTTTCCAGTAGCCTTACTTATACTAAATGACCCCAAAAGACCCATATCAAAATGAGGGGGAAAAAACCAATTACCTCGTCTAGCATTTCTTCTGGGTCACTTTTACCAAATACAGATTTGCATGCTGGCGTGATGTCCAACATCTTTTTTCCATAATTTATAATCATCACTGCTAGGTCACACTCTTTCCATGAACGTAGAGTCTAATTAAAAGTAAGTATTAATTATCTCTGTTGGACACTCTTGACAATTTTCAAGTACAATGTATCATCTTTCATAAATTCAAAAGTCTCATAAGTGTTTGAGGTCTAAGAAGCTCTCGGTTTTTGTTAAGGAAACTGAACACTTACCTCTAGATCATATTTCTCTCAAATAAAAAATGTACAATTCTATTGTTGTAACAAAGAATGAATAACAAATCTGAATTCCCCACATCCCTGGGCCATACAGTTGGGCCATATGATTTTGGTACAATAAGTTAACTATTTAAGAAAATATTTCCACTCCAAAAACCCACTTTGAACAAAGCCATGAAATGTCGTTTCAGGACTCCGTGGCTTCCCAGACCGAGCCATTTCCCAGAATTCCTGATCACCTGATCAAGCTTGTCCTTAAAACCTTGGTCCTAGAATCAACTCCCAGAAAGCTTCCCTGGCCAGCAAGCTGATTTGCACACACCCTACTGTAGTGATGCACCAAATTGGAAAGGGGCGACTTCCCTGCCTGCCACACCCTAATGGATCCTTTATTTTCACGTGGATTTAGTCTCTCCCGACCTCCAGGCCTGTAAGGCCAACTGTATAAAGTAATGATCACTCAATGGAAATGGTGTAGATCCCAAAATTCAAGTTGCCCCATACGCATCTTCTTCCACTTTACCGAAAGAACTTCTCTCACCCAGGGTCAACAAAAAGTGGGTTTCCTCAGATGCCAGGCACGGGCGCTGGGCGCTACAGCTGGCCCTTCCTTTGCCTTCCTTAGCCCTCATCCTGCCAAGACTCCTTTCCAATCCTCCTCCATAAATAATTCTTGAGTCGTCTCCATTCTCTCTCCTCCTATTTTCCCCACACTTGTTCAGTGTATCATTTCTTACCATCTACCTCATCCCTAGCTCGGATCTTGCCCAACTCAGACGACTTGCTGTTGTGTAACCAGAATTACTTCTTTTATCAAAAAGAATGTCATTATGTCATTCCTGGTGTGAAACCCTCCTGTGGCTCCTCTTCGACCCCTCGTCATCTGGTACCTGTTCCCTGATTCAGCTGTAAAGGCAACTCAAATACTGAGTCATACCCACTATGACTGAAGATACATTTGATTCTCTTTTCGCAAACTATAAAATAGTTCGATATTTTCTCATCATTTATCGTATTTGCCTTGAAACTGTGTTTATTGTGCTTGCTATGAGAATGTCTCAGCCATCTGTAATCAGATTATCTACATTTTTCTGGGCATTTTATGCCTTGTTAAGGAAAAGCCCCTGATCCCAAGGCCATACAAATATCCTTGAAGGCAAACGACCCTGATTTCATTTGCCGTGTGAGATAAGGGGTCCCGATTTGTGTGCTTTCACACAGTTAGACGACCTGATTCAGATGGACCAGCTATTCCACTGAATAAACTATTAAAATAGACCATCACCTTCTCAATGTTTTGTATTAACATTTTTTGTAGATTGGAGCTTCTACTCTATAATCTGTTACATTGCACTGTTTACCTACTATTGTAATATTAATGTTATTTTGTAAGGTAGCCTTTTTTTCATCTTTTGAGACAAAGTCTCCCTAGTCAGTTCAAACTGGCCTTCAGCTCACTCTGTAGCCCAGGCTGGTCTCGAACTTGCAACAATTCTCCTGCCTCAGCCTCCCTAATGCTGGGATTACAGGTAGGCATTACCACGTGCAGCTTTATTAAGGTGGTTTTATAGTAAATGTTCACATCTATTAAGAATTTTTAAATTATTTTAATCAGTTCCAGAGAAACTCTATTGGAATTCTGATTAGAACTGCCCTGGATTTAAATGTTATATTAGAAGAAGTTATAAGTCTATGACAGTAAATCTTCAAGGTCAAGAACTTGGTATGTTCAGATTTTCTTTTGCATCCCCCTGGGTGACATTTCACAGTTCTTTCATTTAGTTCTTTGACATTAGTTCTTAGTTTTAAATATTGCGTACTATACTTGGTACATTTAACCCCCCACCACCATTTCTGACTATTGCTAGTATTTTTTAAAAAATCACTTTATACTGTCGTGAGTTCGATCCCTGGTACCGATAAAAACAAAAAAAAAATCACTTTATAAATGTCTCATATATAATTACTTTATATATTGTCTTTAAAATTCTAAAAACTTTTACTAGATTCTTACAGAGTTCTGTGAACCTCTACAATTAAAAATAAATTATGCTTTTTATTTCTAACATTATTTCCTATTCTTATCTAGCAAAGAAAACCCCTTGAAAACACAGACTCTTATACTGTAACAAGTCAGCATTTTTCTTATGCCTGATTTTTAAGGAAATGGCCTCAGAAATTTGCCATTTAGTGTGATATTTGCAGTAAAATTTGGGCAAATGTCTTTATGATTACTCCACAGCTTTCTTCCATTCTTAACTTACTAGAAATTTTATTAGAAAAGGTCGGTAAGTAATACCAAGTGCCTTTGTGTCATCTTTCATGTAATCTTATTATTCTTGTCCTTTAAATTACTGTTGTAAAAAATTCAAATTTTGTTTCAATTCAGACGTGATTTTTCTCTCTCTCTTTCTGTAGCACCAGGATTAAATCAGGGCCAGCCTTGGTCTTTAACACTCAACACTGAGCATGTCCTCAGTCGGAAAGTGACAGCTGCCTCCAGGAGCAGGGGCCAGCGACCGGACAGTCCCGGAGAACACAGCCTGACGCCTCTCTCTCTCCTGATTAACATTTCTAGCCCTGAACCCTGCTTCATCTCCTGTGGCAAATGTCACCTTTTTCTTTTATTTTTGTTTGCATTTACTCATTTTCAACCACTGTTTGTCACTTCATTTTTAGTGCATTTCTTGAAATAATCTACATTAAGACCTCATTTTTAACCCATCTGGTGGCCTCTGTTGATTTAATTACTTCTGCCTGAACTGCTTCTCTGTTTCCTACTCTTTACTTTGGTTCAACTGATCATTTTTCTGCTCTCCCGTTCCTGTTCCCGCTTCCTCCTCCTCCCTGTTCCGTTTTTCTCCATCAATTTATCAGTTCTCCTCCAAAGCTCTGCTCGTAGTGGAACATTCCTGAGTTATAATTTTTTTCGGAGTAAATAGTAAGTTTACACTACATGCATGTTTATATTTGTGCTGGGCCCCCCCTACACACACACACACATACACACACACACACACACACACACACACACACACACACACACACTCACGCTCCAAGTATCTACCTGCTTACATCTCCCCCACTCTAAGCAGAGCGGAAGTTTTAATTCTAGGTTACTAATAAGTTTTCTTTCAAGGATGAGTCTTCTCTTTCAAGAAGCCCTACTTTGCATTTATATTACCAAGTCCTAGTCATGTCATCATTATCTATTTAATTTTAATAACATACATTGCAAGATTCATTGCTCCCATTATGTCCTTCTTTTTGTCTTCCCCACCTGGGGATTTCTCCTCTGAATCAATTGTCATTTGATAGAGTGTTTCCTCAAGTGTTTTCCTCAGATAAGTACACGGGCAGAATATTTTCCAAATGCCTGTGCTTCTGAAAACTGTTTATTTTGCCCACTCGAATGAATATCTTTCCTGGCAAATTTTGAGCTTCGGGTATTTTCCCTCAAGATTCTCGGTATTTTAACTTGTACTGTTGCTGATAAAAACTTTGAAGTTGACTGATTCCTTTTTCTGTTGCAAATAACCTGCTCCTTGAGTCTCAAAACTTTAAGATTTGTCCTTACCCTTTGACTTCAGGAATTTCGCCATCTCTCTACAGGTGTCTCCTTAAATTAATCTTGCTGGGGACTCAGAGTCTGTTCCTTCTCCATTTGTTTCTTTTTCTGCCTCGAGACTCCTATTATTTTTTATGTTTGACTTGTGAAGCTGCCTTCTGAATTTATTTAGAATCTCTAGGTAACTCTGCTCTGAACAGTAACATATTTCTTGAGCTTCAAGATTTGACTCAAGAAATACCATAATTATAATTTTTGGCTGTTTAATTTTTTCAATCAAAAACCAAAAAGTTGTTCAGTTACAGGAGGAATTTTCTCTGATTGGCTTTTGCGTCTCTTGTGCACGTCCGTAGAAGTCCTCTTTGCCTTTCTCCTCCTCCCCCAGGCTATCTCTGGTACTTGCCAACACAGCCAGAGAAAACAACACAATTACGTTGTGTTTGGCTTCCTCTCTTGCTCTTGGGGTGTGGAATCTCCCCACAAATGGCTTATGTTCCCTCAGCATCTGCACAGATGTGGTGGTCATCAAGGTCTCTCCAACAGGGATAAACCAAGGGCCAAAGGATTATTGCTGTCTGCTCCTGAGCCCACGCCAGGAACAGTCAGAAATAATGGCCTCTTTCCTGAGGTAGAAGGTAGAAGCCCATCTGCTCCCACCCCCTCACAAGGCATGGTGAAGTTAGGGGCGCACCCGGGGGCCTGCACGGCACTCTTGCAGACCTCTCCCAGATCAGAAGGGCTCTGTGAGAACCACATACAGCAGGCAGGCAGATACGGATGGCTTTTCTTTAAGGAGATTCACCGCATTCTCTTACTAACCTTTGATGAATCACATCATGTAGTGTTTGAGCCAAATAATGAGGATAAACAAGCCCACATCACTGCCTCTGATCTCTTGGTTCTTTCTAGTTTCCAAGGTAAATGAGGTCCCCTAAGATTCCTTTGCCCCAGATAACCTGGCCTAACACAACCCTCCGGGCCTTGCCAATGGGCCTGATCATGATGTTTTAATACCATGAAATCAGAATTCAAAAAGAGAAGACAGGGGTGTGTACTTAAACTATCATAAAACAAACTGCCCATAAGCATCTGAGCTATGCTAACATTTCCCTACTAATTTTTTCATTAACTAAGGGCTAAGATGAACTTAGGTAACTGTTTCAATTGTTTGCACACATATTTGTAAAATAAACAGAATCACACATGTGGGACTCTGTGTAAACCAGTTTACAAGCAATGCTACCTGTGGATGTTTAGGCCTCTTATAATCACTTGGCGGGCTACAAACCTACTGTCCATGTGAACGGTGGCCCCCTCTAAACCAGGCTGCCCAAGTGTAGGCTACAATGCATGGTTGGTCTCCCAGTACATCTGCTTGTGTGATTCCTCGCACCCTCCACCTACAAAGCTGTCCTCTTCCATCTGATTAGTTCACTCGTCCTCCTGTGCAGGGTCTCCCCATCAAAAGCAGGCCCATCCTGGGAATCTCTCTCCTATCACCACTTTCCTTTTTGCCTACCTGCAAGACAGTATTGGTTTGTCGTATCTGTTTTGCTTTGTTTTCGTGAATCTCCATGCATGTGAATTTCTAACTCTGCCTTAGAGCGTGTTGAAGTCTCATCTTCTAGGCAATAGCTGCTTCCAGTTGTCCCAGCACTTAGTGATCTTTCTGTGTCCGTGTTTGTGTCACCACCAACCATTCATTACTCAAGCCAGAAATCAACTCATCCCTGATTCATTCTTCAATTCCTACAACTACCATGAGGTTCTCTCTAAATCTCATTCTAATTGTAAGCACACAGCAAATGTCCAAAACAGTACCTGACACAGATAGGCAATCAGTCAATGTATGGAATGAAGGAATGAAAACTCAGTTTATACTCTGGTCATTTTTACCCATGTTTTCTGTTTGGCCCAGATCTCTGGATATACCACTCTTAATCGGTAGAGTCTATTTCCCCTCTACAGTTTGTGCCCCCCACCCCGTGAGTTTAGGGTCCTGCACACCACCCAGAATCATCCTTAGACTCTACACGGTCTGCCCAGCCTTCACATCTAACATGCTTTCCAGTCTGATTTCAAGGTCACCATGTCTTCATCTGCTGACTGAGCCTTTAGTCTCCACTGTGTGGCGTGGTCTCTGGATCCCTTCCCCTCGGCACCCTAACTCCACTCCTGAGGGAGAAACTTCACGTGTCCTGCAGCCCCCTGAGCTCACAGCCTGTGAGCAGGGATGTGAGGCTGACTGCAGTATGATACCACGTGATTAATGTTTCACGGTTTCAGAAACATAACTTCTGTGTGATTACATAACACTGAGAAAACACAAGCACCATTTTAGAAGCACAAAGTTTTAGTTTTGGAAGCACCACAATTTTATCAGAAAGTTTAATAACAGATAACTCTTCCATAACACTCAGATTTTCCATTTGTTTTTAATCTTAAAATGCTTTGGGGAACTATATTTAAGCATTCTAATTACTGTGATTAGAAACAGTTTGACTTTCTAAATCATTTCTGCTCCTCCATTTTATGACATTATTCAAAGAATGAGACAAATACCTTTGTTAAGTAGAAGATACAGCAAGCTATCATGTGCTGCACACTTTCAAAACTTCCAATGTGTTTCTTCAAGTAGGCAATATTTGGCAGCCCTTGCAAAACCACCATGCACTTTATCAAGATCTAAAATACAGAAGCACAATGACTTTCCTGGCAAAACAGCATACTCACTCATTATAAATTTTATATTCAAATAATAAGAGTCTCAAAGCTGGGGGTGATGGCACAAGCCTATAATCTCAGCACTTGGGAAGCCGAGGCAGGGAGATCGCTGCAAATTCAAGGCCAGCCTGGGCTACACAGAGAATTCAAGCCTGAAGTACAAAGTGAGACCTTGTCTCAAAAAAAAAAAAAAAAATGTGACTCTTATGCCATAAAATTTCATTGTTGTAGGTAATTGTTGTTATAACAATTGTTATAAATTGTTTATTATATGTAAAAGAATGTATATAAACAAAGTTGATATATTCCATTTTCAGATGAGTCATCAGCTTAACTTAAAGACTAGCGAAGAGTACAGGTTATGTATAGGAATAATCACCAAACAAAGCACCTTTTGACAAGTGTTACAAATGATATAGGCTAAATATCGCAAGCAAACTAGAAGCTAATGCTCGCATGCGGGCTTAGGAGAATCTTCAAAAACCCCACAAAGGATTATATGGCATGGTAAACGGCATACAGAGATTCCTGGTACTTAAAGTAATGCTTTTGTTTAAAATTAAAATCAAACACTCATACCCCCGAAAATCAGTTAAATTGGTGTTTACTTGCAATTCTCTTCACTATCTATTATTCAATCTTGACTTTGATCAAGAGCTAGATGATTAAATTAACTTTCAATACTGCCGAACACTTTGGAGCAACATTACTATCAGAGAAGTAGAGCAAGGTGGCCGTCATCTATCCCTCACTCCGAGGATGATCCCAAAGGACACATTAACACACGCATGTTAGTTCTGCGGAGGCCTGTTACTTGCTTCAAGCTACAGTGCTGGCCACAGTGTCATTGTTCCAGGATGCTGGTGGCTATTTTTAATGTTTTCTCCATTCCTCTCCTCCACGATCACTCCCTGCCACTATACCACCACATCCCCAAGTCAGACTAACACCTGCTACTAGTTTTCTCCAAGTTCTTATAACCTCACCAGCACACAAATGTACATGGAAGGAAAGTTGCCCTTATTTTGCAGAATGGAATTGATATATGCTTTTCTGAATTCTGCCTTTGTCCTTCGAGGCTGTCTTCTGAAAAGTTCCTCCGAATCTCCAGGAACGGCTCTGACTCCCTGTTGCTAACACCAGCACGCTATCACTTGGTACGGGTCAGCCACAACCTTTGCAGCCTGACTCACACTGAGCACTTGAATGGCTGATGTCTTACAGTCTGGCACTACTGTTCCTTTGCATCACCAGCTTTTTTGCCACCACAAACCCCTTACACATAGGTAGGTGACAACTGTGAGTGGCTACTGAAGACCCAGCTCCAAGAGCACAGAGGATAAAGCACCATCCTCCAGATAGAGTGTCCCCCTCAATTAGTGCTATTCAGGAGTATCATGTCCCCACTAAACAGAACCCTGGGATGCAGAACCGTGCAACAAGGATTCGCATTTTACCAACAAGTGACTTTACTTTGTGGGATAAATAACTTATAGTGGGATTGCTCTGTTGGATAAACATTTTTAATTTTATAAAAATATTATTCTATGAGATGAAATGCTAGTAGAGAAATTACCAAGTCTGGTATATTTGTTTTTAATTTTGTTTACAATTAGATTTACTTTAATTAAAATTAAATTCTCAATCAAAATCCAAAAGTTTGTAATAATTCACATTTCGCCCATCATAAGTGAAAACGTCTTTGTTGTACATTCTCACCAGCAACAGGATTTACAGATCTTATCGCACTGTTAATTTAATATGCATTTCTATGAATGTCAGTGTGAGCATCTTCTCATGTTTTTCCGTTTCTTGGATTTGCTTCCTTAGGATACACTTATTCACATCCTGTGCCCATTTTTCTATTAAGTTGTTGCTATTAGGTTAGGTCAATTTGCAAGATTTTTTTACCCTTCATCAGTTTTGAATTTTTTCCAAATCCTTAAGTTCTTTATAGTCTTTGTTATGGTCCCTTTTGTCACACATAGATTTCTTGTTTCTAGAAGCTCTATCTTGCTTCAAACCCTGCACTGTACAAATCACCTCCTGAGATTTTGTTTTCTAAATCTTTTTGCTTTGTTTTACATATAAATATAGTACAAACAGAGGTCAAACTTGACCTTTCTTCAGTTGAATACCTAGGTGTCTGGCCACTTCTTATTAAAACTGTCTATTCTCCTCCCATTGAATAGGGGCCAACTCAACTAGGGATCTTGGAAAGTAACTCACATAAGACTTATCTAAAAACACAACCCTGGGCAACACCTCGACTTAGCCTGGGAAGATACAAATCAGAAGACCCAGCTAAACTGTATCCAGTCACCCTGATTCACAGAAACGACAAAATAATAAGTTATTATTCTCTTAAACCTCTAAGTGTATAGTGGTTTCTTAAAAAGCATACACAGTAATGCTTCAGTTCATAAATGCTTCTGTTCATAAACAATTTGGTTTCCAAAAGGAAGCATTTGGCAAAATTTTGCCGTGATTCACAAACTCCACCTTGGTTGCCATTGAACTTTATTGGGAAATTTGTTACGGCTCACAACCAGAAACATGGAACGAATTAAGTTTGTGAACCGAGGTACCACTGTATAATAAATATAATTCCTTCAGCCAGATCTTATTAACTCTTCTTCTATAAATCCCAACTTCTCCATTATCAACTATTTTACGTTAGGTTATTCTCATTCTATTCCTGATGATGGCTTTAATGATGTGCTTTAACAATATTTAACCATGGACAGCAACAGGGTTGAATATTTTCAGAGAAACACATCTTCTATTCCTATTTATGTTTTCCAAGACATAAAATGTATTAAAATGTTCTCCAGTTAACTCCCGAAATTTCATAATACGTATTCTTGACCTACTTTGTTCTTTACAAGAGATGCACAGCTTTTTTTTCTAAAAAGAATCACTGAACTGCCTTTGTTTAAAAAACAAAACAGACCCTTATTGGCGATGGAGGATGACCTTACCTGTACAACAGGTACCAAAGCAATACTGTGATATATTATAGGGGCAAGAAGGCCGTAGCATTGAGTCACAGCTTGAAGGGCATAACTGGAATCATTCAGGAAGTTGCTAAGTTCCAGTGCCACTAATATCCTCTCACATTCCTTCAGTCTAGCAATCTGCAAAGAAAGAGGCATGGTCATTTGTTCTGAACATCAGGTGCTTAATGTAATGGGTATCTAAGGGAACAAAGGACAGGAAACATGATCTTTGTGATTTAGCAACAACACGAACGCTGGTATGAAGAAAACCTAAATTTACAAACAACTTGCATGTAATAACACATGTAAAAAACAGTCACATGTAAATAACACAATCTTAGAGCCAAGTAAAAAGATTTTGCAAAATAACACAAGTAGCACTAATCGCCCTAGTAAGATAAAATCTTGCCTATGTAGTATTTTAATGTTAGAAAACAAATTTAGCTTTCAAAAGCATAAATTACAACAAAAAATTTGATGTTTTCAGTAAACCAAACTTATCTTCCCTTATTTGCTACATAATGGAAATGATAGTAAAATGGTCTTGGGATTAAAAGCAAATTTAAAAAGAATAAGAACCCTTTCTTCTTTCCTTTACGTGAGGAAAAATTGCTATTTTTCTACATCTTTATACAAAGATGCATTTTCTTTTAATCACAAAGGAAACTGTACATGTGCCAATCAGAAATTTCTACACAACTGGTTTTCCTAGAATGATAGTTTAACATTCTGGAATTCACCAAAGAACTGTAAATTTCCCTTCTTTTCAGGCTGGATATGATGACTCAAGGAACAAAATGCAATGCAGGAGTCAGGCAGTATAGAATAATTGAAGACAGGCGAAAAGAAAGGGACTGAAAATTTAACTTACTACCATGAAACTTTGGGTCAGATTCCTGCTCAGCTTTGCACACGCACACTATCCACTCAAGGAGTGTCTATTTCACAAAATTTATTTGCTCTAAATTTACCTCGTCTATTTCATTCCCCTTTAGACTGAGGACATCAAGGTAAGAGTAGCTAAAGTGACCTTCAGGATTTCCAGGGACATCTAGTCCCCAGTTTTAACAACATCCAGCTCTAGATTTCCCTGAAGCAACACCTAAAATCACCTCAGATACCAGGAAAAGCAGCACCTCCCGGTCCACCCCACGATGAGGTCACCCCTCCCATGAAGTCATTCCGTAGGACCCAAACTGCCCCTCAAGCCATAGGGCTCTTCCAGAGCTATAAACCCACGCTGAGGGAATAATCAGCCAGACCTGACCCACGGCAGCCAACCCGTAAAAGCTGCTTGCGTTTTTGTGAGTGGGCCATTCTGGTCCTCTCCACCTACTCTCCCTTCATTCCTGTCTCTCATAAATCTGCCTACATCTCACACTGACGAGTCATGGAAATTGTTTTTCTGTGATGAGAGTCAAGAACCTATTTGTCAGGGCAAGCTGACGTATGCATCTCCTAGTTGGGGGACCGTCTCAGACCCTGTCTGGTGACAGGAGGCACAGTTGATGGTTGTTGTGTATTTGGGGGCTACAGAACAGTGAATTATATTAAGCAAAAGGTCATTTATTTCCACTTTCATGCCCCCAGAAGCTGGCCTTGCCTCACGTAATGATGAGTTAATGAATTAATGAAGAATCAGGAAAAGCAACTGCGAAATAGAAAGTAGTTAAAACCGCCCTGTAAGGTGAGTAAACAGGGAAAGAACCAAGAGACAGAATGAAAACAAAAGGTAGGATTATTATTAAAACTAAAAGTACTGTGGTTTGCAGCTGTACACGGAGTGATACTGATAACCACCGTGAGAAGCTATCAATGGGAAATAGTTATATTCTTGCCTCTGCAGAGGTACTCGGGACTTTAATTAGAAGTATGTGGCAGACTGATCCACACAAGCATTGAAAATGTATCCAAGATATAACAGCGTGGCTGCGAGGCACTCTTGAAGCAGGAGGTTTGTAGTTCAAAGTTAGACTGAACTACATGGCACAAGCCTGTCTCCAAGGAAAGGGATTAAAAAGGCAACAAGCAGATCAGGGTGCAAACTTTCAAAAACTGGAGAAATTATATGAAAATAAAATGATAATGTCCTCAGAGGTGCTAGAATTACAATGCATTTCACTTTATACATTACATGATTTTGAATTCTGAAATACACGGTTCTTGTACATAGGGAAAAAGATAAATTTTAAAAAAGAAAAAGAAAACATGAACCCAGGCCTCAGAAGCCTACAGAGAATATCAAAATAAAACAACGTGTTCATACTACGGCCTCTCAGTCCCTTTAGAAGACAGGATACACAGTCCCCAAAGAACATAACCTTCAAACAACAAGACAAAAATATAGTGAAGCCAACATGTTCTCAGTCACTTTAATTCACTTACTTGTTGAGCAGGGAAAATTTGATTGCCTTTAATATTATCACAGAAAAGGTTTTCTTCTTTAATTTTAATGTCAATTGTTACAAAGATATTCCTAAGAAAAACGTATAAGAGGATAGAAGAAGCCTCTGCCAAAATATCTGAACGTAACCTGCAAAAGAAGCAAGTGATATTATAGGTAGAAATGCAAGATTTACTGGGCCTGAGAATCCACCTTTTTAGATTCACTCTGTCAATGCCTACAGCAGCAACAAAAAATGCACGGAGTAACTTTTCTTTTTTTAATAGGAAAAAAATAAAAATAACAATAAAACCGCTTCAAAACAGGTTAGTAGGAGAACTCCAATACTACATGGTGTATTACTGTCATCGTAGTAGTTAAGCAGAGTACAAGATATAGACATGATATCTTGTCCAAACAATATTCTTATGCCGCTGTCTAAATTAAAATTTAAGATTATCCTCAACAAGCCCACAACTAAGAAAGTTAAGCTGCTGACACAGTACATCACAAATACAAAAAAAAATACTAGTGTGAAAGATGTGTGGTTCTTATATATACAGCTGTTTCCTATCAGTTCAGCAACATCATTGTAGGATTAAAAAACAGACCCAACATTTCAATTAATGAACTTTCAGAAAGTAAGGGTCACTCACAGCAAACTCAGCTATGATTAAAGAAACAAAGTCTTAATAACTCTTGGATTATTGTTTAATTATCTTTCCTAAATTGCTGTCAACAGTGTCAACCACCAGCAAAGCTGTGAAATCCCCACTCTTCTTTTTGGTTTGCAGTATTCTTTCCCCCGCCCTTTGCTGGAGACAAACCCCACCCTTAGACTCAGCTCCATCTATTTTGTCTTTTCCCGATCTCCACAATCAGGCGAAGATTCAGTATCAAGTCTCACATGCAGATAACCACCACGCGAAACTCTGTATTTCTCTCTGCCGGGATGATGGTAGGTTCACCACCCTGCACCGCACACTAGAATTTCTTCCTGCCCTTCCTGGTGACCTTCAGCACCTTGACGCGTGCAATCAGTCCATTCTGCTCCTTCCTGGCTCCACTGCCTTCCGACCCTGCTCGCTCTTCCCAAAACTAACCTTGCTAGCACTTTAAGTTGTTCCCTATTTCTTTCATGCAATAGCCAATTTGCCTGACCATGCAGAGGTGCCACTGTCTAATTTTTCTCTCCCTGCCACATGAATCATTTATTCATTCATTAATTCATATCAGCATCCGGTGAATGCCTACTGTATGCAGGTCGTACTGTGTGCAGGTCGTCATTCAAGGCCCTAGAATATAAGGCTGAACCAATGAAGTCCTTAGCCACTGAGGTCATAAGCTCCCCTGCAAATCCATGTTGTATGGTATCAGCTGAGTCATGAGTGTGTCTGAGTAACACATCTATTTCCCCTGGTGTCTTTTCCACCCCTCCCCTCTACCCACATACTCTACACTCTCCTGCTCTGCCATCACAGCATCTTCATCTCCTAAATTGGTTTTTTGGGGGTTTTTTGTATATTTAGTCTCTCACTCTCCACCGGCCCCCTGACCTCCATTCTCCCTAGTTTTCCCCCAATTCCTATCTTCTCTTTCAAGCTTCTGTTGCATCCCTCTTCTCTCAGCACCCAGCTTCTCCTGCTTATCTCTGCTTGTTCTGGTTCCCCATTTCCATTTACTCCTTAGCTAACTGCGGAATGCTTTCTAACCCCTCATAGTACAGAAATGAACTTCTGATTGCTAACTCTAAATACCTCTTAGTTTTTATCCCCCTCAACTTTTTCTCTGTTGCACTGTATTGCATGTGACCTTGCACTAGAATCGGATTTGCCCAGCCCGACCTCCTGAAGATGAACTTTCTGTGGCATTGCGTTTCCCTGGATTTGTATTTCTTGGGCAGCCTATTTTTTATATCCATCTCTGGTTCCAGCTCGTTTCTGCCCCTTAAATGTAAGCAAAGCTTAGGGTTTGTCCCAGCCTTTTATCTTTTCTGCTAACCAATAATCCCCTGAGATTTTGTTCCTTTTCAAGATTTTAATGATGACTGTTACAGACTATTGCCAAATCCCTATGCCTATCCTAGACTTCCTCCTGAATGTCTGCACTATCTAAAGGCATCTACTGGTATCTCATATCCACAAAGGCATCCAGAGAAATTCACAGGCTTCCCGGTCCATCGACAGTAAGAGGCCAAGTCACCTCTGACTCCCTTCTCTCTTAACGCACCAGTTATATAAAGCCCAAGTCCTTTCTCTCCCGCTTCCAGAAAAGGCTTCTCCCTTCCTTCCCCAAGCACCCAGCATGTGGCAAACACTAACTCTCCTTTTTTTTTTTATCAAAATGGAACTATATTTGTAATGCAAATACATATTATCAATGCCTTGCTTCAACCATCATTTGTATCTTTAAGCTGGCTATCTTTGGTTTTAGTCTTCTTATAAAAAAACGGGCTTTAACAACCTTTTTGAACTTTGTGTTGCATCAGCATGAAGTTATGCTAAATGGTCATTTTGGAAACTGCTTTTAAAGTTTGCTCCTTTGAGGAAAAACAGCAGCCAGGTCAAAAGACAGCCTACAGCTCCACATCGTTTCCACCAGCCTATTGGCAGTTGCTGATGGTTTCATCCTGGGAGTCTCTAAAGCAAAGGAAAAGCCTCTGCAGTGTAACATCCACCCACTGCACGCCACCTGACCTTCACCCCAACCTGACTTTGCTCTCTTATGAGTCTCCACAGAGTATCTGTGTTTTCCATCATGGCTGATACCACTTTAGCTACTATTTGGTATTTCTGGTCCAGAACCTTCATGCACATAGCTTCACTGTTTTCTATGATTCTAGCAAGGACTCAATACATCGGGATGTATACATTCCTACTATAATTCTGATAGAAATAGTTTACCAGGGCTATCTTATCATGAAATTGAAAATAAATTCTCATCTTCACTGACCCAACAACTATATCGTTAGCAATGTATATGAATTAACATATTAAAATAATGTCTAAGTACCTTGTCTGTGTAGTCATCATTATATTGCTTAAACAAACGCAGGATTGTTCATCTTGAGATGGAGAAGCAATAAAATAATCCCAAACCGGTGAGAAAACCTTCTTAGCCAGCTCATAGTGGCCAATCTGGTAGGCAACCTGCAACAGAAAACATGATCTCAGGTTGTATTGGTATTTGGGAAATGCGCATTTTAGGCAAGCTTCCTGATAGGGCTCTGTCACATACAAATCGCATGCATACATATTCACATGTGCTGCTCTGTTCGACAGAGCTACGTGAGGGAGCGACAGCCGCTGGCAAGGGACACAGACACGTTGTGAAATCTCTTTTATTTCTAGATTGCATGGAAATTTGAAACTCTGTAAGGATGTTTCAGATCCTCATACGCAAAACAAAGATCACATCTGAGCCAAATTAATTTCATTTTCATCTATCTCAGCAGTGCCCTCCATTTATTATAGATACTGTTATAATGAACAATCTGTTCCAAGAGAAACAATCAGATCTCCCAAACTCAATGTGTGAGAAATACTTCATTCTTTCCGTTTTGACTGACATTCTCAGAGCTTTTGTGCAACAGAGTTCCACTTGAAAAGAGTGAAGTATAAAGCAGCGGTGCTTTTTAAGAAGTCATGGTATCTTTCAAGATTAACAAATTCAATGCTAAGCAAAAATCATTCCACTGATGACAGTTAGCTCAGGAGGGAAAACAGTCATCAGCTTACCTATTTCTTTTGGTAGAAAGTATTTATTTAAGTATAATTCTAAGATTATTCTACTTACATACATATATAATAGTACATAATCTCACCAAACAAGTTATGTGCTGCCTTAGACTCTTTGTGGAAACAGGTAACGACTGCATACAAACATGTTAACTGAATTAAGCATGTAAATGACATGTTACTGCTTTCCACTCAAAGGCCAGAAATTCTGTAATATACCAACAGTTATTCACAATCAACCCACAAGTTGAGCTCCTCTTCAATAAACGTTTACCAAGTTCCTACTCTGTGCTAAATGTTGGCAGCACGGCTTCTTCAGAGATTACAACCAGTTTCACACCCCATGCAACTGGAACCAAGGCAAAGGCATAAGCCACGTGAAACCACAGAAAGGCCACACAGAATAACATGATCATGGTGAAGGCTTTAGAAAGGACAATGAAGCCTTCAAGGGGGACACAGAGCTGAGGAATATCGTTCAGAGAGAGTCTGAGACGAGTTTGAAGAACAATGGGCATATGATGGAGAGGATCAAATGGTCACGATTTCTGTCCAGGAGGCATGAAAGCCAGGTGGAACGTGTGTACACGACAAGTACTAGACTAAGCACTGTACACTCGTTGTTGTATTAACTCCTCATTACAGCTCTGTGATGTGGGCTGTGTTACTCTCCCTGAGCTGTGGATGAGAAATGGGGGCCTTGAGCAGTTGAGTTTTTATTCACAGCTTGACAGAGCCCTGTCACATACAAATTTCGTATGTAGTAAAAATAGTGGGTCCAGGTCCTAGACTGGTAAATACTGGATTTCTCTGGATTGTATCTGTCAAGTAAGAGATGGACCAGGTTGTCACACCATGTAGTTCCGAGATTCCCCATGAAAAATAACAAATGGTAGGCAAGAGGACTGACCAATCTGGAATCAACTCTTCTTCCATCTTAAAATATTCTGTATCCTTCCAAAACTAATGCCTTTTTTCAATTAATGGATGTTGCAAAACAAGAAAAGATACCACCTGAACACTAAGGTTTCCGAACTCCAGAGGCCTGTGGGTTTTTAACAGAGGAGTGTCATGACACAAGTGTGCTCACCGACGGCTAACCTGGCAGCATTGTGCAAAGTAAGTTTGCAGAAGGGATCAAATTAAAATGAGAAGTAAGCTCTAAAAGACTGAGGAAACAATTAAGTACAAAAGATACCCCTTGGTCTTCCTCTGCCCCTTCCTCTTCCTCCTCCTCCGTACACAACTGTCTCTTGGCGTCCGTCCGGAGCTCTAGGTTCTCTGTCACTCCGGAGCCCGCGTTCCTTTCCAGTCCTTCTTGCTGGTTCCTCTCACCTCCCCACTCTCTTGACCCTGCTGCGCCTCGGGGTTCACGCAGGCTTTGACCCTCTTCTTCTGTCTACACTCAGTTCCTCAGTGATACGTGCCAGCCTGTCCCATAGCTTTAAGTATCACGTAACTATTTTCAAATCCTCCCAACCTTCTCTCTCATACTCCAGATTCACACATCTTCCCTCATTTTCCTACCCAACCTGCTCCGAACTGAACTTCTGATCACCCCTCCCCCAAACCACCCCGTCCACCGCCTTCCCCGCTCAGTCCACATCACTTCTCTCCTTGGAAATGGTCAGCAATGCCCTAGACTCGGCTTTCCTTTTCACGTCACGTTATTCCCACCGGGAACTCCTGTTAATTTTCTTCAACACATCCAGGATCTGACCGCTTGTCATGCATCAGCCACCTTCACCGTGGCCAAGCCGCCTGCCTCTCCATTGGATGGACACAAGAAATCACGCGTTCTAGTCACCCTCAGCAGCGCAGTCTCAGCTCAGCAGCAGCCTTCGTCTCCCTGCTGAAGATCACAGTGAAAGCCAAGTCCTCCTAACAACCTCCTAACAATCTCTGCACGACCCATTCGCTGCTCACCCTCCGCCTCTCTCGTCCTCCCTTCTCACGGGCCCCTGGGCCCTGGTCATGCTGGCCTCCCTGCCATTCACCAGACAGAGAGGACACACTTTGAACACCTCGGGGCTCTTACTCCCGCTGCTCCTCTGCAGAGTGCTCTTCTCTCAGAGAGCTGCTCCCTCTTCTCCTTGAAGTCTTGGCTCAAAGCTCACCCTTCTCGACTGTCCTGTGTCGCACTGTAATCTATCCAGCGTCTGTCCGCTTCACACTGTCAACTCCCCCAACATACTTCACTTTTTTTACAGGATTTGTCCTCTTCTGACATACTACTTCTCACTACTGACTGCATGGATTGGTTATTTCCTACCTCCTACCGTATTCTGCCCACTTTGTTGAGAACAACAGCTCTCCAAGTGTGATCCCCGAGCCATGAGCATCATCTAGGAACTTGTTAGAAGCACAAAATTCTCATGCCCCTGTTTAAACAGCATTTCACATTATTCTGCTGCACCCTCAAGTTTTAAAATCACCATCCTGGAATAATGCCTGGCTCAGAGTAAGCACTCAACAAATATTGTGGTCAATAAATTTACAAATCCTCCTTTCCTGATAACGTTCCGCTCCCCACAGAGGAGGATGCTTGGCAATTACCCTGCACTGTAACCCGGCTGATTGGGCCAGGGCGAGTTCTTGACTCCAAGCGAATATTCACAGCCCCTTTACAAAGCCAGCCGGTCCGCCATCCCAGGCTGGATTCTGAGATCAAGGCTGCCGACTTTCTGTGCACCGGGAGGATTTTAGAGAGAGCTCGTCATTTACCAGAGAGACTCTCAGGAAGAAAGGGAGGGCCCGGCTTGGGCAAAGCAGAGGAAGTGGGATGGCCTTCACAGGGCTGAGGAGAAGGACAGCAGAAAACCATGCCAGCGAGGTTTAAATTCCACAGGGACCAAAGGAGACGGTGGGTTCACAGAATCCTCCCACATATGTGACCGAGGAAAAAGAGAGGTGGGATTTAAAAGCAAGTCAGTGGGGCTGGAGATACAGCTCAGCGGCACAAGCAGCTACCTGGCAAGCATGAGGTTGTAAGTTCAACTCCTCACCCCCAAAAATTAAAAAACAAAAGCAAGTCCACGGTTAAACATCAAGAATGAGGTCAGACTCTTCAGCATGTGGGGTGAGCCAATCAGACTCTTTCCAATCAATACTGGAATCTTGATCACAAATTCCTAGAAGGCTGGCCAGCTGGCATCTGTGACTGAAATTAAGGAACATGTAAAAATTCAGGAACTTCAAAGATACAGAAGGAACTCAGTCTTTAGAAAGAAAGCAGATAGATGTACAGAGAAAACCAAAGGCACAAGACCTCTAGCTGCCTGGACCACGGCAGCCCCACGCCAGGCTGGTTACCAGGCCCAGAGTCAGGAGTTGGGCTCAAGGCTTAAGTCGGAACTACCCAAGCAAAGCCTATGGCTGCGGTGATGAGATAAATGGAGAAGACATTCACGGGAAGCAGAGATCACGTGTAGCAGAGTAATCACTGAGTAAGTCCCTCATCAATAAATAGATGAACAGAGTGTAATAATAGAGGATGAGAGACAAAAAGAACTGAAACTTCTTAAAGAAAGGGTTGTTACCTTTTACCCATAATTCTTTTCAAGTCTGAGGTCATCAGCAAAATGTAAACCTTTAGGAATCAAAGAGCTTTGATGGATTCATCTGCAAAGAGGGAGAAACATGGCCTGCTCCCCGCTTGTTCCCTGGGCCGCTAACTCTGATCAGGTGACCGGCTGACCAACAGGAAGCCAGGCAGAGATCCAAAGAAACTGGTAGAAATGTGATGACTGAGTAGAGGGAAGGGAAGGGGGCCGCGGAGAGGACGGAGCAGAGAGAGGGTCACTCGGCAGTGGTCAGCAGGACGCGGCTGGCACAGGCGGCACCCAGCCCTTGACCTCCTAGAGCGGCCCCAGTGCCCCCTGCTACGGAGGGAGCCTGGGAAAACGGTTTCACCTCCTCGACCCACTCCTGGAACACAGTGAGGCTGGCGGAAAAGGATCGAAGTAATCTCAGTTTCCTTAACTTTAAAATGAAAGTTTTATCACCCCAAAGAGTTACCCTAATGAGTAGATGGTGAGTTTTTAAAGCTGTGTTTCCTTTCTGATTGGCAGATAATAATCACACATGTTTTTAGGGTAGAGAGTGGGGTTTTGATAAATGTATATGCAGCATGCAGTGATCAGATTAGGCTAATTAGCATATCTGTCATCCCGGACACCACTTCTTGTGGTGAGGACATTTAAAATCCTCTTTTTTAGCTGTTTTAAGATATTCAATGTGTTGTTATTAGCTCTAATCACTGCCACACCCCTGTCCTTGTCTGCTTTGATTTGAGAACTCAATAATCCAATGGGATTCAGGATGTGGTCACAAATCCTTTTCACTGCCTTGAAAACTGGGATGAAGCCATTTTCTAAAATTATTATCTCTAAAGTCAAGACTAGAGTGCTGCTCACAGATTTCTACATTTCTTTAGCTTGGATCACTCTATCTGCTCATTCCCGAGTTAAGAGGAACAACAAAAGGAACAAAGCCAAATGATCAGGGAAATATTCATAAAAGAGACATAATTCCAAAAAAAATCCTTAAAATTTTTCCAGACAGATTGAATTACTAGCCTTTTATGTTACTGAAAAAACTTGTCAAAGATCCCCTGACTTCATTCATGATTTCAGATTAATGTTGACTAAAAGTCCAACCTAAAATCCGAAAACCAAGTGAATCATACACATTTATTGAAATGTCTATATTGTACTATAAAATATTTATGTTACTATATTTTAAAGAACTTAATTGTCCTGAAACTAAAAACTAGCCATCCTCATTAAAATTAGATTGCACTTCCAAAAGAAAGGTATATTAAGCTAGAATTTTAAAGCTTACATTTAAGTTATAAATTAAGGGGGTTAATAAATGAGAGCGTTTTGCTTTAAACACTTAACATTATGAGAAAGAATGTCCATAAACTGCCACGAATGAGCTACATAACTGCAAATATAGTATCAATAAAGAAATACAGGTCATTGCTTCATGACATTTCTCATGATCCCAGCAGTATAGCTTGGACTTAGTTTTATTAACTTTCAATGAAAGTTCTGCCAAATGGAGCTCAAGAGTCAAACCACTCCCTGGAGAAAAATTAGGCCTTGATGAAATATTCAGTTCCTCACGGTAATTCCATCACTGCAAATTGGGGAGCGTATTGAATTCCAAAGAAGTCAAAATACCAGAAAACCATGAGCCAATATGAAATGCTAAACAGTACTAGACCAATCCCAGCAATTCTCCCAATTCAGTTCTCACTGAAAAATGTGATGCTTTAAAATGCCACTGCGATCTAAGTTTATAATACTGATCAACTATGACAATAAAAAGATGTTTCCATGCTAGAAATGTTACCATTTAGAATAACTGTAAGCTCTACAGCCAACAACACCCTTAAAATTAGATGCTCGAGACCTAGGTTAAGGAGCCATGTTAGCATCCTCATCGATGGCGAAATGTTTTAAGTCAGATGCTGGTTATTTCCAGAAAAAAAAAATTAAATCATGATTATGCCCATAATTAAGAATACTGTTTACTCGGTGCCTACTTTGTGATGTCTGGTAGTGAAACACTGGATAAACATTATCCCATTTAATTTCATATTACTCCAATGTAACAGTTACACTTTATTCCCACTACACGGATGAAAAGTCCTTTCTCAGTGTTTGAACTCAAGTCTGTCTCTATTGTCCTAGAAAGTTCCCGTCTCTGAATTTATCCTAAGAAATTCATCATGGGTACAAGGAAAGACTTGTATATAATGGTATGCATCACAGCTTCTTCATAAGACCAAAAGATTAGAAAGTACCTAAAAGACCAACAAAGAAAAATTACCAAGCAAACTATGATATGCCTGTAAAATTCAATGCCGTAAGAGTTATTTTGAAGAATTCCTAATGGAATGACAAATGCCAAACACGTATTCAATGATAATAATCAGGTTATAAAATAACACATATTATGATTAAAATTACATGTTATACATGAATTCATACACATAAGGTGTAGTTTATCAGCATGGCTAGTCGCTACTCACTAGATACCAACAGCAGCCAGCTAAGACATAACAATGTTTCAGACATGAGCGAAATTATTCTGGGATTAGTAAGGATAGCTATCTGTAAAATCACAGATGTTTAAAAATTTTCTCCTATATGCATTTTGATAGTTTCCAAAATTTCTACAATTACTATGTGTTATATTTGTAATCTGGGAGGATGTTATTACTTTAAAAAAGCAAACATATTAATAGAAAAAAAGATTCATATTTTTCAGACTAAACTGCAATCATGAAAATATGTGCTACATGAGCTAAGGACTATCTGCTGTGATTTCCTTCCATCAGAAATTAACAAAAACCTAGTCGGGAAACAGCGGAGTTTTCATCTACCTGTGTTAGGTGCATCCGAGCAGTCACAGCAGAGAGCGACGGATACACCAGGATGGGTTTGCTTGTGTCTCCGACTGCATCACCAACAAGCTTTCCATTAGAAGAATAAGCAGCCACTGCAAACACGTACTTTTCATTAGCTTCTAAACCTCTCACTTCAAAGATGCTTTTGCCATCAGCTGGTATCTGTTAACAAAACACACTTCAAGTTATACGTGGAAAGTTAATGTGACTTGTAGCACTGTATGTACAATACTTTCACTGGTGGGTGGTAATTGTGACCCGAGCTGAAAGGAGCCTGGATGCCCTGAATAATGACTGCATAAGGGAAAACAGTCCTCTTGGCTCATTAACGGGGCGCTGGCGGGGTTTCCGGCCTTTCCCGGGACGTACCGCTTCTGCTGAATTCGGGAGGTGATGGTTGTTCAGCCTCACTTTTCCATAGCTTCCTTCGGCCTTGCGACCCAAAATGCAGTACCAGGACACCTGCCGGAGAGAGACGAGCACATCACCTGTGTCTGCAGAGAACGCACTGCTTTCTCCTGTCGCAGGGCAGCCCAGGGAATGCTTTTATAAACAAAAAGTAACATTCCAGGCTTCAAACATGAAGCCTAAGTTTATAAAGATACTTAGGTTTAATCTTGCAAAAGGAAAGACAAACACAGTACTGGGTGAGTTCACCGAGACAATCAAGACTCACACACTATTCACTGTTAATTATTCGAGCTCCCAGGAGTTGGATGACTCCTGTGTGCTGAGCATCCTGGAAACTGACTTGGACTCTGATGTTCACAGCATCCCTGAGAGACGGGATTACTGTTCTCGTGGGAAACAGAGATACTGAGATGCTAAACAACTGCCCCAAAGCAAACAGTGGTGGAAGTTGGCTCCAAAATGCCTTAATCTTGATGGCCTCAAGAGTGACTGGATGGAAGAAACATCACCACTGAAATGATTTTCATATTTGATCATAATAATCAATGACAAAAAAGCAAACAGAAAACCAAGCAAGATAGTATTTAAAATGAAATATAAAGATATGCAACATAAGAATAGTGGTGGAGGGCTGGTAGCTTAGTGGCACAGCTTCTCCTGGCAATTGAGAGGTTGTTAGTTCGATTCCTAGTACAAAAAAGAACAGAAAAGCAATGGTGATACGGTTTGCATGACAGAATAGTAAGGTAGCGAATCATTTTCTCCTCCAATTTATGACTGCCTGATCTATGACATTAGTTGGATAATTTCACATAAAGACATAATCCGCACAAGGTGTGAAGCCCCTAGAAACAAGCAAACTTAAACTGGACTAAATAAACGATGGGTCTCTTGCCAAGAGGTTAAAATAATGGAGATCTATTATCAGAATGAATCGTATTCTTACTGTCAGGAAAAAAGGACTGAGTTGATACCAAGGGGGTAGAAAGCCAAAGCCATACTGGTGGAAGGCACCACTGTGGCACACACACACACTCACACACGCACACACACAGGCCACTCCTAAAATACAGGGAAAGCCGGGGAGAAGGGAAAATGCAGCTGTCTCTAAGAGGCGCGGGCCTTGTTCAGGTGGCGCCTACTCTTCCTCCTTAGAATTTTCCTTTTGGCCTGGAAGAAGGAAGATACAAGTAGCTGGGCTTCTGTGTTTCCAAAGAAAACTTCCAGGCGATTGTTAGGTGCATGACTACAAAGGAGCTCGAGTCCAGGGCCAGGAAGAACTGGAGAGAACGTCCCCTGATGTTTTGAAAGAAAGTACATGCGGAGGAGGTTATGACTTAGATTGTGAGCACTCCACATTATACCACATCAACCAGGATTGGGAGGGTAAAATTCTCTCTAAAAGCCTTTTTACAAGCAGATTGTACATCTGGACTCTGCTCCACCAATGCAAGATCATCTTAATTTCAGTAACTCTTCAGAAGCATTAGAATCTACATAAGAACAGAGACATCGTGAACAGATCGCTAACTCTGAAAGTAAGATTTTATAAGTAATGTAAATAATATTAATATTTTCCACTATGAAGATAGATTTTATTGAAAGAAATGCCTTCACAGGAGCTTTGATGAGACAAAAAGATGGCCGCAGCCTCGAAGCAGAGAATGTACTCAAGCTCATAGCACCACCTAGTGGTGATAGCGAGGAACCGCTAAGTGCTTCCTGCTGAACAACTGTCATTTACGCCAACTTCTTCCTGTGCCACAATTGGCAAAGTACTCTAACAGTAATCAAATATGCAAGGCTTATCTTCCGATTTCCAAGCATTATAAAACAAAATAAACAAACAAAAATCAAACCGCACGGGAAATACTTCATAGAATCAATAACTGCAGTCTTATTAAAAATTTTCTGCATGTCGAAAGAAATCTCCAGCATAGTGAAGGAAAACCCACAAATTGGGAAAAAAATCTTAGTCAACTGTCCTTCAGACAAAGGACTTCTGCCCAGAACATATAAAGAATCTTTTAAAAATCAGATCCCCGGAATTCAAAGACCCAATCCAAAAATGGGCATCTGAGATGAATACACAGTTCTCAGCTGAAGAAATACAAATGGCAAATAAAAACGTGAAAAAATGTTCAGCATCATTGGTCATTAAAGAAATGCAAATTAAAACCACACTGAGATTCCATCTCGCTGCAGAAAGAATGGCCAGGATTAAGAAAACTACCACCAACAAATGCTGGAGAGGCTGTGGGGAAAAAGGAACTCTCCTGAACTGTTGGTGGGAGTGTAGACTGGTGCAACCATTGTGAGGTCAGTCTGGAGATTCCTCAAAAAGCTGGGATTGGAAGTCCCACTCAACCCAGCTATTCCACTTCTAGGCAAATTCCCAGAACTGAAAACATCATACCACAATGATATATGTGCACCCATGTTTATAGCAGCACAATTTGTAATAGCCAGATCAGATCTTGGAAACAACCTAAGTGTCCATCAACGGAGGAATGGTTAAAAAAAGTTGTGGTATTTTTATACAGTACTACTCAGCTATAAAGAATGATCACATTGAGATATTTATAAATAAATGGATGCAACTTGAGACCATGCTTATAAGTGAAATAAATCAAACTGATATGTGTGTGAATACCATATTGTCTCCCTAGTGTAATAAATGGTAAGAGTACATAAGATACAAAATCCTCAATATATACAGTGAAAGGATAAGAATCTGCTCAAAGGGAAAAATAATGTCTCAGGAAAAAGGAGGAAAAAGAAAAAAGGGAAAAGAAAAAAATACCTAAAATTGAATAAACACACTTAGGATAGCTAAGATGATTGTGCTACAAATTCTGTAAGTTCTTGGAACAAAACAATTAACATTCATAAAATTGGAACATTTTGCATGTTAGTCTCTGGTGATCTGAGGAACTCTTGAAGATCATTATGTAAAATAACAACCCTAGTTATGCTCCTGCCACCTTGTTTTGAAGGCCTATATCATCATCTTGGGCTCTTTGCGATTGTTATTTTTTTTTTCGTTTCGTGTTTTTCAAAATGTTTTGTTTTGTTTTGTTTTTCCCTCTAATACAGAAAGGATAGGTATACACGTAGAGGCTTATACATGTGTACAACTTGTCCTAAACACGAGTAGAACTTTTCCTAAACAAGAATTTATTATATGTGATGAAATGAACAGCTACCTTGAAGAAAAAGAGACATTGTGGTATCCCTTTCTGATTTCCTATCACTGTGCTGTAAAAACCAGTAATGCTTTTACCCTTTGCTTAGAGTGGTTTTAGTCTGCTTTGTATTGCTTAATTTAAACATACATGAAGGTATGGGCAGCTACTTTGAAAAGAATTAGAGACATTATGTTAGCCACTGTTGATTTTCCTATTGTCTGGTTTTGACGGCCTATAATGCCTTCATCACTCTGTTCTGATCAGTTTTATGCTATTATGTGTTGTATCAATTCATTTTGTGTGAAGATATGGACAACTATTTAGAAGAAAACAAGAGACATTATGGTGTCTGTAGATCTCCTGTTGTCTTGCTTTGAAATCTGAGTCACCTACATTGTTTTCTTCTGATCTACTTTGTTCTGTTTTATTATGTTTAGTTTTACCCAATAAAATAAATAAATAAAATAAGCAAGTCGGTGGATTGCAATACATAAAAAAAGTAACATTTTGGCTAAGAAAACATTTTTACAAACAAATTTGAAAACAAACAAAAATGTGGTAAATATCTAGTTTTCATGCTGTACTATTTTTTTTTCTGAAACCAGTGAAGCCCTACTCTTAAAAAGATTCTAAAACATTCAGTTGAATTTTAGAACGGCTATCAGTAGAAGTCATATATTTTTTATAGCATATGTGGGTGCAAAGCAAATGTCACATCTAGTTCCACACTTTAAGGTGGTGGCACTGCTTCTGACTCATGTCATTCATTCTCAGGAGGGCCCTAAAGAATGGAACCACATTTCATCCATTTTTAACCTTACGCATTAATTGCCCAGCACAAAGGTCGATAGGTTACCCTCATCCAATAAACGTTCATTGGATGGAATTAATGGAAAAATCACCAAATAATGCAATCATAGTCTAAGACTTCACTCTTTGCTTTGATAGACTTACTATGTGTGCTTAACATGGGAATTGGTGAGACATCAGTTGATATGCCAAGAATATTACACATTAACTCACTTTATTTCTCAGTTAACACACTTCACAACAAAAAGTTTTGTCTTCCTAAAGTCCTACTGCTGGTCAGGAGTGGATCGGGGAGTTTAAACCCAAATGCGCTAGACTTCAAAAGGCTTTGTATGCAAAACACCCTTAAAGTGAATGAATTAAAGGTAAAATTTTATTTTTGGACACAACATCAAAGAGCATGTTGCTGATCCTCTGAAAAAGGGGAACGCAATATTTAAAATATCAATTAGGTGGAAACGAATTGTTGTTAGGAAACTAATTCTCAAGTGTTAGTCACATTTAGTGACCAAGCCGTAGGGATACCAGGAAATCTCACCCTGATGAATATGCAAAGCTTTACGATGTGCTACATCCTAGGTGGCAAGGATTGTCACTTGGTGGTGTTAAAAGAATCCATGTTCATTTGGAAGAACTCTGGGCAGAACCTGCATTCTCACACCATCCCCATCAACAGCTCAGAGGGCCCTCTGCCTCTTCAGCTAGCTGCCTTCTGTCCCCTTCCGGTGGGCCCTGCATTCTGAGCCCACCTCAGGAAGTCAGCAATCAGCTCTGCTGCAGGGACAGAGATGCACTAGGAGAGCTACTTCAAGACTGTTTCTCTTTTATCACGCATTAAAGTAGAGACAGCACAACGTGAGAAATGTCATAAAGAAACCAAGACCTGAGAATACTAATCTGCTGTTGAGTGTTTATAAGTAAGACTAGTCAGGTCCTATCAGCAATAAAAGGATGTGTCATTATGGTCATAGAAGTACTTAACATTGGTTTGCAAGAAGCAAAGACCTAATGGGCACCTACCTCAGCATCTGAAACAAACGGAGCAGGTTTGAGAGTCACAGAACAATGAGTCCTGGCGAGGAAGATGGGAGGAGGAGGGACTCTGCTTTTCTTTATTTTTGAACTTTGCAAATATTTCTGATATGAGAACAATGCGCTTTGTTCTGCTTCAGTCTTCTCAATTAAAGAATATGCTTCCTATAATGAAGTGCGAAAACAGAAAAACACATCTCAAGAACTTGAACTTCTTTTATATCTGCAGAATGTTCAAAATAACAGTATCTTAAAAAATAACATCTTTCTATATAATTTATTGAGATATGTCTCGGAGGCATATATATACACATATATATTTTTTAATGATTTTGCAGGATTAGAAAGTGGCTACTAAAAATTTTTTAGAAAGTGGCTACTAAATAAGGCAGAACATGATCACGAAAGGCTTCATATTTATATGTCTGAAGGTAATCAGCATACACTAAAATGAGACATTTATCTTTAAATCAAAACCTCTGCACGTAGCTAAGCTTTAAAAGTTCATAACAAAGTCATATACATTTATATTGATGAACCACACACTTACCTAATCCAGAATTTATTTCATTTGATACAAAAACCTGTGCCATTTCCCCTGTAGGAGACATATGAAGCTTAAAATTTCCATTTGGAAATCTGGACCTCAAACTCAAAAGAAACACCATGACCAGAAACAGGATCTGAATATGTCTTGAAGACGTATTTAAAGCTGAAGAAGTAAACCTTATACAAGTGTAGATTATAAAACTATACAGTAAAAAAAGAAAAAAACTAGACAGTACCATACATTTTTCCCTAAAATAATGAAACATGGCCTAAATTGAGATCAGAATTGACTTCTTATTTTTATCTTTCGTTGCAATTTGCTGACATCAAGATCTGAAATCATCAGTCATAATTACAATGTTATCTGTAATGGTAGCTTTTTAAAATTTCTACTTGTATTGTACTGGGAGACCTTGGAAAATATTTCTTCTTTTGTTGGTTAAGAATCTTTGCTATCTGCAGGAATCTTCCTTCATGTCTTATAAGGTAATTTAAGTTTCTGCAACTCCCGAGCCAAAGATCTTAGGTATTTAGACCCAAACGCTAACTTACAGACACATAACAGGTGTGCACTGGACCATCAAACCATTCAATGAGTGGGTCAGTCTATCAATCAAGGACATAGGACGACATCTGCCGTTCATCTTCTTGACCCTTTTGCTCATTCAACACAACAGTAAAAGGAAAGAAAAGGAGAAACTTGATGAGAAAAATAGAGAAAGGGGTCCTGGTTTAGATGCTGGGTGAGCGGTGTCAGAAAAGACTGAAAGCCAAGGTCCCAGGAAACGCCCCACGTGCAGCTGGGCGGAGGCCCATTGCCTCTCCACCCCCTCCCAGGGACATGGAAGCAGCTCAGGCTCCCTGAGGACAAAGGTGCCCCAGAGCACAGCTTCCAGGAAGGCCACCCGCGGGGAGAGCTCAAAGGCAGCAAGGTCAGAGCTAGAAAAGCTAAGAGCGTTTACTAGATTACTGCAGGCAAATCTTGAAAGAAGGAAGTCCTAGTTGAGCAGAAGGGCTGCAAGACCACGGCACTCTGACCACTATGCCAACACAGCGGCAGCTGCATCATAGGCTGCAAACGCCCGGATATTTCAGATTATGCAGGAAAAGTCAGATCAAGGGGGAAAGACTAATATTTTGAAATACTGATGTCATTTTCTTCATCTGGATTGGGCACTGGCCCTGATATTAGCTCAGACTGCCTCTGATTGCATCCTGATTCAGGGTCGATGGCCCTGAGCTCCCCACATTTAACCCCCAGTTTGCCTTGACATCCGACACTCAAGTGCATCAGCTGAACATGGCATCTTCTGACCTAACTCTGCCATCTTCTCCGTGTGTCCAGGAGCCCAACTGGATCAAATCCTCCCTACCTTCTCCCACGGGCCGTGTCACACAGGCCGGCTATTGTCAGCGTTACCTAGGAAGTTTGTAGGAAATGTAAGCTGTTTCATTCCCAAGCCAAAATAAGTATCTCCAGGAGTGGGGCTTGAACATCTGTCCTCTTACCCAGCGCCAAGGGCAACTGTGGGGCAGGACTTCCGCGCAGGACACTGACTTGGGCGAGCCCACCCTTCCTTCAGTGTCCAGTCTCAGCAGCCTCTGGTCTTCTTGTGGGTCAGCGGCTCCTCCCACACTTACTAAGTAAAGGGCAAACTTCTCCACAGGCCTTTTCATCCTTCTGATCGGGCTGACGGGCCATATGTTCTAGCCTTATCTTTCTTTCTTTTCTCTCTCTCTCTCTCTCTCTCTCTCTCTCTCTCTCTCTCTCTCTGTCTCTCTCTCATCTCTTTACCCTGTGACAAGACTGTCCATACCCCACCCCTCGACAATGAACGTCTTGGTGGGGGGACAGTCCTTTATCTCGTTAGGTTCAGTCAATGGATTCTGAATGAAAGACATACTAAATTGTGACAGGGAAGGATGATCTTAATGTATTTTATTAGTATGTTTAAAACGTTCTGATTGGATCTTAATTTTAGCTTTAGCCCTCTAACTCAGATTCCCTGGCCCAATCTGAAATAGTAGATGCATTAAAAATTCGATATAGCAGAACTATTAAAGATTTAAGTGAAAGGTATTGAAAGAAAAGTCTAAAACACAGTCTTCGGCTTTAATAAATCAGATAAATTCTAAAATAGAACTCCAGACAAACCCTAACTCTGGTTAAAAATTAGAATCCTAATGTTGTGAGACAGAGCATTGAGGTGCGAATAAGATTTCATTTATGAAAGAACAGGACTTTTAAAGGGGATTCTCCAACTAGAAAGGAGCAAATAACATTTAAAATTAGGAAGAAAAAAAATCCCCATGAGACAGCTGCACTCAGTGTTGAGAAGGTGTCACCAGTAAGGATTTGAATGCTGTGCACTCTGACAGCGCCTGAAAGACCAGAGTTGGCAACTGCAAGATGTGGAAGCCATTCTCTCATCAGAGATGGGGAGGAAGTGGTCCCCACGAGCATCACAGACAGAGAGTAACAGCAGGTTCACTTTCTCCCGTCAGGCACAGTCCTAGCAAATAAGAAGGGCTCATAACCTGAAAGAAGAAAAGCTCCCCTGCCTGCCACGGAAAGACACAGCCAGGAACCCCAGTGGAAAGGGACGTCCACACCAACTTCTCAGAGGACATAAGTTCTGAGCGCTGGTTCAGTGGTGGTTTATGCTGTAAAACCACTGAAGTCCAGACATTTGTATCTGCATGTAAATTTCTCCGCCTGGAGTTTCCAGGAGAGAACACGAGATCCGCCGCTTTTCAGAAGTCATCCAGTGTTCACAAAGACAGGCTGATATTAGGTATATTTGACACGGGCTTGACACCCACCGCGCAGCAAAACACTAAAGGAAAGATGCAATGTGACCTGGAAACGTATGTAAACAACTACCATGAGAATGGGACGATAAAGGACACACTGACAGCCTCGCCACCAGGCTCCCCGGGGTGTGTTCTGGGTTCTCAATATGACTGTGTACACTGCAGAAGGAGATGAGAAGCAGATTGAGTCACATCCAGAACCCTGGGAAGGAACATCACCGAGAATAAAACACAAAATGTATAAGATAAACCTAAGGAAAAAGTAGAAAAATGTGAGGGCTTAGAAATACAACTAACACATCAGAAAATAGATCCAGAGCGCTTAAAGCAGAAGACAAAAATAACGAGGAAAACGGCTAACATGTAGTGACTGCTTGTCCCACACCCTAAACTAAGCAGTTTATACTCTTTGTTTTGACTCATCCCAGGAAACAGCAGTTCACAAATGAAGAAACTAAGACTCACTAGAGCAGAAGGAGCCTGGCTGGAACACACAGCTGATCAGCAACAGAACCAGAGCCTTCCTTACCCAGACCTGTATGGCGTTCACCACCATGCTATCCTCCCTAATCCAAAGCTAAAAGAAACATGAAAAGGCAACCAAAGTGATGACTCCCATGCTTTTTCTTTAAATCACTTGAAAGGGAAAAAAATCCTAATATGTAAATGTGCTAAAATCCTTGGTCAGTAGTTTGAAACCTGGGGGTCAGACATGACTTTATCGGCGAAAGAAAATGGCTTGCTCTTCATCAGATTTCTTTGTTTAGCTTTGTTAGTACACGCCTGCACTCCACCATGATCACACTCATCACAGGGATTGGTATGAGCACAAAACAGCTCACAGGTTGCTTTTGTCCTCTCCCCTTTCCACCCTTCCCTCCCACAATACTCCAGGTTCCCTTCCCATCTGCAAAAGCTGTATTTCCAATTTTTCTCTTTGCTTCCGTCTCTTTTTCCATCCCTTTTAGGCCTGCTCTTTTATAAAGAAGACTTCAGCATTGAACAATTAAAAAGAGCTGAGAAGATCAGTGGGAGAAAAAATAATTCCTATATATTCTCCTCCAATCTCTAACCAGCAAATAATTTAAAATGCTACAAAAGAGGAAAAATAATTAAATCTAGTTACTGCTAGCACAGTTAGCAGAGTGATACTTAGGAGACACCCAGGTATAAATTCAGGAGCTATTAAAGTTAAGTGTTATTAAAACTTTTAGTAACTCGGGACCTTATCATTAATTATGGTTTCAAATTGAGACTATATCATCATGTTATATCAATTATAAAGAAAATCCACCAGGCATGTGGCACACACCTGTAATCTCAGCACTAGAGAGGCGGAGGCAGGAGGATCACCTTGAGTTCAAAGGTGGCTTGGACTACACAGTGAGTTCAAGGCCAGCCTGAACTTACATGATGAGACTGTATCAACAATCAGAAGTTGAAGAATAAAATCGTCAAAATTTAGGAAAAAAGGAAAGAATAGAAAAGTCATCTACTGAACCATAATGCTCTTTTGAGTAACACTGAGGGGGAACTATTACCATAATTTGGAGTTGTTAAAATCATCTCAACTGCAGATTTGCTTAAGTTGTAGCACAAAGTACTGGACGGGTATGGGAGGAAGTAAATACAACATTCGACTTTTTTGCAACAAGAACTGTTGGAAAAACAAGTCGGGACCATAGCAGGGCAAGGAGGGAACAGGGCCTGCAGAACCCAGTGATCACAACCTCACCAGGGCACAGGCATTCGAATGAATGAAATGCCAAACTTCCGTGACCTAAAGGTAGACAAGTGTCTCCCTGGCTTTTATTTTCCTACTGAGTACGTGTCTAAGGTTTTAGTCTTTGCATCCCTCTCCTGCAGATTAGGATTCCAAGGATGGAACAATCAATTGGTCTCTCCAGCAGGGCTAGAAACCCTCTGGGGAACCAGTTCTACCTGAGTATATCAGATAGGGAAGAAAAAATTCTGCTGTACAGAAAACTACAGTGTAAAAGTCTGCTCTTAAACCCTTAGCTCCAGGATTGAGCATTTCTGCCTCTTTCCAGAAAGAAACTTCATTTGCACCTGCTGAATGTTCCGCAGGTGGACTTCAGGTGGGCTAAGGGCAGCAACATACACCTTCACACGGCTGCATGTGATCAGAGGCAGAAGACAAGGTCACCCACATTGGTTCACTTTTTTCCAGTAAACAGTGAGGATAATGTGTAAAGAGCCAATATGGATTTCTAACAGTCAAATAACCAAAACAAAAAAAATGGGAAAAGTAACTTCACAACCAAGAAAAAATAAAGCCATCATTTCATTTGGAAAGCTACCTGTCATCTCACTTGGAAAACTAATCATTATTATCAAAGGCTTCTCCCTCGGTAGTGACAACTCAGTCTGCCTTTAACTGATTTGGAGTCAAACAGACACCTGGTGAGATTATCTGCATCCACAAGGGCAGGAAAGTTTTGAAAAACTAAAACAAGGCATGAATTATTTAAGAGATAAGAAGAGACCCAAGCTTTTTATACCTTTTTATGGTATCAGGTGACACATCAACTGCTGATTGGGGACAAGTTTATTACAAGATCATGATAATGTAAAACATTCTGTAATGTACCCCAGCAGAAAATGATTGCCAAGGGAAAGAAGTTTATTTGTCTCCCTTAAAGAAAGAAACTTTGGCAATTACTTGAGCTGTAACATCATTGTTTGGGACAGTACCCTAAGGACTGGTCATTAAGCCTTAACACTTGGATAAAAACTACCACTGAGCAGCAGAGGTGGCTACAAATGATTGCGCGACCACAAAATAAATATTCAACACGTTCCCAGTTGGTAAAAACCCTTCTGGAGAAGTCCTCATAAAAATCAGAGCCTCTAAAGGCATCTCATGAGTCTGTCCTAATAGGACATCACACTCATCATTTTGCTTTAGTTAAAATAGTTGTACTTAAGAAACAGAAGAAAGAGATACGGATTAGAAATGCAGCTGCCCATGTGTCCAGTATGCTCCCGGCCTCGGTGGGAGAAAATGGGAGCTGTAATAGGGGATGGACACACACCATGGCGTGGAAGGGCCAGGCGGAGCCACAACAACACACAGGATTAGTCCTCAGGAGCCAGCAAAGGAAAGCAAAGATCTATTTTGCATAGAAATGGGACTGAAACACCAGTGCACTCCAGGCAGACGGCCAGGAAGTGTCTCCTGATGGACCTGGACACGTCCTTGAAGTCTTCCAAAAGGACCACAGGCCCCTTGGCCTTGTCAGTCCAGACTACCCAGCACTCCCATGAAACTGTCCCCAAACACTGGAAACTCAAATTTAATGTAGAAATTTTATTGAATAAAATTACAAAATAAATAAGATAATCCCTTTCCGTGCTTTCGAGCTCACCCCCTTCCCTCTCCAACAGGACTTTACGGATTCACTGCTCTGGAGCCTCTTCCCGGCTTTGACCTCATCTCTCCCTTCCCTTGTCGGCCGAGTTACCTGCAGCAGCATCTGATATGGCTTTTCAGATGCTGTTCGCTCAGCCAGGGCTACAGGCTGGGTCCAGAGTAGCCTCCCAAGGCACGCGCCTGTGGAAGTCTTGGCCACCACCCTGGAACCCTGCAGGGAGGCTGGGGAAACCCCAGTGGGTGGGTCTCACTGAGGAGTGCGCCTTCAGGGGAGACAGTGGGACCCCAACCTCTCTCCCTCCTTGTCCTCTTCTCCAGCCTTCCTCCTCTTCTTCCTCCTCTTCTTCCTCTTCCTCCTCTTCTTTCTGTTCTTCCTCTCCCCCTCTCTCTCCCTCCTTCTCTCTCTCTGTTCTGTGGTCATCACTGTTTCCAAGTTTCCTCTGCCACGCATTTCCTCCAGGCTCTACTGCCTTGTCACAGGACCAAATGAAACAGGAACAAGGGATCACGGACTAAAACCTTTGGAACCGTGAGCCAAAGAAAAGCTTTCCTCTCTTTACATGGTCAATCTCTAGTGTTTTGCTGCAGTAATGGAAAGCTACCACAGCCAATAAAATCAAACTTTCATGAGTGACACACAGGGGCAAAAACAAAGAAGATTTACAACTTAAAAAGTGATTGTTGTCAGGAAGTTAAACTAAAATCAACACATAATGAATTAGCAGAAAGACAGAACAACTTCCAGGTCAGTGTGTGGACTATTTAAAAGGTATCAGCAAGGGCTGGGGATGCAATTCAGTCACCGAGTGTGTGCTTAGTTTTGGGAGGCCCTGAATTCAGTTCCAGCACTTAGGGACAAAGGTATCAACCACAAAGGGAATGGCGCCCAGGATGGCAGCACCCAGCTGAGAGAAAAGGTGCCTCAGACAGTGGGCTGCAAGCATTTTAACTCCAACGTAAGAAACTCAGGGACCTGGCACAGCCTCGCTCTGTAAGCTCTTTGCTTCCACTCCTCTGTAACCACTTGGCTTTCCGTGTGGGTTTCACCCAGGCTGCCCCTGCCGAGAGAGAATCTCTCACTTCAAACATTGCAGGAAGACAGGTGCAGGCCAGCGTACCTGCTCAGCCAAGACTACTTATGGGAAACCTGAACGTTTATAGTCAAATGGAAGAGCAACAAATCACTTGTAAGAAAGACAAATCACTCATTGCAACAGAAGCTGTATGTCAGGACAAAAGTAGAAATAAAATATTGTTACCGTCAAAAAGTTCTGTGAACATGTAGAGGTTGGATCATTCTCAAATACGAAAAGAGCTTTCTGCATGAGGTAAATTGCTTTGGATAGCTTATTTTTCTTTATTTTATTCATTACACTTAATTCTGCAGAAACAAACAAATATTTTAATAAAAGGGTAAGATAAAAACTATCATTCAGATTTGGAGGGAAATACAGATTATCCCACATTTAATTACCTGTAAAACAATCAGTGTTTCCAGATTGCTTTAGCTTCTCTGAACTTTTGGCCGAAATAGTTTTGCTAACTGAAGAAGCCTGCAAAACTGAAGAAGATGACCATCATTATAATGGGGTTTGTGCCTAAGGCAGGAAATATTTTTAAACATTAAAGAATAACTATTTATAAAATTATTATTTCTTCTATGATTGACATCTTTTCATTCATTAATAGACAAAACTACAGATAACTCTGTGATGCAGTTTTACTGTCAAAAACACTGTTTTAGCTGGGCATGGTGGTATATACCTGTAATCTAGAACTACAGGAGGCTAAGACAGGAAGATCACAATTTTGAGCCCTGTCTGGACATCTTAGTAACTTGGCAAAACTTTGCTTCAAAATAAAATACCCGAAAGGGCTGGAATGTGATTCAGTGAGAAGGTCCAGGCTTCAATCTCCAGCACCAAAAATCAAAACAAAACAAAGCCAAAAAAATCTTTTGTTTGTCACATTAAACCTCAAGGCATAAAATTTCTAATTTTTTTTTAATTTGACATCTATCTCATCTTAAACAAAATTATCCTCAAGGTAAACTTTGTTCACTTTCCTTTTCCTTAAAGGACACATGGCAAGTCCTGATCCCAGCCAGTTGCTAACCCTAACCCTCAGCCTTTCTGGGAAACTGTTTCAACATGATCTTCACAGGAACTCCCACTGCCGCACAAACACCAGGCAGAGCCTTTCCCAAGACCTTCATTTAAAACACAGGCAACTCGGCCATCAGAGCAGGTGGACAACTGGGAGTGCCCGTGATGACCATCCAGCAAGAAAGAATCTGGGCAGGAGAGGAGAGGATGAGCTCTGCCAGCCCACAGAGACGGAAATGGCAGCACTGATGCTTGATTTTCAGGTCCATCCCTCAAAAGACCTGCAATATTTCATTTCTGTCCTTGGAGGTATGCGACTGCACTGGTAGAAACCTTACAATAAATCCCTTTTCTGAGTTTTAATTACTTGTGCTAATGCACTTGAGTCACCATGGTGTGGTGACTGACAAGATGAACAGACACCGTGTACAGGTGTAAGATTTCGTTAGCAGCACAGGGTAAGGGGATGTATCTGCATGCGGATAGCAATACAAAAACAGAGAGAATGCTTCATCCTCTCAGTACCCATGGTATTGTGAATGCTAATTAAGCTCTCCTGATTATAATCATTGCAGATAAGAAGATGGGGTTTCAAAAAATCTCTGAACACCAGACACGGGTGAGTCATATTTAATACCACGGTCATCAACAGGAGACCATTGTAAAGCTCTGGAACAAGAAAGACAAAAACAGTGTTTAGGGAACATTAGTCTGGCAGCAGCACACTTCAGGGAAGAAAGATAGGCGGCCCAAAGTGATAATCTGTGCTAGGGTGGTAGTTCAATCCAACAGAAGGAAAAATCACAAAGGACCAGAGACATTACCGAGGAATAATGACCAACTCCACTTAAAATTGAACTCAAGTGTGTTATTGATAACTTTCAGTAGTCTCAGACTTTTAAAAAAAAAACTCATTTGGCTTTGGAAGACTTGTGGATGACAATTAGAAAATATACTCCTTAGTAGTAACTCAGCGAGCACATAACACCCTGTTTCTCCATTAAAGAAGATAACAATACTACTAAGGGACGGTCAGGGGCTAGAAAACCCGACACAATGATTCTACTCACATTTTCAAATACATCTCTGAACCAAATTTTTCAACCCAAAGAGTCTTCAAGATTATTATTCTAAGGAACCTCATTTAAGCATTAGAAAATCTGTATTGAGTTTTCAATTTATTTTTGGTGACACGAGGATATTATAACTATTATTTGCTTCCTTCCACACCCAGCAGGTGATAAAGGAAACAGCTTTTCAAATTACTTAAATGTGTAAAATAAAACATAAAAGAATAAAAACATTGGGTCAGGGATTTTGCTCAGCAGCTCAAGCACTTGCCTGGTAAGCATGAGGTGATGAGTTCGATCCCTGCTACCAAAAATACAATAATAATAATAATAACAACAACAACATACAAGGATAAAAGGGATCTTTCCTTTAACTGTTGGAATTAAAATGGAATTAAATATCAGTAACTTACTATAATTCAAACAAATATACTCATAATTTTAAAAGGTTTACTTTGACTTCATATGCAAAGTGTAAAGCAATAATAAAAGGTATCAAATTTTATGAAACAGAGAAGAAAAAATAAAATAATCAAATTTATCTGGAAAACAGTCAACAAGAACACAATTACAAGTTCAACTGATTCTGTACTCCAGCTAGGCTTATGATGGATTCCGTGCAGTCATTTGCTTTGATGGTTACTACCTTGCAACTGGCCAAGTAGAAGAACGGCAATTCGGTGCTGGGCTTGAATGAGTTCAAGATGTAAATCCATCATGAAGGTGTTTTCTGAGATTGGTTGGTAAGTGTCTCCATCTCCATCATGGGAACACTTAGGATGAGCACACCAAAATAAAATAAAAAGCAACACAGTTATCACAGCACACTAAAATAAAATGAAACACAGTTAAACAAAACACACCAAAAAATAGCTGTACTTTATTATTTTATTCAAGTGATCATCTTATCAAAGGTATTAAATTCTGCCGATTTTGTAACTCTTTATAACTGGCTCACATGCAATAAATATGCTCTTAGACTTTATCAGTGTCCTGTCCATGATAAAGTCAGAGACTACTTACTTGCCTTTATTTCTTCTGGGACCAGAGGAATATTCCCGGCCTGTGAGAGGAACACCAGCACGAACCATGCTTTGTTTACCTACTTGAAGGACAGCCCTCTGCCTAGTGCAATAAAACATCAACCTAATGTCAGATTTTTCCATTCTTACCTTGACATAGCAGTGGTCAATCACTGATGATCCATTTGCCAAAGTAGTTAACACGTAATTCAAATTCATTCTACCAATTGCTTTGTCAAGTAGTTCATAAGCAAAAAACAACTGCTCCACAGATGTTTTCTAAAATAATTTTGTAAATAAAAAGAATGAATACTTAAGAAAAGTCTCTGGCTTTTTTTTTTTGACACAGGCTCTCACTATGTAGTTCAGGTTGGCCTAGAACTCACAGCAATTCTTCTGACTCAGCCTCCTGAGAGCTGGGATTATGGGCTTCACCACTGTGCCTGGCTTTCATGTTCTTTTAACAATAATTCAAAATAAAATAACAGAAATTTGAACAGTGCAACCAAAACAATAGTACTGTGTCTTGACTATGTTTATTGCTGACTAAATGTGAACTATCAATACAGATGAAAATGATTAATAGATATCATTTTTCCAAGCATAAATTAAACATTTTCACAAACTCATATGTAACTTCTGTGCGTTGGTCTCAAAATTCTGGTTCTAACAAATGTACAGGTACGTTTTTAAAATACAGTCCACATAATTTGTCATTTTTATAATAACTTTAAGAAATTATTTTTTTTAATTTCAGAATCTTACAGCTAGAAATTTTCACTGATTCCATCAAATTGAAATTTCAAAACTCAAATATCTTCTTAATGTAATTATTCTCAAAGGGAGACAGAATAACTTAAGGAGAAATCAACTTTGTTCAAAATTTCAAATTTCCTCAATTTTTCCAGAATTGCCTACGGAATAAAGCATAGCTATACATCCACTAAGCTGAAACTTTCTGAATAACTTCCCACTGCCCTTGAACTTAATTTTACAATTCTTTTGCATGTTTTTAAAGTTTTACTCTATTCACGTGCATTCTTAGCAATATGGAACATACTGTACATACTTTGTAAATTCTCCTATAAAATTCTGCGGGCTGATTTTTTTTCCCACTCAACGACTGTATATAGCTGAAACTTATTCACCTTGGTGTACATACTCAAGAGTTCGGGCAGGGTTTGGTTATGAACACAGAATTACTCTAGATGTTCCAAGCACAGAATTAGAAATGCCCATCCCCGTTGGAGGGCATGGAGCACCAAAGATCTCGAAAGTGCCCGAAATAATTGTGCTTCATGTGATTCTCAAGTGCTTACTCAGAAGCGTCTGCCAATCCAAGAATTCATGGGGCAGCTGACCATGTCCTCAAGCACCTGCTACTCTGCATGAAAGCAGGTGAGACACAAGGGCCTGCTCTGCATGGTTGGTAAATTCCATCCACCAATAAAAGTGGGAGCCATCATTTCTCTTCTGCAAAATGGAGTCATGCAAATGCCTTCCTGTTGGAAGATTAAACACCTAGCTCCATATAGAATGAGACGCCGGAAATATAGATCATTTCCTCCTGTGATTCAAAGGTGACCTCAGAGAGAAAGTGCAACGATGCCACAGTGACTCGAGTCGCCAATCCTCTTATCTGCAAGGAACGAAGGGGTGTAGCAGAGCACGCCCCAGATTACCCCTCGCCTGCTGATGCAAATTTCAACTGCTGTTACTAAAGACTTTGCACTCTACGGTACTCACTGCCTGTGAACAAAGACCTGCGTTCCTCTTTCTTTGTCTATTCATCGAAGATTTCCAGGACATAGTGAGCAGAAGACTGGCAGACATTCTTGTGTGATTACAGAATAAAGTGATCGCTTCTAAACTTTTAAAATACATGTAACATTCATTGCACGTCTCCGAATGACGCGCTTAATCAGATAGGGAAGACTTCCTGCATTCTTAACTACTAAGAGGGTTTTGTTTGTTTCTTTTTTGTTTAGTGCTTTCTTAAAGGATAACTGCTGAAGTTTGTCTAATGCTTTAGTTGCATTTCTTTATCTAGAGATGTGGCTATGTTTTATCATTTAATCTGCTAATGTGATATATTACATTGCAGGTTTCCAAATGTTAAGTCTTCATTCCTGGAATATAATATACACAATTTTATGGCCCATAACCAAAAGAATCACAGGCTCAAGGAGGTTCCTAAGCAACCAGGTAGCACAAAGCCAAATAACAAACCAATGAGGACAAGCCCAAGGTTATAACTCTTTAGGACAGACTTTCTCCTGTCTACTCTCCTTCAGGACCCAACATGAGATTTCAGCTTATACACACAGACTTCTTCCTTTTTCCTAGGATGTAGTCTCTGGCAGGTTCTAACTTCATGTGGGAGAAGCCAAGCCCATCTCTGGTCCCGCCGGCCTCCCTGGAACTACGCTCAGCATCCTGACTGCAGCGCCCATTTAGAAACGAATCCTTCTAGTCTTCAATTCCCTGTTTGGACCTTCAGCAGTTACCTTACTTTCTTGCGAACTGTGAAATATGCCTGAAGATATTTGTTCACTTCTGTCCAAAATTTCTGTATTTTGTATTATTATTACTAGTAGTAGAAAAAATCTTAAATCATCTAGGTTATTGTTTGGCCAGAAACCAGAAACAGGAGTCTCTCAGGATATCTCTGTAACATCAAAAATTCAAAGATCCCCCTACAGACACACACACACACACACACACACACACACACACACACACACACACACGGTCACCATTATCCTGGCAATCACCAGCATCTCCATCATCATCATGGCTAACCTTTAATGCAAATATTCTTCAAGTATTGGGCTAAATGCTTAATGAACACTAATCATTTGTCACAGCCCTATAAGATACATTCATTTAGTTATCAGAAGTTATAATCCATTTGTTGAAAACCATCAAAAAATTCTGTCATGTAATCACAATGGTACTGCATGTACTTTTTAAAAATAGTAGCCCATATGTGTGCAAGATAGGTAATTTATACCATTACACACTCTTCTAAGTGAGCATATGAATTTTGTACTCTCCTTTCAATACTTTTAATCCACTTAGTGGGGTATGAGAACACAAAGTTGAAATTCAATGATCAACATGAAACATAAAAAAAAACCCTCACATAGTAACTATAATGCTCCAGGTACTGGTTTCTACTGTGTTAGCAATAACTTGTTTAAACAGGATAACAAACCAGTGGCTTAGGTAATACTGTAATTTTACAGGATTAATACTTTACAGGATTAAAACTCAGAATACTTAAACAGTTAAATTCATTCATTCAAGGTCATGCAATGAGTATCTGATTAAAATTCAATTCCAAAAATAGGCATGGTGGAACACACCTGTAATCCTAGCACTGAGGAGGCTGAGGCAGGAGGACCAGCAAATTCAAGGCCAGCCTGGGCTACAAAGTGAGCTCATGGCCAGCCTGAACTTCATAACAAGACCCAGTCTCAAAAATACAAACAAACAAACAAACAAAAGATTCAATTCCAAGGCTGTCGACACCAAACACAGGGCTTCTAGACACACACTTCTATATCTCACATGGTTACTTCCCTCTACACCTACCACAGTCTGCCCGTGCAGCTGAGCAGACTGTCTTGCACAGTCTGAGGGGCTGTAGTTCATTGATGTCATCCCAGACTTGTGTGTTTATTCTGACAAATTTCAGCCAATGGCAGCTGTGCTTTTCTAATTGTAATAGCAATCGCTCACAAATGGTCTTTGGTTTCTTTGTTGTGTGAACACTGACACCTTCTAAGAAATCTATTCCAGTTAGTGGTAAGTGCCAAAATAGTTTCCATCTCCTGCCCAAATCTAGTGATTTATAATTGTCACTAAGAGGCCTGTTCCTGCCCAGAGGCATCTCACAGAATAGGCGCCAATCCACAAAGCCAGGGGTTTTCTATTTCCCGTGTCCTTAAGCACCTGCCTGAGGGACTTCGAATTATGGCTGAGTACGTCTGCAGGGAGCAATGGGAAGCTGTGTGTCTGTCCAGGACTGCAAGGGACCCCTGAAAACCCATGGTCAGACGGCGGGCAACCTCACCCAGCTCCTGGGTGTGTCAAGCTCGAGCTTCAATTTGAGAATTCTCAACTCTAGCCCTTATGAGAAGACACTGAACAGCATAAAGAACTCAACTCTGCATTCCCTGAAACTTATAACTGGGAGACAAACAGTTATATGAGAAAGTTAGTTCACAATTAACTCCTCCCCTCATTCTCCTATCCACTCCTAATGACATTTGATTGGTACCCAGTCTCTTAGGACTTTATTTTGTCAAATATGGCAGAGATGTTGATGGTATTGTCACACTCTATGCTTATCGCCCTAGTAACCATGTACCAGGAGCACCAACCACATTGTTATAAATTTGTTATAAATTAACTGACCATGTCATCATGGTGTTTTGTATGTGCCATCCCTCCCCCCCTTAGTAACCTGTTTTCTGTGTCAACTTTTGTTCCCCTTGTAAGAGACAAATGATGCTGTGTCAACCATTGTTCCCGTTGTGAGAGACAAATGTTCCTGGAATTGGCAGACCAAGGGCTATGAATTGGCCGACCACCCACTGTGAAATGCCTCTGATCTCAAGCAAAGGGGATCAAAGGCTCACCTTGTTTCTCTTTCTCATCACTATGTACTTAATGATCAATGAGCTAATCATAAATGAAATTCTAACAGCTGCACAGCTTTGCAAATTCCATCTGCACTGTGTCGCTGGGCCAGCGAAAATAAAAGCGCTTCTTCCTAAAAACGATGTTGTTTTACCCTGTTCTTTTTTCATCTTGGGGGTCTTGCCCCATTTTTCATCTCAGGGAGCCTTTTTGGGGAAGTACAACAGGTATCAAATTTTTTAAATTAGCACTTTTTTTTATATTTCAAAGGGCTCCCACAGATGAAGATGATAAAGGTAGGTGACAAAGAATTAAAGCTCCATTAAAGTTTTTAATGTCCACACACTAGAAAAATATCATTTATAAAAACATATTGAAATATGGATGTATAAATATATCTTGTGTAAATCCATAGTCAACAGGCAACACAGCAGACTGGCTAACCGCCTGGACCCGGAGCAAAACACCTGATTCAAACACCACTCGCCATGTCACTGTGAACGTGTGGTGTGTAGGACAAACGAACAGCGTGGCTGCACAAATCAGCTTAGGTTGCAACTCACACAACGTGAGCGTGAAAAGCAAGCTGGAGATGAATACACACAGTGTAGCACTATTCATATAAACTTTAAAGAGGCTGAGGGTTTAGCTCAGTGGCACAAGTTCCTGCCAGGCAAGCACAAGGTCACAAGTTGGATTCCCCCAGTACCAAAGAAAAAAGTTTCTATAAACTATAAAGTAGGCAAAACAGCATTCTTTACTGTCTGAGAATGCATATGTATGTAATAAAGCAGTAAAATATCTGGGATTTATAACCACCACTATGGAGGTCAGGAGTCAGTCTCAGGTAGGGAGAAATAATGCATAATAATAAATAAAAGGAATCGGTGAGGAGCAGAGCAGGGGTAGCTTCATCGGAGAGACTGACCCTCCAAATCCTTGGGCTCTGTATCTGCACTCCACCAACCACAGAGCAAAATACATGAGGAAAATTTTGTCTCTTGAACATGTTCGGACACCTTTCTTTCTTTTTTCTTTATTTTTTTTTCTTCTTTTTTGCCTTTTTTTTGAGACAAGGGTCTCACTATGCAGTTCAGGCCGGCCTTAGGCTCACTTTGTAACCCAGGCTGGTCTTGAACTTGCAATGATCCTTCTGCCTCAGCCTCCCGAGTGCTGGGATTACAGGGATGTGCCAGCACACTCCACCAGACCCCTTTCTTGTTATTTCAACTATGCGCTATAAGAACTATTTACCTGACACACTGTATTAGGTGTTACAAGGAATCCAAAGATGACGTAGGTATGTGGGAGGGTTTGCCTAGGTCGCACGCAAATGATATGCCATTTTATATAAGGGGCTGAGACTCTTAGAGTTTCAGTACTGGGGGAAGCCCGGGGCCAACTGACCATGGGTGCTGACTATACTGTAGTATTTTCTTTCTTTAGTTAGCGGATGAAGAAATGGGTCTTCATTACAACTGTGCACATGTCAGCAGCACGTGTAGTAAAATGGGGAAGATAGTATCCTTCATAATTATGTGTCATAGATTTCAAGTGGATTATTTTAACTATGGCAATTATGAGGGAAAACATTTAGCAACAGGGAAATGCTGATGAAATGATCTCAAGAAAAAGTTACTATGAATGTTACTAGGTCTAAACAATATTAAGACCTGAAGAACATACAGAAAAATAATTATTTAGATCAGTATATTAACTTACAGATATTTGGAGGGTTTTTTATACCTTGAAATATCTTCCGATGTTAATACTTTCATAATTTAAAATTATGCTTTATGAGTTAAATCAAGCAAACCAAAATACAATTCACCAGCCCCCTGTCTAGAAAAGTATTTTTTGAGAGTAGTCTAGACAACACTAGCCACATCCCAGGTAGATGGTCCAAGTGAGTCAAAAGGGTTTTACTCTCAAATAATGGAACACATGGGATTCTGTATCTCCTTTGAACATCACAGCACTCCAAAATGAATGAATGCTTCAAAGACATCTCACAGGAAAAAAAAACAAAAAAACAAAACTGCATTGTGTTTAATGCAAATATAGTGTTTGACCATGGCATTCTTTTCCAAAGCTCAGTGCTTAGCATTACCTGGAACAGTTTGCAAATGTTACTCTAGATTTTGCCTGAAAATGAATGAATATTCATCAATCATACAAGGTAGTTCCCCAGATTCCCACTTGGATCCTCAGGGCACCACTCATGGTACACAGAAACAATTCAAACATCATAGAAAAGCATTATAAGAACAGCGCTCGCCTCCTCAGCTCTCTACCCTTCTGAGCCCCGCTGAGGACCACGCACACGCCCAGGTTGTTCACACAGCACTTTAAGCAGGTGAGAACTCGTTCAGTCTGGCAGAGCATGTGCTGAGTAACCTCGCTGTATAAATCTATGTATCACACACATTCAAAATAGCGGTAGAAATGTATCTGCAAGCCTTGTTAAAAGACTTTGGTAAACTTACTGAACTTTTTGCTAGAGTAAAATCAAAAGAGGGAAAAATGTCCCCAAAGATATATACAGAATTCACAAATTCATAAATCAAACTTCATTTACAAATTTGATATTATCTGAAACTAGAAACCCATATTTTAAGCTATATTTTCTACAGCACGTTGTAATACCTTTAATATTGGGAGGAGTTCCAGGATCCCTTTTGGAGTCCCCGGGAGCTCTTCAAACCCTTTTCTTAAGGGTGTGTCTGGAAATGGGAGGAGGAAAAAGGAAGAAAGGAGGAGGCAGGGAAGAGGAGGAAAAGGAATAAAAGAAAAGACAAGAAGAGAAACCAAAGAGAAGAGAGAGAGGGAAAAACAAAGGGAAAGAAGGAAAGACCAGGGGAAAGAAACAAAATGTAAGTACAGAAGAATCAGAATCATAGAAAGCATGTTAATCAGCTATAGTTCAATGGTTCGGTTATTTAATGATCTTAGACATGATTCAATGCCTTAGAATTTGACTAAATACCTAATTGTTTATTTTACGTAACTAAACATTTTCTCTGTGTAAAGCAACATGAAACCACCTTGCAAACCTTGGCAGGCACAGAGGCACATTCCCATAGCTATTTAGGAGGCCGGGGCAGGAAGATCGCTTGAGTCCCGGAGTTTGAGAAAAGCCTAAACATAATCAGATCCCATTCCCCACAAAAAAGAAGCACTTTGCACTACAACAAACTGAATCAAGATCCTCTTGATCAACAGGGTAATATGATGGACACTGATCTTCCTATACCTACTATAAAATTTATTCTAAAACATTCAGAAAAGACCAGCACAGAAGCCTTCATGCATTGAGCCAAATATCAGAAAAGGCCACTCTGAATGTCAGCAGTGCAGTTATAAATATTTATACGGCAAAGTTAACTTCTTACTTTAAAATTTATTTAATAATTCAAACTAAATAATGCATTACTTAATAAGGAAGCTAAAAAGTATCTGGAAGCAGACAATCATAACTAACACAGAATGTTTTACATGATAATAAGGTGACGAGGCTAATATTCTTTGGAAACATTAAGTCTTCATGTATGTAAATGCATACAACTTCTCTTCATATCAAAATAGAAGCTGATAAATGGATTATGTCTTAGTACTGATTAGTTCCTAGACAGGAAGCATTTTCACAAAGAATTGACACTTTAAATTGTGCGTGGTCCACTTATAATTAAACTGTATAAAACAATAGTGTTCCAAAAGTAACTAGCAAATGAAGCAATATAATCAAATAAAGAATAGACTTTTAAAAAAAAAAACATTGGGTCTTTTGCTTCCAGTAACAAGTAATCTAAGGGGCTGAGGATTTAGCTCAGCAGCATAAGCGCCTGCCTTGCAAGCAGGCAGTCGTGAGTTTGATCCCCGGCACTGATGAAAAGGAAAAAGACAAAAAAAAAAAAAAGTAATCTAGAAAAACTGCTGGCTGGAGAAAAGTTTTAAAATATGTTTTTTGGTTTTCAGTTTTTTTTTTTTAATCTGCAAGTTAAGCAGATAGTGAAAAAAATAAATACAAAGCCAAGGATCCAGGAAGGGAGCCAATGGGGTGCAGAATGGCAGGAGAGCTGGGGCCCCCACCCCTGGAGCCCAGAGGGAAGCTGAAAAACTATGTGGTAATTCAACAGCCTTGAAGGGCTGAATTAGGAATGGAGCAAATAAAAAAGGAAACAAAATGTAGAAGGATGCTGATCCGTGGTAGAGACTGTTGTAGCTTCCACCCAGCATCAGTCCATGCGGTGGGGGCCGAGAAACTCCTGGCAACCAAAACACGCCTCTTCCTTCAAGAAGCATTTGCTCTGCTGAGAAATCAAGAGGAGAAAGCATGAAAGAGGTAAAAAGGAGGAGAGGAAGGCAAGAAAAAAGAAGAATGAGAAAGGAGAGAAAGAGGAGTAAGTGGTAACTAGGGATGGAGAAGGGAAACGGGAGGAGGAGAAGAGTTATCCGCCACAGCGCCCCTTCAGGAGCACGGTCTGCTGTCTCCCTTCTGGCTGTGTGTCTAAGTGCGATGCGGATACACCCAGCTTCCGCTAACCTGTGTTCTAATGCATGCTTATGTATTTCTATTTGCACACTGATATGCTAAAGGACTTGTATTTTTCAGTATTTTACCTAGAGACTTCTTATGCTTTCCTCTGGAGCTTCCGAAAAACTCTAATATTTCAGTTAATCTTAACGTGACCTCCGCCACCACCACCAAGTCAACGTCTTCCATTTCACAGCCGTGAATCATTTCATTTATCTGCCACAGAAGATACACCCACTAAAAAAAAGGAAATATGCAGTGAAATCAATTAAAATGTGTTACATTTTAATCAAAGTCACATTTTTCATAACTTTGAAATTATGTAATCAAAAAAGAAATGTCACATAGGTCTCCTTATTAATGTATCTTAATCATAAATAATATAAATGATCTCAAAAGGTGATGTGTAATGATAAATTTGTAATACGTAAATTCATAAGGAGGATTCATTGGCTTATAGTCTGCATATCTATAACCATAATGGCAAATGTATGATGTGTTATTTTACATATCAGTGAATATTATCTGTATCCTCAAAGTTATTCTCTCTTCAAGGTAACTGTATGTGACCACCATCAAAGTCCTCTAAACTATTGAGGGAGATGCAGGTAATTCAGGCTATCCTCTAGAAGCCTCACAAACTGGCTTTCAGGGCTATATCCCCAGAGCTTAGCACATAAAACCAACTATCGCTCTTTACAGCTTAAGATGATAAAACAATATTTATGTACCCACATCATTACTTAAGAGAGTACACGATAAAAAAAATCACACCTGTGCATGCTAATGGAGCTACTCGTAGAAGCCCCAGAGACACTGGAGCTAATCTATTTATTACTAAAATATTTCTCTTAAGTTTTCAGGTTATAGTATTCAAATGTTCAACTCTGTCCCTTTTCAAATAGTCTAAAATATTATTGCATGGGGAAAAGTGCTGAAACACTTTACTTGTTTGTATTCTGTCTTATGAATCTTACTGAATTTATCTACGCTCATAAGACTTTGGACACACTATATTTAAACCTTCCTTTGAAACAGAAATACTCTCCCACTCCCCAAAACAAAACCAGGGCAGACATGCAGGAACACACATTGTTAAAAAGACTCACTCATTACTGAAAAGAGTAATGTCTTAATACTTGTATCACAAATGATGTGGTCACGCAGGTGGATAAATGGAAAAATCTAGATTTGAAAGGTATATGCAATTTAGATTAATTAGATTAATTAATTTAAAATAATTTAGATTAATTAGATTGAGCAAAAACAAGAAAAGAACCAAAAGAAGGAGTACTTTGTTAGTGCTGATTTTGTGGGCGCACTTTGTGAAGTCATTTCTGGACAAACTGATCCGATGAATTCCTAGTTTGCATCTCTGCCATAAGAACATTATTGTGTCCTCAACAATTTCTTTATCAGGCTGAACATTCTGAAAACAAAAGTGATAAAAAAATAAATGAGTAAGAATAGAAAGCAACATTAATACAACATCACTGTGTGCCAGGCTTTACATGTACAACTCATGTAATCCTCATACCAACTGAATAAGCTGAGTATTATTACCATCACCTCTACTTTCCAGATTGGCCAACAGAGGCAAGAGGAAGTGATTTCTCTAAAGATGAAAAGTAGCAGAAAGTAGCAGATCAAAAGGATTCAAACCCAAAATATCTAGCTCAAATTTTCACTCTTAAATGCTTATACTACTTGTGTCTCTTCAAGAAGAAAAGTCCCAAATATTTGGGTATCAGTAAGTCTCATACAATTCTGAAATCTATTTACACCTTTCAATTTTTAAATAACTTGCATTAAAATAATAAAGAGTTGATGAATGAGGGAGAGGCACTAGTAACCTAGGAGGAAATCAGGAGTGGATGAAGCACACAGATAAGGACAGAGAGAAACTGAAAGGACCTTCACACTCAGTAGCAATAGATAATTCAGAAGGAGTGTATCCCTCTCCAATCAAATTGGCTTTTATGATGGTGTAACAGAAAACGTCCCCTCTCTAGCCAGTAGACTTCACTTTGTTAGTTACCCAGGTAACAGTTCCTGTCGCAGTCCCAGTTGCTCCTGTCTTTTAGAAACAGCTGGTCACTGTGATGCGTATTTTGTAAACCAATCCCCACCTGACAAATCATTCTGCTTCTGTACTTCCCGCTTGCTTATTCCATATAAGCCCTAGACAACCAGAAATCAGGGCCTGATAATCTGGGAATGATCCCAACCAGTGCCTCCAAATCCCCAGTGTTGTTGAGGTGTTTCTGTTTGCTGTTGCAATGGTTAACCTTGATGGTCAGCTTGTTAGACTGGGAAACACCTATGAAATTAGTAAAGCACACCTCTGAGTGTATTTTTGAGGATGTTTCAAAAACAGTTGGCATGAAGAACTGGAAAGTGATGGGGAGACTCATCCGGAAGGTGGGTGGTATCATCCAGTAGCATAAGGGGGCCCAGGGCACACAAACAAGTACAGGAAGAGGCCCAGCCGCACAGACTGTCTTGTTCCCTCTCTGCTTTCTAGGTCCATAAGGTGAGCAGTTTTCCTCAGCCACACCCTTCTTCCATGATGTTCTGTCTCACCACAGGCCTAAAACAATGGAGCTGACTGACCAGACAGAAACCTCCAAAACTATGAGTCCCCTTTAATTTGATTTCTCAGATAGTTCAAAAGCTTAATTTGTTTGATGATCTTGGGGAAGATGGCTGCATTTGTGTTTATGTAGAGAGGATGGCCTCAACTGAGTTTGTCACCTGAGTACAGTTTGTAAACAGAAGCAAGATTTTATGGACCACTTTTGTTTGAGAACCAAATTGTTTCCAAACAAAAGCATTCGTGAATTAAGATACCATTGTATTTGGTCACATTAGCAAAAGCTAACACAGCTCTTTTCAAAAAAGTAAGACTGGCCAAGCATGGAGGCACACACCTGTAATCCCAGCACTTGGGAGGCTGAGGCAAGAGAATCACTGTGAGTTCTGAGTTCAAGACCAGCCTGGGTTACAAAGTGAGTTCAGAGCCAACCTAAACTGCATTGTGAAACTCTGATTCAAAAAGACCCAAAAAAAAAAGCCCACTGAAGTTACTAATTAAATTTGAATTAGAAAGATAATGAGTTTATAATTAAAACATACCAAAGCCTGAGTTCCTTTGAGACAACTCTAAAGCTTGATTTGATATATACTATATTATTATGAATGGTGACACATAGAATTTGTTACTCAAAATCAGGTTCAGAGTGCTCAGCAATCCAGGCACTCAACCCCTACAGCCAAGAGAGAGGAGAGCCTGGCTACTACTCCAACTGGCAACCGACCTTGGCATCATCCATGAGATGCTGGTTTTAGGTGCATATAGAATGCAAGAGTTCTGAAGTTGAAAAGGCTTCTACCCAGATTTTGGAGAACCTGGGAGGCTGGGCAGTGTGCCCCTGAGAGGGCAGTAATGTGAAGCCAAAGGTGCAGTGGAGAACCCAGAAGTTTGGAAAATCCAGGAAAGTGGATCATCTAAGATCATCTAAGGAAAGCTGCAAGGAGAAAGCAAAGCCAGCCCAAAACAAAAACCATGGGAGCTACAACCACCAAAGCACCATGGGGTGGAGTCACCCAAGCCCTTTGTAGCTCACAACCAGATTGCTGCAGATGCTAAACATGGAACTCCAGGACTTAATGTTGCATTTTGGACCTCCTTTGGTCCCACTTCTTTGTATCCCCATTTGTACCTTTTGAAATGGTAATGTTTTTCTTGTGTCATTAAATGTTGGAGGTGCTTAACTTTCTTTTCATTTGTACAGGAGGTTGCAGCTAAGAGTATGCCTTAGATCTCAGGGAGGACTCAGGACTTGGGCTTTTCAGCAATGCTGAAACTGATAGAACTTCAGCAACTCTTAAAGATGGACTAAATGTCTTTTGCATAAAGGATGTGCATGAGTCTTTGTGGGGCCAGAAGTGGAATGTTATGGTTTATGTTTAAAAGACTCCCCAAACCTCAGGCAGTCATGGGGCGGGGGATACTTTGAAGGCGGCTGAGTCTAGCATTTGTGATTGGTTTGTTGTCTAGCGCTAGGACTGGCAGTGTGAGTGCTACACCCACCAGGAGTGGGGAGCGGACATACAGCATGACGGAGGTAAGGAATTATGTTCTCCCCTTTTGTCCTTGTTGGACTTGTCACTCACAGCTGCCATGAATGGCTGTCCCTTAGCTGAGTTTGGACCAAAACCTCCAAAAACTGTAAGCTAAATATATTTTTTCTTCCTTTATTTTGGGTTTCAAGTATTTTATCTTAGCAATGAAAGAAAAGTAACCAAGACACATACTTTAGTACATGCTTAGGAACATAATAGAGATCAACAGTAATTCATATTTATTGAACTGAATTGAACTCAGCGAAACTAAGATATATATGCTTTTTTTTTCTGGTATTAGGAATTGAACCCAGGGTCTTTGCACATTCCCAGCCCTGCTTTTTTAATGTGTGTGTGTGCATGTGTGTGTTGTGTGTGTGTGCGTGCATGCGTGTGTTAAGATGAGCTCTGACAAAGTCACTTCACTAAGCCCAAGGTGACCTCTAGGCTGTCTCAGCCTCCCAGAGTGCTCAGGTTACCAGCACGGACCACAGAGCCCAATTCATCTATCCAATTTTTAAAACTGGATAGATGAAAGTTCCTTACATTTTTAAGCCTTGATTGCTATTTTTTGTTAAGTTCTCCCACTGTAATTCCACTGGCTACCAAACACCTTTCTTTCAAAAATTAAATACTTGTCATGAGTTATGACACAGTCTAATAAACCCAGAAGAAATGAAAAATATTTTAAGGGTGAAACTTCCCAAGTATCTTACTGAGTGTCACTCCCTGGGCAAAATATACAATGCTCTGTAACTGTGGTTTTCAAATTTTATAACAATGAAACCAAATTTTCAAATGAAATTCCATCAAAATCCCAGTATCATATACAAAACTAAAGAACCAGGTTAGAGTGCCACAATTCAAATTGGCGCTCCTGAGGCACCTCAGAGAAGTCCTGAGGACCCCTGGGATTCATTTTTAAAACAGTGTTGCAGAAAGGACCATTGAAAAAAATCACAGATTTGCATGATACAAATGCTGATAAAAATAAGGATAAAAGTGTGGGGAGCCGCATGACAGCCCCATTGCTGCCTCCCTGCCTCTCTCTCTCCTATGGGCACTGCGTCTGCCTACATTAACCATAATCCTCTCCTGCTTATGTCACATACCCGGATGTGACGGTGACCCTGTTGTATTCATCCCTGTAGCCTCTTCCTGTCCCACCAGCCCGCCCTTTCCCTATAAAAGATGTAATCACTTCCAGAATAAAACGAGACTAGATTGGAACCGCTCAACTTGTCTCCATCTCTCTCTCCTCTTGCCCAGCCCCCCATCCCCGTCCTCTCTCCAGGCAAGACCCACAGATTGATCCGCAGGCCGGATGATAAAAGGACCTCGTCTCACACTGATAAACAACAAGGCCACAGTCGACACCATGCTGAATGTGAAAAAACTGAAAGCAAAATCAGGAATGAGTCAAGAATCACTCTCATCTTTAATACAGTGCTCAAAACTTTAGCTAGAGAAATCAGGCAAGAGAAAGACATAAAAAAAGAAAGAAGAAATCAAATCAGATTTTCTCTACACAGACAATAAAATCCTTTCCATAGACAATTCAAAAAACTCCTCCAGAAGACTCTTAGAGTTAATAAACAAATTCAGCAAAGTTGCAGGATATAAAATAGTGCACAAAAGTCAAATGTTTCTGTATACCTGTAATGAACTTGCTAAGAAAGAAATCAGGAAAATAATCCTATTCACAAGTCTTTTAAAAATTACATACATAGGAATCAACCTAAGAAAGGTAGTGAAAGATTTTTATAATAAAATTATAGTAGTCTGAAAAAATAAGTTGGAAACAATGCTAGAAAATAGAAAAACACTCCCTTGGCCTCGATGGGCAGAATTAATATTGTTACAATGGGCCTCAGGTTTACCAAAGGCCATCTATAAATTTACGCAATTCCTATTAAAATATCAACATTTTCACAAAACTAGAACAAAACAACCTTAAAATTTTTAGAGAACCAGAAGAGAGCCAGAATAGCTACAGAAATCCTGAGCAAAAAAAGCACAGCAGGAGCTATTACAGTCTCAGATTTAAGTTATAATATGAAGCAAAAACAGCACAGTACCGGCACAAAAACAGACACGTGGACCAAAGGAATAGAACATAAAACACAGAAACAGTCTCATGTACTTTTAGCCATCTGATCTTTGACAAAGGAACCAAAACCACACACTGGAGAAAAGACAGCCTCTTTAACAGACTCTTTAACAAACTGTGCATGGCTATACCCATCAGAGGAATGAAAATAGACCCATATATCACACCCTCTACTAAAATCAAGTCAAAGTGGATCAAAAATCTTGAGATACAGACAGATACACTGAAAGTGCTACAAGATAAATTAAGGAAAACACTTGGGGACATAAGCATAGGCAATGACTTGTTGAACAGAATCCAGTAACACAAGAAATATCACCAAGAATCAATGAATGGGGTAGTATTATCTTTGAAAGCTTCTGAATGGCAAAGGAAACAACAGAATGAAGAGACAACTTACAGAATGGGAAAAAGAATTTTCCAGTGACTCTTCTAATAGAACCCTAATATGTAGGGTATATGAAGAGCCCCCCTAAAAAAATTCAACTCCCAAAATAAATGACTCAATTGAAAATGGGCAAATGAAATTGAATACGCACTTGTCAAAAGAAGCTTAAATGACCAATAAGCACACGAAAAAATGTCCAGCATCTTTAGCCATTTGGGAAATGCAAATCAAAACATCTTCAAGACAAAAGGGCTATCATAAAGAACACACACACAAAATAAGAAATACTGGCAACAAGAAAGGATATGGGGAAAAGTGAACCCTTCTCTATCGCTGGTGAGAATGGCAATTAGTACAAATACATGCAAAACAGTATGGAGATTCCTCAATAAACTCAAAATAAAAATTCCACTTGACCCAGCTAAACCTCTTCTGGCTGTTTAGCCAAAAGAATTAAACATTTCATACCATAGAAATATATGTATACCCACATAGCAGCACAGTTCAGGAATTGCCAAACCAAGGAAGTGACCATCTGTTATGGATGGATAAAGAAAATGAGGTGTATTTATACAAAAGAGTATTATTCTTCCATAAAGCAGAATAAATTCAGGTCATTTGTAGAATGGATAGAATTTTAGGCTGTAACCTTCAACAAAATAAGTCAGATGCAGGTTTCCCTTATATGAGGAACTCAAAAATTAAATAAAGAGCAAAAAGAAGAAAGAGGATAGGAAACAGGGGACTTCTTGGAGATGAGGAAGTGGACAGGAGAGGAAGAAGACAGGAGAGAGGAGGTATATACTAATTTTCCAAAATGATTGTAATTATGTATTGCAAACTAATCAATTAAATAATTTTTTCTTATGCACAATTGTACCCAGACCTTCACAGCCACAAATGGACCGTTTCTGAGCACTGACCCTCATGTGCAAAGTGACTCTGGTAACCAGTAGGCTTTGCCATCTCGGGCTGAAAAGGATCGTTTCACTCAGCATGTGAACTCCTCATTTGTCACAGTCACCTAGGAACTTCCACAAGGAAACGAGTGACACCCAGCACACAGACAAGAAGAAACTTACAACTACAGCTCAGGTCTAACTCAATAATGTATTCTAATGATTCAATATTATAGAATTTTAAATGCAAATTCTATGATATTTTCATAACTTCATTCACACTGCTAAGTATAGCCAGTTCACCTGGGGAGAGGTACAGATACAGAAATGCAGGACTGCTGCCAAATGAAAAACATCTTCTGCATATCCACACACATTCACAGAAGCACCTGCATTCAAAAAAAATAGAAGAAAATGGAACAAAACATTCGGACAATTATAAAACATCAAATACAAAAGACACAGAAATTCATGCAAAAATGACACAAATACTATCTGGGCTGATATCCTCTCAGTAAGATCATTTAAATACTTCTAAAAGAAACTTAATCTAAGTCGCCCTAATCCAATTAGAATAAATTACTACAGTATTATTTATTCACATTATGTATGCCAATTACATCTAAAGAGAGACTCAGACAGCTTATAGAAATAAAATACATGGAAAAAAAATTTTTAAAAAAAAAGGGGGCTGGGGGTTTAGCTCAGCGGCATAAGCGCCTGCCTTGAAAGCAGGCAGTCGTGAGTTCGATCCCTGGTACCGATAAAAAAAAAGAAAAAGAAAAAAAAATTAAAAAAAAAAAATAAAATAAAATACATGGAAAATATGACAACTGAAAAAAAAATAAGTAAAATATTGGAAGCCAGTGAAAGAAAAGTGTAGCATTAGTTAATTATTTACTGCAACCCATACCCATGCAATGTCTTAAGCACGCGGGAAACATAAACACAAAGTTAATTAATTTATTAAAACAAAGAATTCAATTAATAAGTCTCAGCAGAAAAGTAGAACAGATTTTCAACTGCCACGTGCAGTAAGTGTGAGGGTGTGTAAGTCTAAGACAGAAAAGGCTGCATGCTGGAAAGAAGACCGACTGCAACTTCCCTTGCTAAAGAAAACCCAGGCCTTTGCTCTTGATTCTGCAGCCTCAAAAGTCAGCATGTTTCCAGACCTCAAAACCCTCGCCAGCATTCAACATCTTGCTAAGGTCCACCAGTCGCGTGGCCTGAAGGCCTGCTTTCTCCAACTTCAGCACTGTGCACACTCCCGAGCTGCCCCTCCCCGCACCGGTGTGCCCAGCCCCAGCCCCTGGCCGGCCCTTTCTCCAGCAAGCTCATCCCTGCGGACCTCCTGCTCCTCCCACCTTGAACATTCATTTTGTCACCTCACCTAGAAAAAAAAAAATCTTCCTTATCAGATAAAACTAAATTTTTCAAAAAGGTAAATACTCACCATCAAAACCGATATTTTTTAAATAAAGTTGAATTGCCTGTCCTTCTTTATAGTTTTCCAAAGGAAAGATCAACCCTTTGCTTCTCTTTACGTTGATGAGAGGCTCCATGGTGAGCAGAAGCGTTAGGTCCTTCTCTGCTTTCTTTGCCTCTGGATCTTGCCGCCTCTTAGAGAAGTACATCCCACAGGTTAATTAGTATGCCGGTGTCATTTTAACAAACAAAAACAAACCAGGGTTTTGTGTATGTTACCTGGAAAAAGGAAGAAAGCTGCCCAGCTGCAGACTCAAATAAACCCCATTCTTCAAAGGTAAAGGCCAGTTTTATAAATTTCACGGCAACATCCATAGAAATAATATTTTTTCTTTCTATCATAAGCTCCAGAAGAGATATTTTTGGAAAATCAAGCGTTCCACGTGCACCAGTATTGGAAACTACAAAAGGAAAGACAGATTTTAGTAGCAACCATGTGAAGAAACCTTTACTAAAGTATTAGCTACCAGATACTGCCTGGCACTAGGAGACAAAGGTCACCTGCCCGCCTGTCACTGAGTTTACTCTCTCAAGGGCCCAATGAGAAATCTGAGGGGCAAACACAGGGTCTTTGGGGACAAGCAGGAGGAGCGCCCAACAGAGGTTTGGGGGAAGAGAACAGCGGGGCTAAGTTACCCAAAAGGAAGAGTCTGTCTGGAATCTCAAACGGAGAGAAACAGCAATGGTTAACCAGCCAAGCAGGCAGCTATGTGCCGACGGGAAGCCCACAGAAAGAGATCTACTGTGAGGATGCTGCTACTGTAACTGGGTAGCATCAGCTCTGGGCGTGTTTAACTCCCTAAGACAGAACAGTAAGAAACATCACATTGGAGGACAGAGAAAGGACTGAGAGAGAGAGAGAGAGAGAGACGGAGAGAGAGACAGAGACAGAGAGACAGAGATTAGCGAAACAAGAAGTCGTCAGCAGTCACAAACACTCTGAGAATGAAGGAAGAAAAAGACTGAGAAGTGACCTCTGATTTAGCAAGAAAGAGGCTGCCCTGGATATTGTTAATAGAATGTTAGGTTCCAAAGATTTCCCGATATGCAAATAGGGAGGAAAATTTGGAGCGGTTAAACTAGGCAAGTCCTTTGATAAATCTGACTGTACCAAGGAGACACAGAGAGGGAGCTCAAAAAGCGCGTGAGACAAAGGGATCCCTTGGAGAGATCTGGCTTCAAGACATCGGAGGGGGACAGGGAGGAAAGGGAGATGGAGGGAGGGGAGGGGAAGGACTCTTCCATGTGACCAGAAAGGAGGGAGCAGATGAGAGATTGTTTTAGGGTTTCAGTGAAAAAAATTGAAGGAAACTTTCACCTAAGGATCTGTATTTTTCCTGTGAAGGGAGGAGCCCAAACTGTGGCACCGTAGGGCACTGGTGGGCGGTACTTCAGATGGGGCACACGCACGCATGCACGCACACACATGTGCACACAGGTGCACACATGCATGCACGCAGCACATTCACCTAAACACACATGAACAAAGGTCCAGCTTTTCACCTCTCCTCCTGGGTGGACATTCAGCCAAACCAGCTGATGCTCACGGGGCCACAGAAGGCGAGGCCATCAAGAAGGAGAATGAAACTGTGCGCGCATCTTCAGAGGAAACCACAGATGAAGCACCCTTTTCCACGGGAGGCTGAAAAAGGGAGCAAGAGCTTGGGCACCCGCAGTGCTCGGCGAGAATGAGGGGTGTCAGAAACACCCCGGCAAAGACACAGCGCTGCTGAACGGAGCTCCAACGTGGACAAAATAATAGGACAGGAGGACCAAAGACCAAATGAGTGACCTAGAAAATCAGGTTGAGAAGCTTCACAGAAGACAACAGGAAGGAAAAGATAAAAAAATAAAATAGGATGTGGGGAGAATGTAGGCATGTCAGCCTTTGTCTAACACAAGCACTGAAGGACTAAAAAATAAGATAAACATAGGAAAAAGAAAGCAATATGAACATGTTAGGAAAGAGATGAGCTCAGATTACTTCCAAATCACTAAACCCATCTGTACAACAAACATAACAAAATATAAGAATATCATAAGCAAGAGATAATTGTAAAAACTATGTATAAAACAAGATTTAAACTGCCATACGAATTCCAAATAAATGCTCTATACCAGACTACAGAGAAATGTTATCAAAATTTAGAAAGAAACAGACTTAAGTAAAATACATCCAACTAAATTACTTCAAAGTGCTTTATGTTTATATCTAAGCTAAAATAAATCAATTTTGAAAGAAATATTGGATGAAGGAAAAATCTTAATAGTATTTACTATCTTACAGAAGCTGTGATTAGGACTTCTATCTAAAACATAAAGAGAACTCAAAACTTGGGAAGAAACAAGAAGTCTAATTAGAAAATGGGCAAAAGACTGAGGAGAACAATGTACAGACGTCAAATACACACATGAAAACCTGTTCAAGGTCTTTAGTCATTAGGGAAATGCAAATTAAAGGCACGATGGTATAGCACCATATACCTATAAGAAAGACCAAAATAAAATTCAGTGGCTGGGGGGTAGCTCCCGTGCCTAAGAAGCCCAAGGCCCTGGATTCAGTGCTCACAGGAAAAAAAAGTGGTAATACCAAATACTGTCAAGGAATTTAAGAAACTGAATCATTCACATAGTCCAGTCAAGCTGGAGAAGGATGTGGCAGTTTCTTGCAAAACTGAATACACACTTAACATATGAACCCGTAACTGCACTCAAGAGTATTTATCCTAAAGGAGTGAAAAATTATTTTCACACAAAAACCCATGCTCAATGGCTCATAAAAGTTTTATTCCTAATAGCCAAAAACTGGAGACAATGCAAACAGTCTTCACAAATAAAGGAGCAAAACCTACTGTGGGTCATCCAAACTATGGGATGCTACCCCAGCAATGGTAAACAGCGAGCCACTAATGCACACATTGCTTTGTAAAAACGTCATCAGGTGAAGGAAGCTATCTTCAAAAACAAGTCCTTCATCAGTTGGACATGTATACAGAAATAAATACATTTCTTTAAAAAATTTTTGATCTGTACTTCATACCAACAAAAAATACCTAATTTTGTAGACCTTATTGTGAAAGAAAAACAATAAAGCTTATATAACAAAACATGAGAGAATATATTTAAATATTAGAGTATCAGAGGTTTCTTAAATGTGACACAAAAAGAATTAACTACAAAGATTATTTAGACTACATGAAAATTAAGGATTCTTTTCCCAACAGGTATCATTAAGAAAATGAAAGTGCAAACCACCAAATGGAAAAAGACCTCTGCAATAGTCAGTACTGAATATTGTAGTGTTAGTATTATTGTTGTAGCATTAGTATTGCAGGATTTAGATCCAGAATATGTAACGAGTCCCTGTAAATCAAAGAGAAAGAGGCAAGTAGGTCAACAGGAAAAATGGGCAGAAATATGAAAAGGTCCTTCACAGAACAGGACATCCACGCGGTTAAAAAATATTTGAAAAAGTGCTCAATTGCATTTGTCATCAGAATAATGCAAATTAAATCCACAGTGTAATAACCTTAAGTGAACAAAATGAAAAGACAGACGATACTAAGTGTCAATGTAAATCTGGAACAATTAGAACCCTCGTAAGTGCTGTTGGGAGTTTAAACTGGGATAACAGTATCTGTGAGAGCAAAACATAGGCATATGCTATGTCCTAGCAATTCGGCTGACAGAAATGCAAAGTGTAAGGTGTTTAGCCTCTCTGTGTCTCTCTGTCTCTGTCTCTGTCTCTGTCTCTGACTCTGTCTCTGTCTCTGTGTCTCTCTCTCTCTCTCTCTCTCTCTCTCTCTCTCTCTCTCTCTGTAATCCATAGAACAAGCAGACAAGAAAAAGTGAACAAGGATAGAGAAGATCTAATCTCATCATTACAAACTTAACCAACATATATAAAATTAAACACCCAACAAATAAAATATCAACTTTTCAAGTGCATACTATGGATCAAAATTGGTCATCATGTCAGCGTACCTCAACACATGTCAGTAGCTTCTAGTAATACAGATCAACCTGACCACAGGGTAATTAAAAAATCAACAACAAAATTATAAAATCCCTTATATTTTAACTTACAGCCCATAGATCAAAAATTACATTGGAAATTAGAAAATATTTTTAACTAAATTCTATAGAGAAAGCATGATCTATCAAAACTTCAAGTACACAGCTAAAGCTACATTTAGAGAGAAATGCTTTGATGTCCATATATTAAACCATAAGTTCTAAACTTTCCAGCCATTGAGCTTTTAAAAATCAGTAAAACAAACCCAAAGGAAAGCAAAAAATAATACAGAAAATAAATAAATAATACAGAAAACAGACATATAATAAAAAGAATCAATGAAGTCTATCACTGTTTCTTTAAAAAGACTAATGAAATTGATGGACTGCTGGTAAAACTGATAAAGCAAAAGAGAAAACAAACTGACCAACGTCAGACATGAAGAAAGAGAACACTGGGACAGACATTAAGAAAATCACAATGGGGGCTGGGGATTTAGCTCAGCGGCATAAGCGCCTGCCTTACAAGCACTCAGTCGTGAGTTCGATCCCTGGTACCTGTAAAAAAAAAAATCACAATGGAAATTTAAAACCATTGAATAAAACAGAAATTTTTAAGAAATATACCACTTACTGTACTGATAGAAGATGCAGAAAAAACAATGAACAGGAAAACTGAGTAATTTTATATCTATGGAAGAAACTGAATCCATAGTTAGAAACTTCTCCACAAAGAAAATTCCAGGCCCAGATGGCTTCACCAATAAATTCAAGCAAACTCAATTTGAAACAAATACTGTCAGATATGAAAGATGGGATAATTTTCAACTAATCGTAAGAAACCAGCAAAATTATGCAAACATTAAAAGAAAGGAAAATCCTTCTCATCATGCAAACAGAAATATTAACTCCTAGCAAACAAATCAAGCAACATATCAAAAAGCTAATCCTCGCCTCCAAATTAGGTTTATTCTAAAAATAGAGGATAGCTAGAATTTTAGGTAAACAATCAGTGTAATTAACAACATCAGTAGACAAGAAACCTGTTTAATCAGCTCAGCAAATTTCAATAAATCCAGAAAAGACTTTTGATAAAATTTAACTACTACCCAGGATTAAAAACAAACAGAACACCTCTTAAGCAATCAGGTATTAAAAAAAAAAAAATTTCCTTGATCTGAAGGAGATTTCTATAAATGCTTTCTTTTTTTTTTTTTTTTTTTTTTCATTTTTATCGGTACCAGGGATTGAACTCAGGCTGCCTGCTTGCAAGGCAGGTGCTTATGCTGCTGAGCTAAATCCCCAGCCCCCTACAAATGCTTTCTTTCCCCAGTGCTGGTGATCAGATTTTGCTATCAAGCAAACTAAACACTACCACCGAGCTACACCCCCAGCCACAAGCACACAACTAATGATAAAATGTTGAAAACTTTTCGTTAAGATCAAAAATGAGGCAAAGATGACTAGTAAGACCCCTTCCTTCCTGTGCGTTTAATGGACACTGGAGCCCGTGAAGTAAATCAAGACATGAAGAAGAAGGAAATTAAGAGATTAAGAATTGGAACGAATGACATAACATCACCACTATTCACAGGTAACTATACAAAAAAAAAAAAAAAAATACTAATAAATGATTTGAATTCGCAGTGGGCTTTAGCAAGGCTGATGAACTCCAAGTGGATAGGTGAACCAGACCTGTTCCTTATATGTGGATTTGCATAATTCCAAAATCATGGGAAATTCATAAAATTTCTGTGATTCTTATCTACCACAAAGTATCGTCTCAGCATCTCATTTACTTATCAAAAGTTCTTTTCCTGATATAAACAGCTCTGAGACAACGTCGCGCAGCTCCACCTCGTCAGTGGCAAGAGGCCCTGTTTGCAGTGTCCGCCGATTCGAATCAGAAAGAGCTTCCACGACAGCCAGAAACTTGGAGGCGGTGCTGTCAAACATCTCATCCAGCAGGCGTTCCGTGGCGGTCCGTGGCCATGACAACTGGAAAAAAGAGAAAATGCAGTCCGTTTTGTAAGGCTATCACAAAGCAAAGAAAAGCAAGTTTAATGCTCAGAGAGAGTCGGGGGGAGAGGGAGAGAGAAGGGAACGAAATTCGCTTGACAACGAAAAGTTTACTTTTAGGGATCTCATGTTCAAGCTGCCCCTTCAGATTCCATCTATGCCATCCTGTCGTTACATCAGACTTTGCTACCTCTTTAGATTTTTATATTTCCAAGGCAGTGTAAGAAGGCAGTTTATTACCATGTTTTACTGAGCCAACATCACCTCTGTATGGTATCTCAATCATAGCCTTCCAGGAGTGACACTCAAACCTTTTTGGTAACAATCATTCATTGATGCTTCTCCAAATTCAAGACCGAATCTCCAGAGGTTCCATGGATCTGGATGAGATATTGTTAGTAAATAAGCACTGCAGGAAATTTTAATAAGGAATGTCCTCAAACTCCTGTTAGAAACAGTGTTTTACAGTACAGAGACCTAGGCTTGCAGCAGCTACTGAGGGGGAGCTGGTGAGCTGGGCCCCAGGATGCTCCTGATGCTGGGCCCATCCCTTCCTACTGTCTGGGTTAACTTCCCGTGCTGTGGACAGCTGGCCTCGGTCCTGCACTCTCTGGCACGTGATCAGTTCTCTGCATTTAGACTGCCCATTAGGGAGACCAAGTCCTGCTGGTTTCTCTAGAATCTATATTCAGCGTGAAGACATCAGCCACATTCCCCCATCCTCTCTCATTTGTTTCTCTTCTTGGGGTGCAGTCATAAAGACAGAAAAATAAAAGCAGGGATAAAACTGCTTTGGACCCAGTACCACAAATAATAATGATAATAACAGTAATGTTATTTTGTTTTAATTTTATAGGTCTTTTATTGTTTTATTTTTGTAGGTCTTTTATTATTATATATTTAAATAGTATAATGAACTTTCTAATACAATATTCCCCAAAAATGATAGTTCCTCACCCATTAGTAAAAAGATCAGCGTATTTTTACATTTATAAGAATAGTACTGGGGGCTGGGGATTTAGCTCAGCGGCATAAGCGCTTTCCTTGCAAGTATACGGTTGTGAGTTCGATCCCTGGTACTGATAAAAACAAAAAAGACAAAAAAATAAGAATAGTATTGAAAAATTAGTTTAAAAAAGGGAATAGAATATTTATCAGAGCTATAGATGAATACTAAGTGAAGAATTTTGACATACTTAAAAACCTATAAAAAATTAAAATTAAAGCATTAAAAACAATGGGTTGTCAAGTATGACAAGCATAATAGCAACATCTATCACATAATAAGTTCATTCAAATATATTTTAAAATTTAAAATCTCTACTACATAAATGGTCAAAGACTAAAAGATAATTCATAAAAAAGAAAATACAAAGAGTAAGCACTAATATAAGGGAAAGCTGAATGAAATAAATAAATAAAATGATAAGACTTCTTAAAAGCTAAATTAGCAAAAACAAGTTTAAACAAATTTGTTAGCTGATTAGCAAAATATGTTTAAACAAATAATATCAAAATAGTAGCTTGTGGTAAAATAGGTACATGCAGGCTACCAACTTGGAAATAGGAGTATCCATGCTGGAAATCGTTTAATATGTGCCAAGAAAAATAAAAACATTCATATGTTTTAACTGAATTAATAGCGTAACTTCAATTTTTTTATTTAAGGAGAAAAAGGAAAAAAAAACAGAAAAAGCGTACAAGTTATATAGAATTTCAGAAAAAATAAACAGTAAGAAATCACTAGTTAATAGATTACATATTGTCATCTTAGAAATAGTTGTTCAAGTTACGAAATTAAAGCATATAAAGTGGACAAACAGTGAGACTGCAAACTGTTCTGTTCAATGATCCAACAAAACTCAGTAATACGGTTATCTATCTTATACACTTAAATATATATGCAGTTATACCATTTAGAGCACTTTCTTTTCCTCTCTTTTGTACCATGACAATTACACATTTTGGGTTTTATTACTCCCGCAGTTCTTATTACTTTTTTGAAGAGAGTAAAACAAAATGTGACATAACAAAACAGAGTCAGTCAAATCAAAAGGATGGACATAATACATAATGTAAAAACAAAATACCAGGTGATCAACAATGGTTACCATAATGCCTCTTGCTATCTTAAGAAGAACTGCCTATATCATCAGTTATAATAAAATTGAACAAAATAGTAAAGAACAAAATCAATAAAACCAAAACACTGGAGACATACAGGACTTCAAAAGAAGATAACAGTCAACCAGAATGGGCATTATAATGAATCTTATTGTCTTCACAGTTGTTGCCTATACTTTGCTTGGTAATATTAAGCAAAACAGAATAGAGGAAAATCAGTCAAAACAAGATGGTGAGAGCAATACAGGGTTTCAAATCAAGTTAATAGGAAATCAAAGTGGGTTACTATAATATATCCTGCTATTTTTTATTTTTCCCTTAATTAAAAAGATAAAAAAAAAAGTAAAAGATAAAAAAAGGAGATTGAGATAAAAGAGGACATAACAACAAAACAGTGCAGGTCAAAATATAATCATTTAAGCAAAATAGTGCTTCACCACAAGATATCCCAACATAAAAGTAGTTACCATAGTGTCTCTTTCCTTGAAATCTTTGAGTATAACTTCGTATACTGTAGCATCAAACATATCAAGACAACGTAAAACCATTCAAGAGGGTGACAGTATTACAGGGTATTTAGAATCAACTAACAGAAAATGAACAATGGTTTCTGTATAATCTCCTTATCTATAAAAGTTTTTGTTTATATTATCACACATAATAAAATCCAATAAGACACAACATGTTAAAACCGATGGAGACAGAAGAACAAAAGCTTGGTGGGACTTCAAAACAAGATAATATTAAATCAGCATTACCTATTATGATGTCTTGTTTTCTCCAAAATAGCTGTTCCTACCATCCAACTTCTCTGCCTCATTTCTTTTGAGATCTTTTTCTGTCATTTGTTGTCAGTTTGTCTTTTTCATTTCGCTTTCTGCTCCATTCATTGTGGCCTCTCTGCCACTCTTTCTGGGATCTTGGTATTTTTGTTTTTTTGGATATCCTGCAGAATTCTCTGTAGAGTTGAGATGGTGGTCGCAAATTCCCCTAGTTCCTCTTTATCCTGGAAGTACTTTGTTTTTTCATCAATTTCTAGGGACAGTTGTGCACGATACATCAAGCTTGGCTAGAGGTTATTATCTTTCAAAGCTTGAATTATTTCCCCCCACGCTCTTCATGATTTGATGGTTTGTGCCAAGAAGTCTGCTGTAATTTTGATGGGTGTTCCCTTGTAAGTGATCTGTTTCTTGCCTCTGATGGCTTTTAATATTCTGTTCTTATATTGGATTTCTGGAATTTTGATTATTATATGCCTGGGTGTAGCTCTGTTTGGGTTGTAGGTGGCTGGGGTCCTGTATGCCTCATACATCTGAGTATCTTTACCTTTTGCTAAATTAGGGAAATTCTCCTAGATTATTTCTGTGAATAGCCTTTGTAGTTCATTTGTTTGTGACCCTATTTCTTCTTTTACATTCTTAATTCTTAACTTATAGATCCTCTTATCATCTTCTAGTCTTTGTATTATTGCTGTTTGTTTCCTTGTTATTTTTAAGAAGTTTTTCATTTCATGCTCCCACATTACAAATATGTCCTCCAGTTCAGATAATCTATCCTTAGTTTCTTTCAAGCTGTTATGCTAGCTTTCAATAGAGTTTTTAGTTTCCTGGTAATCTCTGAACCTGCTTCATGTATTCTATGATTTCTCTATTTTGTCCATCAAACAATTCTCCCCTTTTTTTCTGTTCTTCCATTCTACCATCTGTTTTTTCTTGGGCAGTGCTTGCATTTCTCTAACTATTCTACTTATATCTTGCTTTATTTCATTAAAAACCTCACTTTTGAACTTGTCTATGAGGCTCCGGAGATATTGCTTTATGTCTATTGGTGCCGTGTCTGATATTGCATGTTTTCTGTCCTCATTCTCCTTTGCATTTACCTTTCCTGGATCAATGTTCTCAGGATTGGGGACTGAGGACCCTTTCTTGTCACTCCCTCTTTCCATACTTTTTATTCCTTCCATAAAAGCATATATAGGATGCCCAGTTTCTTTCTTTGTCAGTTACAGTTTGTTTGAATCTGCCAGCTAGGTGTTCCCGTCCATGCAGTGTACTAGGGAGACACAGACCTGGGCAGCCTCTGCTAGGCCCACCCTTCCAGGTCAACCTTCTGAAGGCTTCACTGCTAGGGTGTACCACCAGGCGCTGGGACCTGGTTTGGGCTAGCCTACTGTGTCTTAGTCCATGACGCCCCCCAGGCCAAGTGCTCCCCACCAATCCCACTTGAGAGAGGAATATGTGACTAAAGTCACTATAGCATCCTGTTCCGGCTAGTCTGCCCGATCCCAGAATGTCCTCTGTTGGAGCCTCCTAATCTATGGAGGGTCCCCATTCCTCTCACTCACCGCATGTCGATGCAGGGCTCCCTGCCAGTCCTGCTCTCAACTCCATTTGCTGATTCCTGCTCTCAGAGCTTTTGGGTGTCTCTCTCCCTGCTGTGCAGATTCAGACACAGCAGCAGCAGCACGACATTCAAATCGCAGCTTCCAGAGGTGCGAGTTCCAGCTTCCGCGCTGAGATTTTATCTGTTTTGGTTATAGCACCAGGATTGCATTTCCAGTTGGTTTCTCTCAGCTTAGTTCGTTCCTGGGTTGGCAGGGTATATCTCCCCTTGCTTAGGTCTCCTCACACCGCACCATTCCTGGATTCTAAGCTGGATATTTCAGAGAGCCTCCATAGCTGCTGTTATCTATCCGCCACGTTCTCCCAGAAGTCCCTTCATAACTTCAATTTTATGTATAGGATATAAAGGAAAGGAAAAATAGCATGCCTGAAGATGTGGCATATTTGCAATTGCAAAAAAAAACAAAGCCTTTGGAAACAGCTAAAATAAAGATGTTAGACTGATTGTGGTACATATACCGACTGCATACAGTATATTATGCCATTTTGTGAAATGTTGGGATGTATGGAACCTAACTGACATACCTACACAGCATGTGGTCTCCTGGTTACAGAGTCTACGAGATGCACTGTGTTAGTTCTCCAACGTAACACAGTTACACCAGGCAGACTCTGCTTCTCACTGTTCCCAGCAAACTTTGTTTACTTTGGCTTCCAAATGGTGGTCCAAATGATGATCAGAAGATCCTTTACTTAGGCTGTTTAGTCCTCTTTTCTCTGTCTGGCCAAATCCTGAGCATCCCTTCCTGGCGCTGAGGGGAAGATGTGTGCTGCTCAATCTCCAGAAGAGGGGAAGATGTGTGCTGCACAATCTCCAGAAGCTCGTCCTGCTGGCTTCCTGATAGGAACTCGCCTGTTTCCATTGTCGGAGGAGGTTAGGACCTCACTGTTGTTGAAGATGGCCATGGTGCTTTTGCGGGGAGCACTAATCCTAACTTTGAGCATCGCTTCCTGGTTCCAGTGCAGTTTCCCCAGCCTGCTGGCACAGACCCTTCATCTCGCTGGCACAGACTTTCTAGCTTCCACCGCTAACCTTTGGACCTTCCCAGAGCACATCCATGAAACAGATATGCATGAGACATTGTCATGGGCTCTAAGTCTTCAGCTGGACTCATGCAGAACATTCCATGGGATCTGGACCCTCAGTTGGATTTTTTGGAGTCTTTGGTATATGGGAAGATTTCCTACATTCTTCATATTTGACTCTTTGGGTGACTATCATAAAATAAGACTATAAATTATTTGTCTTGTGTGTGATTATTTTCCTTGTAATCCCTGACTACAACAAAAATATAACTATGTTGTTATTTATTATGTAGTATCCACCCACACAAAAAAAGGTAATCTCCATATATCTTGTTCAAACAGTAAATACTTTAAAAATATTTATTGAGGGCCAGGGATTTAGGTATATCAACTAAGAGTCTTTTAAAGAATTTTTCAAAGTCAAAATGATTTACATATTGTGAATTAATGTTCTAAAACACAGAAATGTTCTAGAAAATAATAATGAATATCAATGATTTTATTTAGGGAAACAAAAAATGTATTTCACGTGCACAGAGTAGAACATTATTGAGAGCATGTCGAGGTAATATAATATGACCTTATAAAAAGGGCACACTAGCTAATCTCTGCAAAAACTACCCACTAAGCAATTGTAATTTTTTCCTAAAAAAATACACTGTGAGAACTTTTCATGCAATAATTATCTTAAAGGAAACCAGAACTAAATGAGCTTTATAAACTTCATACAAATTTACCTTAAATTTTAGACATTTTTTGAAAATATGTTTAACTTTGGGGGCTGGGGATTTAGCTCAGCAGAATAAGCACCTGCCTTGCAAGCAGGCGGTCGTGAGTTCGATCCCCGGTACCAATAAAAAGAAAAAGAAGAAAGAAAAAAATAATCAACAAAAAAAGAAAATATATTTAACTTTGCTAATAAGGTGACCATAAAGCCTCAAAAAAACAAAGAAGTCTAAGAAATGACAATTTTGCAGCTTTCGATATTTCAATTTTGTTTTCTTTTAGAAAAAAAAAACGGTGCTGGGGATAAAGAAATTGTCCCCTGCCCTCTTACAAACGTGACAGTATTACTACTCAGCAAGATTGTTGCAACTGGTCCAACCTCCGTTGCCTGTGACTTGGTAAGTTACCAACCACATCCCATCGGTCAGTGAAGACATGGAAGAAAAGGGATGCACAATATAGTGTGGCGATGCTGATTCCTAACCTAGAACTTCATTCCACTGCTAGTTAGGGTAGCTACAGTCCACACGGACCCCTCCTTCCTTCTGCCTCCCTAGCTACCCTAACAAGCAATGGAATGGCTTTATATGCAAAAAATATTTGTATTTCCATATGATGATTTATTTAAAAGAAGAAAAAGAATGATTGGTAAAGTCTGAAAGAGAACTGAGAAGAAAGGGCGTCGTCGCTGGAGTAGCGGAAAAGCACCCAGATCCCGGGTTCCCAGGTGCTTCTGCCAGCAGCCGGCTGTGGCCCTGCACCGGGAATATAAACAGGCCAAGCATCCTTTTCATCTTCTGTGGTACACAAGGACACCGAGTCTGGGGATTTTCAAAATCCTTTCCAGGTTCTGAGATTCTGAGAAACTGCTCACCTCCTGCCCCATAGCTTCTCACTTCAGTCTTCACACGGAAGCTCGCAAAGGAGGACAGCAGGGGACAGTGTGAAGCAGGCACGGAGGATAACGTGGAGGCTAACTGAGCTCACTCGGAAAGCAGGGGGCGGCGGGAGGGAGCAGGCAGTACCCCATGGCATACCTTTGTCTCACTGCCTTCCCTGCACAGACCCGAGAGCAGCTGGCCAGATATGCCCACGGCTGGAGGGGCCGTGAGACTGGTGTGCATGTCCCTTCCCTGTGGCACATCTCAGCTCCTATGAGACCCTGAGCTCTCTCTTACCCCTCCAGCAGAGACTAGTCACGCTCCAAATGAGGACGGCTCCTGGGCCTGGCCCTGAGCAGCCGTCTTCAGCAGAGTCCCCCAGGAATCTCCTAGCATCTCACTCCGCTGGGAAATAAGTGGTCTTGTGCCACCCGAGGTGCTGGCTTGTTCACTGCTGCAGTGTAACCTAGTCCCCGAACACTACCCCAGAGACAGGGCTGAGGCTGATGAGAAAGGCGCCTCCACCTTCTTCTGCCCTGAAATCTGCAGAGCTAACTCGAAGAGGTCAGAGGCTGGGCGGTGCACACCCAGCCGGCCTGGCCACTTGCAAGGGCTGCTCCTCCAGCCCCTCCCCGGCTCCCCTCTTGTCCCCCAGCCCTGCATCACTGCGATTATGCTGAAAGCACAAAAAGTTCACAGAAAAGGACCAAATGAGGCCAGATCTGACCTGGGAAAACCTCTGTTCGCTTAATTGTGCAGAGAATCAAATCAGGGGCGTGATTCCAATTTCTTTAGTGACAAGGCTGAAAAGACCCAGCAGGAAAACACAAATGTATTACAGAACGAGTCGTAACTAGAGAAGACTTACACTTTGTGCTTCCTTGAGGTTAATTCTCGTCTTTGGTCTAAAATAAGCTTTGCTTTTTCTCCTAGATTCGAATACTCCTCTTTTGAAGATCATCACCGCCATCTGCCTCGGAAAGAAGAATCACGTGTGAAGAAGACTGAGGCGCACTTCTCAGCGCCGAGGTGAAGTCCTTGTCACCTGGGGAGGGCCGCACACTCCCTCGGACCACGGAATTGTCATACCTTTATCGCAGCCTCTCTGTACTGCCTTTTGGATTCTTCCTGGGACTGTGTGGAGCTCATTAATTCCAGTTGCCTTAGTTCATCAATTTTAGCTAGTGCACGCCGAGCAAACGCCTGTGCGGGTTTAAAATAAATTTAATTCATAATAAGTTAGAACGTGGTGATTAAAAATGCACCGAGACAGTATGTTTTGTTGCCCTAGACTTCTGATTCAATCTGTAAATTATACTGGAGGTTGTTCAGCTGTATCTGTAACAGTCTCTACCCAGGCTATCACTGTCTTGTATAAGCACCACTAACTCAATAGCTCTAAATAGTTAATTGTTCAATGCCAGATCATCTCTTCCCTGGCATCACATACAGGCATGCTTGTGTGCATGTATGCACACACACACACACACACACACACACACACACACGTCCACCCATCCTGTCCTATGCTCAGAAGCTCATCTCTAACCCTAACGTCCGCAGTAAAACACGCCGCATGACTATTCGGCTGTTCACACTGCCACTGCGTCGTGAAGCCCTCAAACAGCCCACTTCATGTTTTTATCTCCAATATCCAACGTACAGGAAATATTTAATAAATAGCCGAGGAAGGGAAAGAGAAGACAGACTTGCTTATTTAACCATGTCTCCACTCTTAACATTCCCTAGAGATCATGACAAGAGTTTAAAACAGCTATCAAGAGCTCGATACCAAGGGTTCCCATCATGGGTTTTGCCATATCCTTGAAATATTTTATTTATAATTTCTAAAATTTTAATGAAAATGCTCCCAGACTAACCACAGAATACCTTTCCAGTAAGAAAGAATCCCAATAGGAATCAAAAGGTCAAAACCTCATAGACACTCAATTCCTTGACAATTTAACTCTAAAACACATGTGCCCCCTCTAGAACACGAAGGTTAACTACACATATATGGTAAGCTGTTTCCAGAGTGTATCCTGGGCTGTGAAAGCATCCCATGAGAGCTGCGTTCAGCTCTTCCTCTGCTGGTGGACCATGATCATCATCCAGCTCTTCAGAATCAACCCAGCTGGGTGTGGTGGTGCACACCCACAGTCCCCGAACTCAGGAGGCCAAAGCAGGAGGCCAGTCTGAGTCCAGCCTGGACTACACAGGGAGACCCTGACTCTAAATAAATAAGTCAATTAATTAATAAAACACAGAATCGATGCAGGCAGCGAAACCTAAATGTATAAAGAACTATTCATGGGCCAGAAAATGTCTCTCTGGTTATGAACAGTATTTGACCAGGTGCTCATGCGGCTATGAAAGCTGTGTTCCACCCAAGATTCCTGACTAAGAGGTTGAATAAGGGCTGAAATCCAGCCTTCGCGGCCTTCTCCAAGCCATGTACCCTGGGCCACGGGCCCAGCGGAAGGGGAGCTGGCTTCTCATTTCCAACAACACCCGGTGCTGAGCAAGCCAATATCATGTACTGTAGAAAGGGTGCTTTTTTATTTTTCAGTTTTTGTTTTGTGTTGTGTTGCTGCAGTGCTGGGAGGGGGCATCTCTGCCCTGGAGCGAGCACTGTACCCCTGGGCTTCATCCTCTTGTCAGTGGACACAGAGATGCCACACAAACCAAAGAAGCCCAAACCAAGTTAAGTCGGACTTCAAGTATTTAACCTAAAAGGCACACAGAAAAAGAACAAAACAGGAAACAAAGTAATACATGGGATTGAAAGCAGAGAAAGGAACAGAACGTACGCATAAAAGGTGGTGCATTATACAAAATAAAACAGGGAAGGTAACCGAAGAGAGCAAAAGGAGGAAGGAAAGACGCCAGAAATCGTGTTCAGCAGAGAAGCTACGAGGGCCAAGTTAGCGGAATAAAGGAAGGAGCTAAAGCAGAGCAAACAGTCAACAGACAGATTCCTCCTGCTAAGGAGTTCCCGCCTTTGTGTCACAGCAGTTCCGTTTTGCGCTTTGTTCCCTGAGGGCCTGTAGAGGGGAGACCATGCTGAGCAAGCTGCACCCGGACCCCGGAGTCGGAACCGGACAGGAAAGAGCCGCCTACCTCGCCGTGGACGCTGGCCTGGCAGTCATAGTAGCACTGGCACACCGCGGCGTAGAGGGTGACCCTCCAGGAGAGGTGCCTGGCGGCCAGCAGAGGGACGGAGGACTCCATGCACACGCTGGCCCACAGCAGGTACTCCAAGGCCTGAGGAGCAGAGGCACAGCTCAGCTGACGCCGTTCGTGACACTGAACGTGACACAGCTGGCTGCTGACACCCAAAGTATCATCAACACGCACAGTAAGACACCATTCGGGGACCCCGACTTAGCCCTTTCACAGGATCGTCTTCCTAACTCTTAACAGCACCCCTCAGCTGAGCTCATTTTTTTCAATATTTATCAGATATCAATGGTGGTCCAAAATCCAACTTCCAATGATACAACTGTTTTGAGTTGGCCTGGAACCAGTGTATTACTCTAGGGGAGGGGAGTAAAATAGAAAAGGTTGACCAACGAGGCCTGTAATACATGGTAGAACAAAGATTGGAATCAAACTCAAGTTTTGGCCTCAGTTTCACCTCTTAGGGCCTCAATTTTCTCATCTGTAAAATGGGTATCTTATCACATCCCAGCATGCTGCCACAGACAGTGAGCATGATGTGCAGGCCTGGTAATTGGCACATTGTGAAGGGTGCCTGCTGCCCATGTAATTATTCCCAAGGCACAACTTGAAACAAAATGGTGTGCAAAGGATCACAATGGCCCTGCCCTGCCCACAGGAACGGACCCAACGCGCCCGGGCTGTGCTAACCGAATGGCTCCGCCCCCCAAATCTGCTGACATGTTCTTCCCACAAACCCGAGACAGGGAAACACTCTGATCACATGGATTCTCCAGCAGCAGGTTTTTTCAATCTTACCCTTTCTTCAAAATCATTCCGAAAGTGCAAGTGTACTGGAGGAGCTGAGAACGTAGCTCTGCAGCACAGTGCCTGCCTGGCAAGTGCGAGGTCCTGGGTTCGATTCCCAGTAGCAGAATAAAGTAGTTGATTGGACTATATTGCTTTTCACTTGGTTTAATACAAGAAAGAGGAAATGTGGTCTATGTTCTACATCTGAGTACAAGAAATGTTACTAGGGTGAAATCAAGAATCTGAGAGTTAAATACTTCAGACCTCAAGCTCCTGATTCTGTACAAAGACACACCCGCAGGTGCTCCGCTTCCTGGACTAGGAGGCGACCTCCTCACTGGTCTCTGTGTCTCTGGCCCGCCCCTCCCTTCCTCTTCCCCCACCCCCCACCCCCCCAGGGTTATTTTCTTGCAGGTAACCTGGGTGGTGACACCCTCTGGCTCAAAACACTTCCCTGGCTCCCTTCAACTCCCGGGCCTCGGGAGCTTTGCTTGCCACCAGAGGGTGGCAGTGACTAACAACAGGGTTGGCTGGCAATTAAATGTTCAACGCTTAGATGTTAGCTTCTGCCATGACAGCGAAGAAAAAGAAGGAAGGGGAGGAGGTGGTGGAGGATCAGGAAAAAGGAAGCCCAGGAAGAAGAGGGGAGGATGAAAGCCAGCAACTGGTGAAGACTTTTCTAAAGTCCTTAGAAAGAAATGATCCCTGCCTCATTTTCCACTCTATTATAGTTGTGTTACACACATACCACTTATTTATTTATAGGCATGATTTAATTTTTATTTATTTCTCTGGTCTGCCACGAGAATTAAGTTCATGAACCAAGGTACCACTATTTTATTTATATTTTATTTAGATAGTTTTTATATGCATTTGTATTCTTATTTAAATACTAAACTTATTTGTATCGGCTTAGTATCTCTTATCCAAAATATCTGGGACTGGAATGGTTTCAGATTTCAGGGTGTTTTCCTTTTGGACTCTGGAATATTTCAGTGTAATAATGAGACAGCACAGAGATGGGGTCCCAATCTAAACACAATATTCATTTATGTTTTATAAACACTTTATACACTTAGCCTGAAGGTAATTTCATATGCTGTCTTTAGTGCAGTAACATTTTTAGTTTTGCAGTAGAATTAAACATAGAAGACAAGGCATATCACAATTTTAGGATTATACTTTAAAGCAAAGTTTCAGCTTCAGGACCCAAGCTCGCTAAAGTCTCTAAGATCCTTAAAAGTGGACACTACAAGCCCGGGGCCCTGCTCTTCCCCTGTAAATGGACCATTTCACCTGCGACCAGGCCAGCCCTTTCCTCCTAGCAAAAGAACTTTCTCTTATGAGTGAGTGGCTATCACTGTGCATGGGCAATGGTCATTCACAGGTGGCCTGTAGAAAGGGCCACGTCTTGTCTAAGTGGAATCCCCTCTTTCCATAGATTTACAACTTCCGCAGGTGTCTACCCATAATCCCCACGTACCCAGCTCTAGGACCCAAGGTACCTGTCTCCCCCTCCGCCTCTATTTTCTTTGAGTGTGAATTTTAAAATTCTGCCTAATAAACACTTTTCTATGCTTCTTACAGACAGGTCTTGATGACTCTTTTTCTGTGATGTAAGTCAGCAAAGCCTCAGCTTTCTCGGCGGGAGGAGCGAGTCAAAGATCCCCCTCTCCGCTTTCCGACCCTCCTCAGACCTTGTCAGTGACACTGTGACCCGTCACATGAGCTCAGGTGTGGATTTTCCTGTAGTGACATCAGCTTGGTGCTCAACACATCTTAGATTTTGGAGCATTTTGGATTTCAGATTAAGGTGGTTCAACCTAAATCTCATGTCACATTAAGATATTCACATGCGTGATTCCAAACCTAGACTGTGATCTCTTGGAAGAAAAGAACAATGTCCTAACTGCTCTTGTATCGCCAGCACCTAGGACAGAGCTGGAGACAGAGCTGACTATTCGCACACATTATGAAATGAGTTCAATAGAAAGCCCTCAAGCAGACAGAGCCAGACTCAGGCAAGCAGACGCATATCCTAGATTCTCAAATCCTGATAATACATTTGGACAAAGCACATCTTCTTACAACCAACTAGGCTTCCATAATGGAAGAAGTAAGGTTTTATAGCTATGTCTACAGTGCGCCAATGACTCATCTTGAAAAAGCAAATCATCTAGAAGGTCCAGCAGCCTCACCTCCATGAATCGAACCGACCAGAATGACAGAATATTTAACAGTTCTAATAAGTAAGATGCTGACGACATTCAGATGCTTCGCATCTTTGGAGCCTTCAAAGACACAGCATGGGTTGCACACGTGGAAATCTAAAAGAAAGGTGAAACCTGAAAAGCCAGAATCCCCCGTGGCCAGTTTTAATTCTAGAAAAAAGAAACTATGGATCAAGTTTCAAGAAATTGTAATATATTTCATCACCACCCGAATTTAAACGCCTCCAGCCCGACTGTGAATTTTCTTAGGAGAGGAACCTTGCCTGTCTTGTTCGTTTGTATCCCTGGCACCTAGAACTTTACCTGGCAATGACAGATATGCAAAAAAAACCACTTGTTAAATGACCAACTGACCCTCAGGAAAAAAGTTTCAGTTTGTGAAGTTAAATACAGGAATACTTCTAGCTACCATAGGATCAGAGATCTGACAGTCACTCTAAAATGCTCCCTGATGATGTCCCCAAGGCTGGATGCCCACAACTCCCCTCACCCCTTGCCCCAAGAACAGGTGCCTACCTGCAGGGGCGTGGCACATGCCATGCAGCAGCAGAAGACAATTTCTAACCTGTAAAAGATTTCCACGATCTAAAATTAAATCCACCTCGCTGTACCACTGTCACACTGGTACCAGCTATGCCTCGGGGACAACACAAAACAGTCCGAGCTGCCTTCCCAGCAGAGGACAATCCCTGGGCAGCCAGCCCGGCCTCCCGATCTCCTCCCGGGTGCATTTCCCGGCTGCTTCTAGACTTCAGAGAAACTCGTTTTCGTCTCCAGCACCGCTAGCCTTCCGGAGCGTCACTCAGGTTGTCCACGCCCTTTGGAGAGTAAGACTTTCCACCTCCGTCCTGGACTCTGCACTGCTGCGGACACTGTCGCTGTGGGCCAAGCTGGCCACACTGGGAACAGATGCAAAACTAACACGGCTCCCCCACAAGCCCTGTCTTGGATCTTTGCATTTGGATCACTGTGGTTTGTGCAATTTCCCATGGCTTTCCAAAATCACTCGGGACTGGAGGTATTGGAAATTTCACAATTCAAAATAAAAATAGCTTCACTTGACAGTTGCTCTCAGTGTATTTGGGGTTGGCTTTGGAATTAAAGAAAATTACAGATTTTCATGCCAGAAGGGATTTTTACAATTAACCCAATCTGACTCCAAGAGGCTATTCTGCTTCTAGGCAGTAAAGCAGGACTGGAATTCAGGACTTCGAACTCCCCATGACATGGGGCAGCCTCCGTGGAGGCCAGAAACACTCCGGGTCCTGGAAAATGATCTTTCAAGGTGGAAGACATGACGCCATAGCCCCAAATGACTCAAGTATAGCATTTTTCTTTTATCTCTAAAAGATGGTGAAAATTATATTTATCAATAGAAAAACGATGGGATATTGCAAGCCTGTTAAAAAAGCTTTAGAGTTAGGGATCTAGCTCAGGGGTAGAATGCTGGTAAGGAAGGAAAGAGAGAGGGAGGGAAGGGAGATTATTTGAAAAATTACATCCTAACTATATTCAAAACATCCCAACAAAGTGTTTCAGGTGGCATTAGGAAAAGTAATTCACCAGCGTGGCCACAAGATGGCACTGCAGCCCCATGTAAACCTGCCTGCACCACGCAGAAAAAAAAACGACACCAACTCCAAAACTGATTCAAAGCTTATATAAGGGCACATGGAACGATTTAACACTGATTGTTCAAGCCAAATATTTTACCAGGCTACTTCACTTCTACAGTAAAATGAAACAAATCAATAGGGATGTTTTTTAGAATAAATGGATTCCACTGTGTTCTCTAATGTTTGCTAAGTCTTTCAGCGTTAGATGACACAGGTTATTCCATAAACAAAGGCAAAGTTGCTGAGTTTATTTAAGGAATGAAGTTCAGGAATCAGACCTCCATGCATTTCTTATATTTAAGCCAGAGTTCCGCCTGACTCGCATTTGGGGAAAAGTCTAGGCTACTCTAGGTCCTCAGGGTCTCTGTGGGAATATAGGGCGATACCAGTAAAGATCGACCCCTTCCACACAGCTCCCCGCGGAGGAGGAGGGCGTCAGGACAAGAGTCAGTGCAGTAAACACACGTGCATTGTTCTGATGGAGCTGAGTGCTAGTTCCATGCCACACTGGCTCTGGCTTCAGCACACCTCCAACCTGATGTGCCATCTTAAATAGATGAGGTCCTGTCAGCCCTCCAGCCCCATCTACAAGATGAGGGTAATGAGAGTGCCCTTCTCAGAGTAGTGATGGGAGGATTAAATGAGATAGTTCCTGAAAGCACTCAACACTATACTTGGTAGATGGTAGAAATTCATTCAATAAATATCAACGATGATGTTCATGACGGTTACAGTTCCCATCTCACCACACTGTGGTATCACTGTGTATGCAAAGCCCTTCACTCAGTACTCAGACACAGTAGGGGTTCAGTAACAGTAACAAGGGTTACCCATAAGGCCCATGTCCTGTGAAAATGAGAGTTTACCACTGGGCCGCTATTCACATGGGTGTGCATATGTTGCCGTGATATGATGCTTTTAATTCTTTCGGAAAGATATCAAGAAGAACAGCTGGGTCAAATGGAGCCCTCAGTTTTAGTTTTTTGAAGACTCAGCACGCTGATTTCCACTGGTTGCACCAGTCTACACTCCCACCAAAAGTGGAGAAGGGTTCCTTTTCCTCCACAGCCCCCCAGCCTGTTATTGGTTGGTTTGTAGATGACAGCATTCTTTGGGGGATGAGATGGAATCTCGGCATTATGTTAATTTGCATCTCTCATATGACCAACAACGTTGGACATTTTTCATATATTTACTTGCCATTTCTACTTCATCTGAAGAATGTTTATTCATTTCAGATGCCCATTTTTGCACTGGGTCTTTAAATTTGGGAGACCTGCTTTTTTGAGCTCTTTATATATTGTATATAGTAGTCCTTAGTCTGAGGAACAGCTGGCGAAATTTTCTTTCCCACTCTGTGGGTTCTCTTCATTCTGTTGGTAATTTCTTTTTCTATGCAAAAGCTTTTTAGTACAATGGGATCGTAATTGTTGATTCTTTGTAATATTTCCCAGGAGACTGTGGTTCTGTCCATAAAGTCTTTACCTTATACCTGTATCTTCAAGGGAGCTATCTAGTCTGTCTTCCAGTAGATGAACTGTTTCTGTTTTAATATTTGGAAGCAAAATGTCCATCAATGGATAAATGGATAAAGAAAAGGTGGGTTTTTTCTTAATGCAATGGAGTACTACTCTCTCATAAAGAAGGATAAACCTGAGACATTACTGGGTAAATGGATGCACCTTGAAATCTTACTCTTAAGCGAATAAATCAAGCACATGTTTAAGTATCACACTTTCTCTGGTGTGACACACTGAAAGGGTAAATAAAGATCAAAATGTGTAATAGATATTGAGAAGTAGGAAGAAAACGTTTAAATGGAAAGGGGAACAGGAGCGACGGGGTAGGGGAAGGAAGAGGGGAGAAAGGGAAAAGAAGAAAGAGAAGGAAAAATGCAAACAAACTTTTGTAAACAAGGAGGGGACGAGGGGTTGAAAGAAGAGGAGGGGAAGGGAGAAAAGAAGAATCAAACTATCTTACGTGTAGGTAACAAATTTCCTGTGATGAATGGGATCATTATGTATAACTAAAGTGTACCAATAAAATTAATTTTTAAAAAATTTTAAAGAAAAAGTAAATAGAAGTTTGCTGCAGTTATGAACCCTACCCCAAGTGTCGTCTGTTCCCAGGGGCCACAGCAGGGGAATTCACAGAAAAATGAGACGAAACAGTGAAATGCGGTAGATATTTATGAACTGAACCTACGGGAAACCAAGTTTCTATGTGCCAACAAGAGGTAACTTCAATATCCTTCTGAATTACACCAGGAGTAATGAAATTTCTATCTGAAAACAAGTTTTTTGTTAGGCTTTGCTCCATTCCTTTATGAAGCTTATTACTGACTGATGACTTGCTAATTTATCACCACGTAACTGTCTCTTATAAAAATGAAGGCAAATCTTCATTTTCACTTTTCTCTTCCTCATTTGTTTCTGATCCCTTCTTCCTTTCTCTTCCCCCTCTCGTCTCCCTTCACACTCGAGCACTGTCTTTCTATTCGAAGGTATCTATTATACATGTTCGTCTTTATTTACACTTTTGGCTTCTCACATCAGAGGCAATGCGAAATTTACACATGTGTGTCTGGTTTTATTTAAGAATGTGGTCTCACGGTGTACCCATTTACCTAGAAATGTCCCAGATGAATCCTTCTTTCTGGCTGAGTTGTACTCCACTATATAAAAAACCTCTTTATCCATTCATCTATTGATGGGCACGTGGGCTGCGTGCAGGATTTAGCTATTGCCAATTGAACTGCTATACACACGGTGTGGTGGCAAAAGGACAAAGGGCTGAACATAGGCAAGGAGGATGGGGAACAATAAGCAAAGACAAAACGACACAAGCCTTCAGCAGCCAGATCATTCAAAACACAGTCCTGAGGAGCAAACTCATCTCCGTAAGCCGGATGCAGGCGGCCAACTGCGAATTCTGCTTCCTTCTAGAGCTGAGTACAGAGTTCGCAGTGCGGTTTGAACATGAGCCTGACCATGATTCATGGGGAGGCCTAGCTCTCTGTGAATAGATCAAGGTGATGGGGCCTCTCAGGAGGGTAAGTAAGTAGGTCACGGGGCCACCACATGGGAAGGGACCGCTCTGGTCCCTGGAGAGGTTGCTGGGACACTGCGCCCCGCCCTCCCCGCACGGCTTTGTCTCCTGCCACGTGCTCTCTCCGTGTGTTGCTGCCTCACCAGGGCTTCGCACGTCCCAACATCACTCTCTCAAACCTCCAGAAATGTGAGCTAAATAAATCCATGTCCCTTTGAAAAAAAATAATAATAAGTAAAATCATGCCTCAGTGAATTTCCGGTTACAACATTTGATTTTCTAAATGCAAAATCAATGTATAACATTTAAAGAATGCTAAAAATGCAAGCTAATCAAGGATGCTGTACATGACATCCTCCAAAAAAAATGGGGGTTTAAATTACTCTGGAATTACCGGAAGAACGGCCCACGGATCCCAGGTCTGGTGCTTCTGTCTTAAGCCTTAGCAGACAGTAACTTAAAGCTACTACAGAATCAGGGTCATCAGGCCCCAGAGGACTCAGATATAATACATGGACCCATCCGATCCATTTGTAGTCTCATCTCAGGAATCAGCTTACCAGCTGGGGGCTTGGGAATTTCTGCGTAAAATTAATTCCTTCTTACACTGATCCTGATGAAAGAACGTCATCCTTATCCTCAAGGGCCAAACGCCCAACCATCTACCACCCCAAAGTTCTTACCCTCGCTCTCCCCACCTCCCTCCCACAAAACCGGGACTGATGACTAACCTTCTCCACCTCGTACTTTCCAGACACAAACTCAAGTTACACGAGGGGGAGAGGAGATGTCTTCCAGAGGTTATTTGTAAAAAACGACTTTAAGATGACTGTCACATTAAATTAAAATCTGCTTGATGTTAACAAGAACGAACACTAACAGTCAAATGTTGGCACAGACGTCTCTGGCTTTCAAAGCTTTGGCAAGCAAACCCCGTGGCAGACCGGCAGTGATGGCCCTGTGAAGCAGTACTTGTTATTACAGTAAGTGCAACAGGAGCGTGCAAATTCCCTTTAGGAAACCAACTGGAACAGACCGTAGAATCGTTGGAATCATCTGTAGGCCAGATTCATAGAATACCTGAGACAGGCTGCCCTCAATCTAATTTACACTCCAAACGCTGCCCAGAGTTTGTTCAGCCACTGTCAGTAACAGAGGTCTGGGCTGGTTTGGTCTGGTCTGGTTTGGTCTGGTCTGGTTTGGTCTGGTTTGCTTTGGTTTGAATTTGAGGAACAAAATAGAAAGACAATGCATAGTGTCACCCAGTGAGGATGCACATATTTCTGCTTCCAGTTTTATTTTGTAGGTGATGGTAACTTGTGTTTTGAAGAAATAAGAAAAGCAGTGCCTCTCTTGAGTGTTAAGACTATTTGGGGTAAGCGTTCACATGTAATAAAAAATAAATAAATAAAGTGGTAATGTTTCAGATGCCAACAACAACTCCAGCGGGGTCGCAGTGGGAGTACATCCACCCTTCTTGGTCTACATTCCAGTGACTGGAGAAAAAAATGCAGAAAATAAATCTGTCTCCTGCTGACAAATGTGCTACCAACATCGTAGGGAAGGCAGCAGATGAGTCCTCAACCTCCTTAGGCAAGACTAAGCAGTGGGCTCTGGGAAGTGAGAGGCCTATTAAAAGACAAGGTCTCCTTGTCCTCCTTTGCGAGTGAGTTAGAAAGTTTGGATGCTCACTCACCCTAGTATGTGGGCCTAAAGTAAGCTCCAAGAACTTCATAACATACACCGGGTAACCACGGCCTGTCAGCCTAACCTGGACATTTTTAAAATTAAAAGAGGGTGTTACTAATAATTACTCCAGGTGTCAGGCTTGGTAACACATGCCTGTAATTCTCACACTCAAGAGGCTGAGGCAGGAGGATTGCCATTAGACAGAGGCTGGCCTGGGCTACACAGAAAGTTCAAGGCCAGGAAAACTACACAGCCAGAACCTGCCTCAAAAAGCAAAAAAATTATCAAGGACAAGACGCATCAGCAAGACTGTTGTGGGCATGCCAGGATGGATGGTCTTCTTACCTGAAGACAGTGTAACCAGCAGGGTGTTCACTGTCAAGCATGACCAGCGTACAGGTGGACAAAATGCTAAGAGAATACTTACCATTTGGGGGACTTCATTTTCTTTTTATGAGTGTTTTATTGCCCACCACATTTTTTTTACCTGTGATAGTTATTAAAGTAAAACTAAGACCAATAAAACTGTGTAACTTTTATCACAAATTCACAAAAAATGCTTTAACATTCCATGGATGGTATAGTGAAAACCATAAGAAACAACAGGAAATAGGGGGAGAAAAGCTAGGTCAGTACATTTCATACCTTGGAAGAATAACCTATGACCATCAGTTTTCTGCAAATGGTGTAAATATAAATGGTACCTGGGTGAGAAACAGACAGTTAATGTGCGTCACACTCAAATGACTAAAGTATATTCCCCAACCTCTGCAGTTTAAGGCTACAATTCCCAGATCAAGTGCTCTCATGAGAAACTCTCATAAGAGTAGCACATCATTGTAATTTTTCTTATCACTTGTAAAAAAAGAATCATTAAAATAATGCATATGGCCATATTTCAAATACACTGACAAGAGAATCATTCAGCATCATTTTAAAGGCAATTTAAGTTCTGAAATATTCTGAACAAAAGAATTTTTAGTTGCATAATTTATGTACTCCAGTTTTATTAATTTGCATAAAACCTTATTATTTCCCATGGCTTCTTTATGGTTAAGAAACTAAAGATTTATCTCCAAATAAGATTGGAATACATATTTAATCAGCAAGGCACAATGCTGAAACTCATAATAATTTTTAAGTCGTAATATATAACAGGTTATATTATATTCATTTGTGGTTTCATGTATCATTTATTCCCTTACTTATATGTCCTCTAAGCAGTGTAATAAAAAATAGCATTTTATTACAGTATGACGTGGTATCAGCCATTAACAAAATGAATAGAGAAGGAGAGAGGCAGAGCTGGAGGGAGATGTGGGGACATCACCGCACACCTAACTTACATACGGGACCTTATTGTGCTGGAAAGGTGCCCAAAAGATGACGACACGCTTTAAAGAGGCAGCTATGACAAGTGGTCTAAATATTATCCACAAAATATCTGATGTACAATTCATAACTATCAAAATCCAACAGCCAGGAAGCCCGTGTTCATGTTTACAAGCACGGAAGAATACAGCACCTGCCACCCAAACATCTCCCCAGTTAAAAAAGCATAATGAACCTGAGCTACGCAAACCAGTCACAGAACCCTGGGTCAGTTCCGAAATCCTTTCAGCCCTTTGAGCATGGCTGAAAAGGTGGCTGGTCCTCAGCGCTCAGAGACTCAGTCTCTGCTGGGACCGTGCTTGGGCCATGGAGTTACTCGTTTTATTTAAGACCCACTAGGAAGAAACCACTCCAACCACTCAGCTCTTAGCAGCTCGAGCCCAGAATGCATATTATCTCAACTTGGCTTTGTCAACCTCTACTTTCAATGTTTAAAAATAAAACTCTGTAACTGTGTTTCTTTGTGAGGGGGGAAAAAAAGAAGTCACCAAATAAGGGTATGCACAGGAAACACATCTCCCCACAGAACATGTGGTTCAGGTGTAAGCCAGGAGCCTGGATAAACACACTAGGGAACTCAGCGAGGCCCCGGGAGAGGCCCTCAAGGACGACAAGGGCCCTCTGTGTTTCCAACATGTGGCTCTAACCTTTCCAGCCCAGCTATGTCCTGGCTATAACTGAATAGCTCTTTGACAGTTCAGGATCTTGGCCTGGCTCACAAACTCCCACTACAGAATCCAGAAGGAGACAGTAAATGGTATGAACTGAACACAGACTGAAACTTTACAGTCTCAGGGCGCCTCCGGAAGTTTGTTTTGTTTTGCTTTGGCCCAGATCCCTAACATGAGTTCACTGCCTAATCATGCAACTGCTCTTCACCAGAGATGGTCGCCATCAAAGAAATCTACGCATCTAAATGCACTGGGTTCTGGTTAATTGAGAAGGGTGATGTCTGCCAGTATAAGCACTCCTAGCCAGGCTTCATAAAGAATTAAACTGACCAAATATCTCAGGAAAACAAGAGTAGGTATGTAAAATAGTTAATTAACAGAAAACAGAAAGTCAGACATGCTGGTTCACACCTGCAATCGCAGCACCCTGGAAGGCCGAGGCAGAAGGATCACAGGTTAGAACCCAGCTGGACAACTTAGTGACTTAATGAGACTCGGCCTCAAAATTAGAATTAGATTTCAACTGTTAAAACTCAGTGTGAAGGCCTTGGGTTAAATCCCCAGTGCAACAGGAAATAAATAAACAAATAAATGAAGTACATTGCTGAATGAAAAGGCCGAATGTACTTATCAAAATACATTTGACCTTTCGTTCAAATATCTACATATATTTTCAAATATATTTTTGACTACTAAAAATCCACCTTCTCAAAACTTCAGGGCCTGTGCACTTGCTGATCCCCTTGGTGGAACAGCCCTCCCCCAAATATCCGGGTGGTTTGCCCCCCAAGTTCCTTCAGGTCTTTGCTCGACTTTCACGTCAGTAAGGCTCCCTGACCACTCTCGCTGAAGCTGCAGCCCCGACCCCAGCCCGGTCCCTGCTCCATCGCCCCCTCACCTTCACTCTCCTCCATAGCCCTCATCGCGTCTCACCCTGAAATATCATCTCCCCGCAGCAGGATTAAGAGAACAGTCTTTGTGTGTGGTTCGTTCCTGTGTCCCCAGAACCTAGGACAATGCCTAGCTCGTGGGGTCACTTAGTAAGTGGTAGATGAACACACTGAAACATGGATAGTATGTGTATCTCCCACAACCCAGCAACCCCTCTCCTGGGCATCGGTCCCAGAAAAGTCTTGCGCCAGTCTATAAAAGGAGATACGCAAAGACATTCACTGCAGAATTATTAGAGGTAGGGAAACCAGTGCCCATTTCTGTGGTACATGGAACACATCAGCAGGTTTATATAGTGGGACCTCGCTAGATTCTGAAACCACTGAATGGTTTGAATGGAAAAACATGTAGGCAACAGAAAAAGTCTAGAGCAAAATACCATGTGTATGAATAAAAGTTCACACCAAGAAAAGGATATAAAAGATACAGAATTCACCTAACCTTTTCTTCTTTCTAAAGAACACTGCAATCTTACATGTTGTGCATCTTGTCTGATGTTAAGACTGAAGGTGGAATCCTGCTGCGCCCTTTCTACCCGCTAAGTCAGGTCCGCCTGCATGTCCAGCCCTGCTCCTGCCCTGCTTTCCCCACCAAGAGGCTGGGGAGATGGCAGCGGTGACTCATGGAATCAAGGTGACTGGGCACAAAAGCTTTCCAGTCACTGAGCTGGAAAAGTTCATCCAAGTCTGCTTCATGTTCAGGCAGCAAATGCGAAGTCCAGTTTCAACAAAATATACTTTGGGGTGGATGGAGAAAGAAATATATTTTAAACCCAGGATGAAGGAAAATCCAATACATTTTTCTTGGAGTTATTTTATCCTGGTCTTAACACATATCAAAATACTGTCACTCTTATTTTCTTGTTGAAGACTGTATTATCCAGTGGGCTAAGGGTGCAGGTTGCAGCTCACTGGTGGAGAACTTGCCTAGCAAGGCCCTGGGTTCAATTTCCAGCATCAGCACCACAGAAAGAAAAAAGAGGAGAGACTAGAAGGGACTATATTATCCGTTCCCAGCACCATCAAATATATACGTATAAATATGAAGTAGGTTTTAAAATAGATATAATATATATGTATAAGTGTGTATTTTCCAGATAGTGACTCGATGTAACCTCAGACTAGAGAAAAACAAATGCTATACTTTCTAGCTAAGATTCCTACAGACAAATTTGATATACCTAAATGTGTATATATACATAGAAGTATATGTGTGTCTCAGAGCTCCTCACTCAGTATCAAGCAGGGGAAAATGTTGCTGCAGACACGGTAGAAAGGACACACCAGGGTCTTTGAGACCAGCAAACGAGCGATTATTAGAACCAGTCTACCCTGCGGTCGTCACTGGAACCTTGTTCACTTATATCTTAAACTTCTTCACTTATTAACCGTGGCCTCGCTTTACACACTCCAAACTGATTACCCCACAGCCTCTGACCCTTCCTTCAGTGAAAAACCAAAAGACATGTACTGGGGACCCTACTTGTGAGGATAAACTAAAATGGAAAAACAAGTGTTCAAAAAAAGGCTTTCTATCGTGAAATGCATACATTTTAAATCACGAGGTAACTGAGTTACCAGCAAATCCGGCATTTGCCTGGCTTTTTGGAAGATGCAGAGGAAAACAGTGTGTTGGTGCATACCATTGAAGACAATCCAGCAAAGTTGCTCCTGAGGCAGAGCCACCTGCATGATGAGCCTCAGGGAAGACAGGACATGCAGACACTGGCTCACGGAGTCCTTATTCTGCAGGTTCATGTCACTGTCGCAGACCAGCTGGTAGTTGCAAATATTTTTGCCGTACAAAGCATGAAACTGAAACACATAGGAAAACTTAAATAAGACTTATGTAATTCAGGAAAGCATTTCCCAGAATGTAGAAAGCTAAAATAGAAACAATGGTCCTTAATTAGTAAATCGATTGAAACAGAAACAAACAAGCTAGTTTTCTTTAAAACATTTGTTGAGTTAGGATTACCTCTTCCTATCGTGAAATGCATACACGGGAGTTAGCTCTTCTCAGTCAAAGAAATTCAAAAACAAAAACAGAAAAAGAAAGAATCCTATTAGCAATAACATGAAAATTGAAGGGCCAGGGATTTAGCTCAGGGGCTCAGGTGCTTGCCTGATACATGTGAGGTTGTGAGTTTGATCTGTGGTACAAAATAAATAAATAAATAATAAAAATAAAAACCACTTTTGCAAACCCACCCAGTAGAATTTTAACCTGCTTATTGATTCAGATGTGATTATTATCATTTACTCAATTCATCCAACCAGTGATTGGGCATCTCTGTTTGTCACACTCTCCTATGTGAGACGCATTCTAAAACAAGAAAGAAACGACCCCGGCTTGCAGCAGAGTCCCTGGCACACACAGCACTAGGGCTGCTCAGGGCGCTGCTGTGGTCACGGAGCTGAATGTCTTCTGTGAGTCTGGATAAAAAGTTGTTAGGTCAAGAGATGAGACTGGGGAGGTGGCTGACTTAGGGTCAAAATATGGGGAGTGTCCCCTGTATTCCATGGAATTTGGTCTTTAGCTAAAAAGGCACATCAGTAGTGATTTATCCCTTGGAAATTGAATCTGACAAAGCATAGCTAATGAATTATAAATTGTAGGGTGAAAGTTCTGTACGGGGGGGCTGGGTGAGACCTTTTCGGCCCTCTTCCCAATGGGGCGCCAACCTGCACTGCTCAGGATTTTCACTCCTCTTTCTGTATTTACGCCCTGACCAAACTGAGCTAATCCAGGTCCCCAACCATGCCTTGAGCTCTTCTGCTTATTGGTCAGACAGTGCTGTTCCCAAAGCATAAGGCAGACATCATTTAGAAAAACACAGTTTTGGAATCAAGCACCTCAGCACCTCAGAGTTCAAACACCAACGCTTCACACTGTTTTGCACAGGCTGGGCTGGTTTCTTAATCTCTAATAAAATTCATTTTCCTCCTCTGTAAAAAAAATTTAACAGTTTCACCTTTCAGCACCATAAAGAGGCTATAAGATGATCATAAGCTGATCGTTATTAGGGGTTAGGGGTATAGTTTAGCAGCACAGTGCCTGCCTGGCAAGTGTGAGGTCATGCATTTGACTCCTAGCACCAAAAAAAAAAGACCATTTTTGTTATACAGTTGTGGGGTTGTTAGAGATCAACTCTGTGTTTTCATTCTAGCCAAGTGCTCTACTACTGAGTTATGATCTCAGCCTTCTTTTTTTTTCTGAACCAGGGATCAAACTTAGGACCTCACACTACCAGGCAAACACCTGAGCCACTGAGCTACACCCCTCATCCTGGCTTCAGTCTTATAGAATGCATTTAGAAGAGGATCTAGCACACAATGACTGTTCAACTAAGAATTAACAATAGCAATTAACAATAATACTCTAACAGAAATAAAACATAATTTTTCTATCAAAAGATCCTTCTGGCACTGGGGATTGAACATGGCCTTCGCACACAGCCACAGCCCCATTCCATCCCCATTTTTTATGAGGTCTCTCCAAATTATAAACTGGGCTGGACTGGAACCAGTGATCCTCCTACCTCAGCTCTCACAGTGCCAGGAGTACAGGTGTGTGACACTGGCCAAGACCTACTCTTTGCACTGTGAAATAAGCTTTATCGGTCTCCGTTTAAAATAGAGTAATAAGCCAGGCATGATGGCCCACACCTGTAATCCCAGCACTTGGGAGGCTGAGCCAGGAGGATCCCCATGAGTTTGAGGTCAGCCTGAGCTACATAAGTGAGTTCAAAGCCAAGCTGGACTACAGAGTGAAACTCTGTCTCAAACAAACAAACAAACAAATAAAACCCTAAAATAGGGTAATAATAGTGTCTAACTAATAAAATTATTGTAAGAATCTATTATATTTTTCCAAAACACTTTGTATACTCGAAGCACTCTATAAATATTAGTTATTATAACAATAATAGATTCTGCTAAATGAATTGAGATTAATACAGTCTCCAAAGCATTGTTGCAAGGTTTAATGAGTTCACTTTCTTACCCTACCTTGAAAGCAGGATAAGAAAGCATTTATTAAGCAACTTACAATAAATGGCCTGATGCTATGAGAAACCAACAGACAGCATCTTGAGGCTGGCCACTAAATGACACACTGTATAACTAATCATAAAGGGCAGTTATTTTAGCTTTCTTTCTCATCTTACTGTAAGTCTAGCAGTTTTATCTTCAAAGCCTTTTGGGAAAAAGACAGTCTTGAATTGATTCACATCTGCTTTAGTCTCATCAAAGTGGGAACCAAACTGCTGAAGATATCTTCCATAGCACTGCAAAAGGGCCAGTTTGTATTCCTAAAATAAAAAGAGAACTCAATTTAAGTTTCAAAATACTATCATAAGATTGATATTTCTACTGCTCTTGATAGTATCGATATTGGCCATTAATATTACTATTATTGCTACCACCACCATTTTCCAAGTACATACCATGTGACAGAATCCACACTATGCAACTTATATGCATTATTTTATCTACTTCTGCATTCCATAGATCATCATGATCACAAAGAATATTCTCTTAGATGCTCTATGGAAAGGCCTACAAATGCTCTATAATCCTACATCACTAGCTAGTGTTTACCCATACTCGATACAGAGGGGGATGAGGGTCTTGCTTCTCTGACAGTCCTGGGGTCAAAATGATGGGAGGAAGGAGAGAGAGAAGACAGCGAGAGGAAATGAAGGTGGGAGTGAGCTCGCTCTCTCATGTTTGAAAGCTACACCATGGCTATGTCCCATCAGAGTGACACGCCTCATTTCTGCCACCCATGTTTTTATTTTTGGGGGTGTGGAGAAGGCGTGACCTTGAGAGTCTGGGGAAGGGAATGCGCCCGGCACAGTAAAACCGATTTTGAAGCAACCCTTCCTCAGTCCCCTCCACTACAGCTATGTCCCCAGGAAAAGCAGGAGCCAGCTACCTAACCGCTCTGGGAGGTATCCACAGTCGGACACTTTTGTTTGTACTTCTGATGACTTGTCTGTCGTATGCTAATTAATTCTGACCCATTCTAACAGATTCATATAATAAGTTCAACTAGTTTCAAAACAGGAGTATTCCTCAAGATGATCTTTATTATAATTAAAATAAGAGTCTATAAATCAAAGTAACAATCAAGTTCATTTTCAGGATTATAAATGCCTTCAGTGGCCAGTCTTCCCATCAGGGAACAGTGAATAGGACTTTTTTGTTGTTGGTATTCCTTTAATTAAATGTTAAAACACCCTCGCTAGGACTTTCTATCAGAAACATTCTGAATCCTTAGCTCCTACCTATCACCAACTTGCTTTATCAATTTCCAGTATCTCTTCCACCCACCTGGTTACCCCGCCAACAACCAACACCCCACCTCCACCTCTGAGACCTAGAACCCAAACAGTAGAGAGGAAGCTGTCTTCCAAGCCTTGCCCAGACTGCCACTCCCCGGATTCCACACCGAGACAGCTAGACCGACCCTTCAGTCTTACATCATTAACAAATCAGGGACTTTACAATTAAAAAGCGGGCCAGTCTTTAAGGCTATACAACTAAGATAAAGCACCAGGAGACTGATGGGAAGACAGCACAGCCTTCAAAGATTTCGAGCTCCGGAGATACCAAACAACCAGAGCCAAGACATGAGATCATTAACATCAAACCCACTCTGCAGGGGTGTGATCTTCCCTAACCCAAAGCCATGTAGGAAACTTCCTAATCAGGGACCAATGCCAAGTGGCAAGGGACAAATGTACGCATAGAAAGTCACTAGAGTAACTTCTAGTTCCCTCCACTGTGTTAGTATAGTAAAAACCACACTCTGGTGGAGATCTAAGATGGTATGAGACATGGGTCCCATGAAGAGCCCAGGCCCAACTAACACTCCACTTTTATATACATGTTATTAAAAGAGCAGGCCCCTGCCTACCCCGTCTATACCATGCACACTTTCATCCTGTGTTTGTCTCAGCCTGAACTTCCTGTCTCCAGAGCTCTTTCTCCCTTGGACTACAGTGTACAAACAAAAGCTTTATTCCTGTGCCAATGTGCTTCTGTAGATTCTTCTGATACAGCACAAGAAGCCATGAGTCAGTAAGAACATAAATACAGCTTTATAAGACGGGTTTCACCTCGTATTTTTTATCTAGTTTTTCCAAACTCTATTTTCTCAAATTTCTAAGAGTCATCACCCAAATATATGGGGTTGAGGTTATCTCTTATTTTAGCAGAGGAAAATAGATCTTAGTTCTTTATTATGAAAGCTCTATGTTTTCTCTTCTCTTCAGTAAACTCACCTCCCGGCTAACAAGAATTTAAATCCAGAGAATAGAAATGGAGGAGAAGCCAAGAAACAGAAGACTGAGAAAAACTACTGAATAACCCCCCTGTCTGGAGTAAATTCTTTCAGATAAAATAACTCTTTGTTCAAGAGTTCATATTGTAACAAGGACTTAAGAGGCCGGGCCTGCGGATGCCCGGTGGGTGATGAGGGCCTACGGATGCCCAGTGGGTGATGAGGGCCTGCGGGTGCCCGGTGGGTGATGAAAGCAGGATAAATAAATGCTGGCATCTCTGCCTTCGTTTTATGTCTCCTTCAGTACCTTAAAACTTGGGGTCAGACCCTTGCTTGTTAATCACTCAAGGAGTATCTGTATTATAAGGGTTTAGTACCCCCGAATTTACCTAGCCTACCCCGTCTCCCTTCAAAACCGAGAACACTGAAATAAGAGCAAATAAATTTCAGGATTTTCGGGGACATCCAATTCCCAGCTTTTATAACCTCCAGTTCCAGATCGCCTGGAGCCACACCTAGAAACGTCAAGTTACTGCCCTTAAAACTGCAGCCACCATGCATTTCTGGATAGAGCAGAGCTTTGCACACCCCCAAGCAGATGCATAACCCCATGACAATCCCCAAAGCAACCTCTCTATCCAAGAACCTTCATCGCATGATGGCAATAGAATTGCCCCCGCAAGGGATTATGGCTCTCCAGAACCAGTTTTGAGGGAGAACAGCCAATCAAACTAGGACCTAACCAGAAAAGCTATACTAGCAGTTATACAGACTCTGCACTATGCAAATCCCAGCCCTGGTCATTGTGCCCTATTTCTATAAATCCCAAAGCTTCCGTCAGGCCCTCAAAGACATAGCTTGCACCTCTTTATCTTCCAGCACAGAGATACTGATCAAAATTCCTTCCCTACCCTTCACTGCAGCTTGGCCCCTTGACTGGCATTATGGCAGAGCCTCCTCTGTGGGAACCCTCAGGACTAGGGATTGTGCCCTAAAAACCCAGTAACATAAAATAATTTGGATCTGTGCCAGAATTTAAGGGGGAAAACTCACATTCTCATTAACTGAAAACCCAGCCATGCCATAGTCTTATCAAACCAAGCCCATGGGTGCAGAATCCACGACACAGGCGCCGCTAGAGAACTAAGACCATGACGATGCAAACTCAGCCGGAAATGTAACCCTGAGCGAAACACAGGGCGTGTGTGGACTGCCCGCTAGAATCGCATCCAAGGAGGAGGTAAAAGTCATTAAAACAGGACACAGAGCTGGGCAACTTTACAGCAAGGCCAGCAGACATGAAAGCCGTCCACTGGGCACGGCCAGCCATGTGGAAAACAACAGGAAGCTGCGTCTGGGCGCCTTTGTGCAAGGCGGGAACATGATGACTCAGCACTTCCTGTTGTGCACCTACCACGCCCTCTGCGCGCCCCCACCCAGCCTCGGCCCCTTCCGGCCCTCACCCCTGGACAATTTCTAACACAAAAATAAAAAGCAAACCCTTTTTTCTTTTGTTTTTTTGTTTGGTTTTGGTTTTGAGTTTTTGAGTTGGTTTTTTTTTTTTTTTTTTGTACTGTGCCTTATTAAAATGTTTCTGTTTTTGTGGGGGTTTTTTCCCTAAGACAAAAATCAAAATGTAAAATAGGAACAGTACAGTCAAATAATAATTAGTCAAAAGAGTTCTTATTCCGGCGCCCCGTACCCCACAGCCACTTACTTTCATGTCACAAAGGCCATCTCCAACCTTCAGCAGCTTTTCATTGTAATAGTCAGCTGGCAGCCGGGGGGCGTATTTGGTCCAGATATTGAACAAAGTGGTGGCACTGTAAAAATCACAAGATGACATCTTCACAGTCAGCAGGAGCCCTCAAATAATTAGCAAATAGTCTTTAAAACCTTACCTTGTGGTAAGTTTTTCCAATATGCTTTACTGTTAATGTCTAATTATTCATAATAAATGCAATTATAGCTAAAATTATTGCTTCCTGGATGCCAAATACTGATTGAAGCCCTTTATATGACATTTTAATACATGTTATTTTGCAGAGCAAAATAGGTTCATAGCAAAATTGAGAGGCAAGTACAAAGATTTCACGTACAGACACACATCTACGGTCTCTGCCACTACCAACATCTACTCTCACTGGGGGTAGAGTTGTTGCAACTGATGAACCAACATTGACACAAACCATCCCAAATCCATAATTTACACTAGGTTCACTTAACCTTATATATTTGAAGGGTTTGGATGAATGCATAGCAACGTGTATCTGTCATTATTATGCCATAGAGAGTAGTTTCAATGCCCTAAAAATCCTTTATGTGCCTTCCATTCATCCTCTCCTCCTCATTATCTATGAACCACTGATTTTTTTTTCTGCCTCCATAGTTTTGTTTCTTCCAGAACATCCTACAGTCAGCAGTCTTTTCAGATTCGCTTTTTTTTTCATTTATTAATATGCATCTTTGAGATCAGTTTCCTTTTTGTATTTTCATGACTTCATGGCTCGTTTCTTTTTAGCACTGACTAGCATTACATTGACCGGAAAGACAATTATTTATTTTTGTTTCATTTTCTTAAGGATATCTTTGTTCTCTGGAAGTCTTGGAATTTGCAAGTACAGTGGCTGTAAGTGTCTATATGCAGGTATTTTATGCGAATGTAAGTTTCTAAATCCGCTGGGTGAATACCAAGGAGCATAATTGCTGACTCATACAGTAAGAGTGCATTTACATGTGGAAGAAACCACCAAACTTGCTTCCATAGTGCTGTACCATTTTCATTCTGCCAGCAAAGAATGCACATTCCTGTTTCTCCACATCTTTGCCAGCATTTCGTGTTGTCACTGTTCTGGATTTGAGCCTTCCTAATAGGTGCATGAAGTATTTGATGGTTTTCATTTGCACTCCCCTGATGACATAGGCTATGGAACATCTTTTCATATGTTTATTTGCCATCTGTCTATCTTCTTTGCTGAGATGTTTGATAGAGTCATGGGCACATTTTATTTTTTTCAAACAGGTTGTTTATGTATATATATCTGATACACCTTTATCAGATACATCTTTTGCAAATACATTCTCCCAATTTATGGCATTTCTTTTTATTCTTTTTATAGTGTCTTCCATAGTGCAGAAATTTTTATTTTAAATGAAGTCTAGCTTATGAATTCTTTCAGAGATTATGGTTTTGGTGTTATATGCAAAAAAAAAAATCACAAAATCCAACGTCATCTACATTTTCTCCTGTGTTCTTCTAGGAATGTTATAGTTCTGAATTTTACATTTAAATATGTGGTCCACTTTGAGTTAATTGTTGGTGAGGGATGTGAAGTCTGTGTCCTTGTGTGTGTGCATAAGTGAGGTTACCCAGTTTTTCCAGTAGCATTTATGGCAGAGACCATCTTTTCTCTATCGTGTTGCTTTTGCTTTTTTGCCAAACATCAGCCAATTCAAGGTTATGTACCCCTTTCATTGACTTATTTGTCTATTTCATCACCAGTATCGCATTGTCTTAGTTATGGTCGCTTTATATAAATCCCCAGATTGGGTAGTATCAATCCTCCAATTTCTTTTTCAATATTGTGTTGGCTGCTATGGATCTTTTGCCTATATGTATTTTTTTTCATTTCATTTATGCAACACAATAATCCAATAAGGTGAGAAATAATGTTGAGATTGGAAATAATAATATCCTGAGGCTAGGACCTTGACTGTGTTATTCATTGCTCAGTCACAAGAATAGTCAATAGCTAGTACACAAAGGTAGTCAACAAGTTTTGGCTGAAAAGATGAGTAAGTGATACGCAAAAATTTCTTATTCTTATTTTATTCTTTCCTTGGAAGAGCTCAAGAGCTCACTCTCCAATCCATCCACTTAGGGCTAAAATTCCCTCCAACAAGTCAAACACAAAATCTGTCGTATTCTTAAAATGGTTTCTAATTAGAATTATCAGAGTAGCAGATCATTTCTTACTTATTCACATATTTATTAAGGTTTATTCCTTCCTTCCTTCCCAGAAATTATGAATGCCCCTAAAAAAAATCCAAATAACCCTTGAGTTGCCCAACACAATCTTACAAATTTCTAGGAAATTACAGTGCTATGCATTGAATATTCCCAACCCAGAATCCCCCATGTTAAGTTCTAACTCCCAGTGTGACTGTACAGTATTGGAGATGGGGACCTCTAACAAAGCAATTAAGGTAACACAAGGTCATGAGAATAGAACCCTGGTCTGATGAGTTGCATGTTCTTACAAGAAGAGTTATGAAAGTTTGCTCTTTTTCTCTTTCTCCACGCTTGTTCAGAAGAAAGGCCATAGGAGAGCAAAGCAGCCTTCTACAAGCCAGGAAAAGAGTCCACATAAAAAACCAACACTGGAGGAAAAAAAAAAAACACTGATAAGTCCTTGATCTGAGGGCTCGGGATTTCACTCAGCAGTGTAAGCGCCTGCCTGACAAGTGTGAGGTCTTGAGTTCAACCCCTAGTACAAAAAACAACAACAAAAAAAACCCTTGATCTGAGATTTTTGGCCTCAAGAATTATAAGATCATAAATTGTTGCTATGCCACCTGGGGTACGCTATTTTATTATGGCAGCCTTTGCTGACTAACACCCACAGGGATTGAAACTCAAGAACTGAAGATGGGTCGGATATTTATGATTGTATGTTGAAATATTAATAAAACTTCTACAAAACCTGTCACTTCATTTGGGTAATCAAATAAGACTGACTGAGTCACTGATTGAATGGGAGACAAAACACGCCCACCTTTATGGACTGATTAATAACACTTTGCAATAGATACAGGTACTAGTAATAAGTGAAAATGCCAGATAAAATAATGCAGCAAACATAAACCATACAACTTTAAAACTGGGAACGTGTGTTGTTGATTTTTTTTACCTTTTTATTTTGATTTGCTACTTCATGAAATGCCACTTTAGAATAAATATAATCAACTCAAGAAATGCACCTAGTCTTGCTAGAATTGTTAAATTATATATATGAAATAGTCCATTCTTTCAAATCTTAGAAGTGAGATAATAATGACTAGTTTTGTTACTCATAAAGGAAAATACCCGTTTCGTTAAATCAATCATGGTTATGTAACAAGAAGAATTATTTGAGCAAATTCCAAGTTCAAGTTAAGGCTGCAATTAGGAATGGCTTACATAATGATTAAACAAAAAGTATAGAATGTACATTATCACATGTACCTCAGTTAAGAAGATAACATTGGTGTACTTTAAATTGTTGATTGTAGGTGCTGCTGGATATTTAGAGCATTCTAAAGTAGAAGACCACAGCTTTATAAATAGAATATTTAAATTTTACATGCTTATAACAAATCATAGTTGAAAATAGATCACACTCATCTAATGACATGCTGCCATTTTCAAAATTGATATTTTAGATACTATGAATGTTTATGCTTATGGAAACCTCAATAATTATAAGAAACAAACTTTGACTTGAAAACAACCAACTGTCAAATATGTTATAAATGCAAGTCCACCTCCTAGACTCCCAAGTGATCTCTATTCTTGCTCCATTTAGACATGACAATATTTTGTTTTGTTTTGTTTTGTTTTGAGACAGGCTATTGCTACATAGCCTAGAACTATGCTAAGCTGCCCTCAGACTTGGAACCATCCTCTTGCCTCAGCCTCCTGAGTTCTGGGAAGATAGGTGTGCACCACCACACCTGGCAAAATGACAATATTTAAAACAAAAATTGCATAAGTTCGGTCCCTTACCAAAACCTTCCAAATGGTTCCCATGACATTTGAGATAAAGGCAATCTCTTCAAAGCAGTCTCTAAAACTCTCCAAAGCCCTATGTTATGTCTCGTATCTGGATGTCCCCTCAAAGCCTCATGCAGTCTAGAGGTGGAGTTGTGCCGTGGCTGGATCAGGTTGTGTGAATTTGGATTAAGGGCGTGATAAAGGAATTAAGGATGTGGATATAGAAGCCCCACCCTGGGTATTTGTGGCACCAATCAGTAGGCTTCTAGCCTGAATGGAATAGAATGAGAAGGAGAAGGCAGGCTTGTTGCTGCTGCTGCTGCCGCCCCCTGCCCTGCTGCTTCCTGCCTGCCTTGCTCTGGACTGTTTCCCCTCTGCCATGTCCCTGTGCCACGCCGCCATGCTTTGGAGTCAGCTAACTATGGACTGAAACCTTTTAAAACCGTGAGCCAAAATAAATCTTTCCTCCTCTAACTTAGAGTGTTGGGTATTTTGTCTCAGCAACAAGAAAGCAACTAAGACAGCACCTCACACACTGTCCTTGCAGTCACTGTTTCTGCTAAATAGGCTTCAGGCTGCCCCTCCACAGTACTTGGCTCTTTCCTGCCAATATTTTTCCTGCTAAGGATCTTTTGCTAGGCTGGTTCCCTCTGTTTATTTGCTTGACTCCTGGTCAACCTTCTAATCTCAGTCTAATGTCACCTCCTTTGCCATTCATTTGAAAGCAAGCCACTGCCCAAGCACCATCTATTCTGACACCTAATAGAATACTGCGACCTCCAGCCAACAATTCCATATGCTTTCTTCTTCTTAGCACTCAGTTTCTAGGTGACAATGACGTATGCTATCTAATGTTTATATTCTCCTCTAGAATATTAGCTCTGAAGGGCAGGGATGTTTTTATCTGGCTCACTGCTGCAACCCCAATGTTTAGCACAATGCCTGGCACCTATAAGGGCTCAGCTGCTACGACTTTCATAGTATTTGTTGTGTGTTAATTAATCATTCACTGAAAGTCAATCTCCCTTTCTAGACTACAACTCCACAAGCACAGATTCTTGTATCTCATTCACCACCATGCAATAAGTAACTAATGTAATACCTGGCACATGACAAGCATTTAACAAAGTGTTGCATAAATAAACCCCTAAACTGTGAGAGGTGTTGAACTGTTAAGGTTTAAGCTAACTTGTAACATTTGTAATCATCTTACTATAGTCCATTTAAAGAACAGATACTGTCCTTACAGATGGGCCCAACCTACTCCTATATGTGACACAATTACTGAGAACAAAGGGACAGTGACCTTTCAGTTCTTGCAATCACAAATATTTACTGAATGTTTACTACAACCCAGTAATACCAGGCTTGGCCTGGAGGCAGAGCAATGAAAAGGAGCCATATTATCCCAATAACAGGGAACCTATAGTCTAACAAATAAGATAGACAAGGCACGAGAAAACAAATAGAAAAAAATATAAAATGAGAGGTGAACCTGAATTGGAAAGGCCTCACTAAGGAGGTGACACCTGAGCTGAGGTCTGAAAGAGGACCAAGAGACAGATATTTGAAAAGCAAGAGGGAGAATCTCTCAGATAAAAGGAAACAGCAAGTGCAAAGGCTCTGGGGTGAGAAATAGTAGAAATAGAGGTGAAGAGCAGAGTCAAGTGAGGGATTTCGACACTCCAGAGGATACTTCAGAGGTTTTAATTTTATTCTGAAAGCAACAGTAAACAGGAGAGAGACTTTCAATAAAAGCAGATGATTTTTTTTTTTTAGTAAGTATCTCCCTGATTGCTCTTTGAAGGACAGATCTCGTGAGACAGAAAAGCTTCAGGGAAAAGGTGAACCGGATTGGTTTGCACTAGAATACTCAAAGGGGAGACAGGAAGATAAAGTACAAACACAAGAAGTGTTCAGATATAAATGAAAAATCGTGAAATCCCTAAGTTGGGTATGAAATGCACTCTCCTTGGTCAGTTCTTGTCCTCATCTCACTGGATCATCAGCAGGATCTCGCAGAGATGCCCATTCCTTCCCCTGCTTCCAGAATACCGCATACCACTGGTTTCCCTCCTCCTTAGTAGTGTTCTTTCTGCTGGCTCCTTCTCACTCCTACCTGTCAATGTGGAAGCATCCAGAGCTCAGTCTTTTCTCTCTTCTTCGTGTACACTCACTTCCTTAGGTCCCCCATCAGGTGTCATGATTTAAATATCATTAACAGGCTGATTAATCCCAAATATATATCTTTTCTGTCCTTGAGGTTGAAATGGCCAACTACCTAACAACAGCTCTGCGTGGATGCTGAGCTACATCTCAGATATTTCAAGCACTAAGCTCTCCATCTACTCCCCTCCTACTCAAAATCTGCCCTTTCCGCAAGCCCAGGATGGCTTCTTTCACACTTGCCATCCTCCCCTGCCCAGCCTACTTCCTGCACAGAAATCCTCATTGATGGTTCCTACATCTCGTTTTTCCTCAACTGTCACTTTTTTCTGTCTCTGACCATGTTTCCTGCATGTTATTTTAAACTGCAATACTCATCTGACAGCCCCCAATCCCATTCTTTGTTCTCTTTTTCTATGTAGCAATTATCTTCTTGTAAAATATATTTACAGTAACCCTCCCCCTATATGGAGGGGATCCATTCCAAGACCCCCCAGTGTGTGCATTAAACCAGACAGTATTGATTCCAATACATCTTTTTCCTATACGTACATATCAATAGTAAAGTTTTACTTGTAAATTAGGCAAAGAGATTAACAATAGTTCATGATAAAATAGGATAATTATGGTATAAAAGTTATATGCATGTGGTGTCTCTCAATATATCTTTAGTGCTCTTGAGCTTAATAACATGGACGCATATTGTTTTTCTTTTTTATTGAGAACTTTCACCTTTCCACATAAAGACCGCGCTTCAGGGATTCTGTTCGCATATCTCAATTGCCCGTGTTACTCCTCTTGTGCTTTGGGTCCACTGTTAAGTAAAATGAGTTACTTAAATGCAGTTGTGGTGATACCACTATAGTTGATCTGATAACCAAGACCAACAGGCAGGTGGCCCCTGCAGCAAGCCTCGGTTGGATAAAGAGAGATTTACATTCCAGGTGGGACAGAGCAGGGTGATGTAAGATGTCATCACCTTACTCAGAAAGGCGTACAATTTAAAACTTAAGAATTGTTTATGTTTAGGATTTCCTATTTAGTGCTCTTGATCATGCTGACTGCAGGAAACCAAAGTCACAGAAAGTGAAAATACAGATAAGGAGGAGCTACCATATTCCATACCTGTTTAGTGACTGACTATACTCACAAAAATAAATACTCCACATAGGAATTTTCATGTCTTTTACCCTCTATATCATATGTTAGATGAATGAATGAATAATACGTTTAAGTCAAAATTATTTATTCATCTTAAATACAGGAACAAAAACGTAAGTTAAGACTAGACACTCTTCTGGTATTTTCTGCCACTCATCTGCTTTTGTAAATGTTCAGTTTGTGATGCATTTGACCAAGAAAAATAATAACATAAACAGCAAAGAATCTTAAAAATAGGTAGTTTGCAGTCACAGTAATAACATGGTGATGGAATCCAAAATAAGAAAACAATGTACAGAATGAGTCATAAAATCAAGGAGAAAAAAAGGTGTCTGTAATCCTAATAATGATGAAAAAGAGAGTATGATACACGCGTTCACAGGGTGACACATTTCCTGGTGTCAAGAACTTCAAGAACCTGAAGCCACCTCAAGCCTATTCTTTTGTCTTCATATATAGAATTTCTCAGCCCCGGAATAGCAAATTGTGAAATTCCCCACATGAGTGAAAAACTATTAGCCTGGAGTAGTAATTTAGGGGTCACTCAGAAACCGAACAAATGGTGAGTTATGAAACATGCCTATGCTGATTTTTTAATTCGACCTGAAAAGGGAGCCACTATCGGCCTGTACCAGGAATGCTGATTTGTGACAGCGACGCATCTGGCTTGTCAGGCTGCGCTCACATCTTCAGGGCGCCGGGGTCAGGCCCTGCGTCCACCGCGCTGCCCGGCTCCCGGGCCACCACTGGCGTCCGCCGTCCAGCCGCGCCCTCCCAGCGACCTGCCGCGGCTTACCAACGCTCACGAAACTCCTGCCTCTGTTCCTCGGTTGTCGCCGAAGCCTTCTTCTTCACAAAGCCCAGCAGCTCGCGGATGTCCCTCTCGCAAGAGGCCAGGAGCGGGTTCCTCGCGTCCAGCGGCCCGTAAAACACGGCGGCGGGCAGCGTGTTCTCGGGCCCGGGCCCGCGCGGCGGAGGACTCGGGGTGCTCGCCTTCGACTCCAGGGGCGACTTCGAAACTGCAACCGAGGTCGAGGACCGGGTCGGAGGCAGTTCTGGAGGCGACACCGATGCAGACGAGCCCTCGGACCGGGAGCTCGAGGTGGCGCCCTGAGCCGCCATATTGACGCGACCTGGCCCGGCGCGCCAGGAGTTTGTGTGGATTCGGTTGCTTAGCGACGGTCTCGTGGCAACCACGCATCCTCGCGTGCTGTCTGGGAAACACAGCGGCTCCTGCAGGCCAGAAAAAGAAAGTGCTGCCCTCCAGGACCGAAAGAGGCTGCGGAATGTAATTTTTGGTTGCCCCTCTGGCTTCCCTGTGGGAAATGAGACCTGAGAGGCTTTGAAAAGAGAGCTGGAGAATATTAGAGCTGAAATTTTATCATCAAGACCGGACTATACTCTTATTTTTTTGGTTTTGTTTTTGGTGGTTTTTTTCATTTCACAATTTAGGAAACTAAATCTTAGGTAGGTTAAATTATTTTAAAACCCATAGCAATATCAGCGATCAGGTCTTAGTCTTGTGACTACAAAATCTGTGCTCCTACTCCCTAATCTGTGTTGATGGCTCCCCGCAGTTAGTTTATTAAGCAAATTGAAAGTGGGAAATTCTGACAAGCAGTTTAAAAATCAAAAACCTGTAACTGATCCCTTAGCCTATCCCTCTAATAATTGGTTATACCTATTTATTTGCATTTTAGCCATATTCTTCACGTCATATATTCTGTCAATCTGCATTTTACACAACTTTAAACTATTTGATATAAATATATACTAATGGCTTGAAATGCTAACTCTCAAAAAACTTTGGCATTTTAAACAAGGATCTTGAGAGGCTTTACTTCATATGGGGAAACCATCGGGCCTCAAGGGGTATAGCCAACAGCAAAGGAAAGTCTTCCTCAGCATAGTATTGACCACAGTAACAGACAAATTTATTGATATGAAGTTTGAGTGTCAATGAATAGGGAATCTGTTTTTCTTACGAATTATGCAATACCAAAAATTATCTAAGAGAAGGACCAGAGATATTGGATAGTGTAGAAAAATAGGTCTTTAATGCTGAAAATTGTCACTAGTTCCCTGACACTTAAACTGACCCTAGCATTCAATTTGTCCAATTTCCCGTTTAAGATTAAGAAGCTTATTAGACCACAGATGATTTTTTTTTCAGCTGACCTAATTTTGTACAGGCTCTGTGGGCCTGTACTACTTTGGAAGGCGAGTGTTTTGTCTGTGTAGTGCACCCTAATATTACTAGAAGGAAGATGATGAAATAGGGGAATGAAACTCCCAACCTACTGTATGTCCAGAATGAGTTTGTGCTCTCTAAAATCAAAGAATGAATTTTAGGAATAACAGAGATTAACAGCAGAAATATTTATTGAGAGAAAGAAAGCTTCTGTCTAAGAGAGAGACTACAGGGTCCTGAGAGGGTTGCAAAGATTTTGTCTTTTCTTGGGATTTTTATAGTGTAAAACCATGAGATAAGGCGGGTCTAAAACTGGGAAAAACTGGGAACTCACAAGGCAGATGGGCATGAGGTGGGACAGAGCTGTGGTCAACCAATAAGATTAACTGCTCAGGTAAAACTGATTAGATTGGGAACAAATGGAGAAGGGAGTCACCTAGAAGGCGGGCATTCTTTATGGTGACGCTTCCCTAAGAATTGGGATGGTATTTCCTGACTTCTCAAAGTGATCCAGACTTAATCCCTAAAGATTATACTTACGGATGTGACAGCATTTGTTTTGCTTTCTGTCCTGAGATCTGGCCCACAGCAAGGGATATGTGTCCTCTCCAATGTCAGCAGACATCTGGTCCTCTGTGTCAGTTTCTTCGAGGGCCTGGCCCGGTCTGATTGCCTATAATATTTCTAACTATCTCAGCTGCCTGTAACAGTGAGAGTATTTTGCTCATTGGGCCAGGTAATTATGGCCAGAAAACCTTCCTAGCAAATGGCAAAATACAAAGACTCTTCACTGTTGAGTCTATTTTATCTCTTATGAGAAAAAAAAATTTTAAGATTTTTAAAGAATTTAGTCTGGGGAAACTTTTCAATTTTGAAGTATTTTTAAAAAGTAATGGAATCTTTTTTATTTTATTCAGTTCCTTAAATTCTCTGGCCTTTTAACTTTGTTCTCACATAGTACACTTGTCCACCTCAGATCAAAAGCCAGTGTAATTTGCTACTGAGAATTGTCTATTATATTGATGAAAGTGAAACAGCAGGACTCAATCAAATTAAAGTGGTCACAGAGGAAGGAAGAAAATAAAAATAAAACACAGTGGGAATTTTCCCCCAATCTGGCTGCCGTCACCAATAACCTTGCTCATAGTACAAGCACTTACATTTCAAAGTCATTTGTGAAAGATGTGACTAATTAAATTCAAATGCTTGAATTATGAAACACTGTATCTTAGTCATCTTCCTTCTTGCACATAATTTAGTTAACAATGCTTAACTTGCAGTAGTTTTTGGAAGCTTTTCTGAATATTTAAGTAGGTGGTATACTCTGAATCATTGGGGCAAGATGGAAGTTTCCATTTTGTTCAGCTAAATTATATTTGAGGCATTTTTTACCATTTCAGAGAAGTTGTCTTTCTTGTAATGAGATGCAGCCATTATAAATGCCTTTTTTACTTCCTTGTCACTTCACTTTATTCTTTTCTCTGTAATGAAAGAATGGAGCTTTACGATTACTGTGTGTGACAGGGCTAAGTAATGTAAATAGCTTCCTTATAAATAATGTAAATTGCTGCTTCATATAATTAATGCCATTGCAGGCTTCAGGGATCCTTTTGCCCATTCAAAATTCTTTTTCATCTAAAGTTACTGTTAGGGAAATAGTAAATAAGGTTAGTGTTCTGTCAGTTAGTAGTTTAGTTGCTAATCTCTTATACTGCCCCAAATAGATATATACAGTTCTTTAAAAGAAAAAGAGCACAAAAGTCTCCCTTTTCCAACTTACCACCTAATATATTGACTTAAAAATTCTTTTTCACTTCTTCATTCATTCAGCTAGTTAGATGCAACCATCTGTGGAGTGCATCCATGCAGTGCATAGAAGAGCCCGGCTCTCCTTACAAGAAGCAGGCGATGCACATAACAACCGGCCATGATTTTATTTAAAAAACAAAAACAGGTTTTGACAAAGGCTTAAAAAATGTTATAGGAGTCTCAGGATGGAGAGAGAACAAAGAATCATAGAGGAGATGATGTGTTAGCCCTGGACTGTAAATGCCCATTAACAGACCTTGCCACAAGGACTTGCCTATTTGTTATGGTAACCTAAGCATCCAATACTGGAGACCGCTACAAGGAGCCCCAATCTCCTGCCAGGTGTTACAGAGGGGGAGAGAAAGACAGAGAGACAGAGAGAGAGAAAGACAAGAGAGAGAGAGCACAGGGATCTGGGATGACCAGTTGTTCATGAGGAACAAAAGGCCAGGAGGCAGCTAGACCTTTGGTATTTATTGATTGAGGAGGGGTTATTGGATGACTCAGAGGGTGATGGTGGTCTTATACTAAGAAGGATCTCGCTTTGGAGACTCTCTTGTCTTAGCAGTTTTAGTCTTAATGGTCTAGTTTTAGTCATCTTAGTCTTAGACTTAGACCTAGACTTAGAGTTAGTCCTAGCTTTAGTCTTAGTTTTAGATCTACTCTTAGCCTTAGTCTTAGTCTCAATCTTTTTTTTTTTTTTTTGTCTTTTTCTTTTTTATTGGTACTGGGGATCGAACTCACGACCACACACTTGCAAGGCAGGTGCTTATGCCGCTGAGCTAAATCCCCAGCCCCCTTAGTCTCAATCTTAGTCTTAGTCTTAGCCTTAGTAGGTGGGAGAGGATGACCCATCCCTAATAAGATAATGGGCAATCTCAAAAGGGCAATACCAATAATCCCAAACCTCCACTTATGTATGTAAAACTAGGCACTGTGAATTTCTGGTCCCCAGCAATTCAAGTCCAGCACCTGGCATGAAGTACTATTAAATAAATCCTAGTTAAAGTCATTGAATAAAAAAATGAAGGACATTTAGAAAGATATCCTTCAGAAAGATGGGGGGCGGGCTAAGTAAGCACAAAGCCATAAACACCCACAGCACATTTAAGTCAGAGTTACTGTCTGGTGTGGTGAGCTCCTGGCCACAGCCGGTCAAGATGAGGCCAAAAGGAAAGTGTGATCAAACACAGTGGATAGTTGGAAAGTATGCTCTGAAATTTTGACTGAGTTTTATATTTAGTGGGGCTCCTTAGTTAGAAAACATACAGACAATCCCCACGATGGTTTCACTTTATGATTTTTCTACTATACAGTGGTAGGAAACACCACTGTATACAAACACAAGTTGTATGGAAACACCATACAACTTTCTTTCTTTCTTCTTTTTTTTACTTTGAACACAGTGATCAATAAATTACACGAAGTATTCAATTCATATTATTTTCTTAAAGGGAAAAAAATAACAAAACAGTTGCAAAACAGATTTACAATAATTAATACATTGCATATTATTGTCTTTGTAGTATTCATATTAGCACTATCATATTATAAAATACATTTTTTATTACATGATTGTACCCAACATTAGATTAAGGTAAGTGTTCTGAGCACATTTTAGGTAGAGTAGGTGAACTATGATGTTTGGTGCACTGGATGTATTAAATTATTCTAATGTAACAGTAGGTTTATCACATGTAACACCATCCTGAAAGCTTGTTTGTATGCTGTAGAGAATAAAAGCCCAAACTCTGAAATCACGGTGTGAAGGCTTAGTTCTTCCAATCCTTACTGTGTCTTATTTTTGGTATCTATGTAATGGTGCCAAAATATTAATACTATCTACCTCATACTTCTGTTTTGTATAGAAGTAAATGAGTTAATGTAAGTAAAATCTGTAAAACAGTGGTTTGTACATAGGAAGTGCTATGTAAATATTTGTTAATTATTATTATTTAGTTGGGAACCATTGACAATTCCTAAGCAAAGAAGTTCTGTGTTTTATATACCAAAGGAAAATATTTAAGGCAGAATAAAAGATGGATAGGAATAAACAAGATGATACCTTAGCCACACAGACATCAAAGCAATTATACATAATCTACAAACAGAAGTAGCAAACCAAAAATACCAACAGAGTTAGTAGGAAATTGAATTCTAATCAATAAAGCAGAAGAACAGTTAGAACTATGCAATGTTTAGCAGAGCTATATTATGTGTATGTATCATATAT